TAATGATTATTCTGATCAAGTTATTGATAATCAATTAAATAATACAAGTTTAATTTCTAATAATAATAATACAAGTAAATTAATTTCTAATAATACAAGTTTAATTTCTAATAATAGTAGTAGTAGTATTATTACACAATCATCACCTTCTTCTTCTATTATGAATAATAGCAATAATAATAATGAAAGTGGTAATCATTATACATCTAATTATAGAACACCATCACCTCAATCTAAAAGCCTTATTACCACTCTTCATAATAGTAATCATTCTAATAATACAACAACACCATCACCACCTATATTTAATAAGAGAAGTGTTATTGTAAATAATAGTGGTGGTAGTAGTGGAAGTGGTAGTGGTGGTTATAGATCTACTATTAGTGGAGGTAGTAATAGTACATCTAATTATAGTACTAATAATAATAATAATAATAGTAGTAGAGGTAGACATATAGAATTAGATGATTCATTATTGGATGCTATGGATGATTTAATAGGTGTACCTATTTTACCAAAAAATAATAATAATAATTCAACAATAGATTCATCTATTAATAATAATATTACTAATAATAATGGAAATAAATCTAATAATAATAATATGAATTTAAGTGATGATGAAGATACAATAATTAAAACAGGTTTAAAAAATACATCTAACAAACAAATATTAATAACTAATAATAATAATAGCAATGATAATAATAGTACTATTAAAACAATAGTACAACCCATTGATATAAATAAATATAAAAGTACAACACCTAATAATTCTAAAAAAAGAAAAACAATTCAAACTAAATTAACATTAGATTCATCTCAACAACAACAACAACAATATAAATATAAAAATATAGAAATTGAAAATATTAATGAAGAATTAATATTTAAAAAACGTAAAATTTATTCAAATAATGAAAAGAAAAATTTAAAATTTGATAATGAAAATTATAAAATTAGTAAAAATGATATATTTACAAATATAGAAATTATAGGAGAATTAGAAAATAAAATAGGAATAATATATCATTTAAAATATTTTAAAATATATTATATTAATTTAAATATAATTAAAAGTGATTGTATTTTTAATAATTTAATGAATACATATTCATTTAAAGATTCAATTATACCTTTACAACAACCAATTAATTTATTATTATGTAAAAATGAATTATCAAATAAGAATTTAAAATCAATTTGTGTTAAACCTGAATATCAAAATATTTTTGAAATGAATGGTTTTAAAATTGAATTTGAAAAACAACCTTTACCAAATGAACCTACTAGAAAGAAAATTACAAAATTAAATTTAATTGGAATTATTAATAATAATTCTTTTGGAACAAGAGAACATTATAATTATGGTTTACAAGATTTTATTGAAATTTTACAAAAAATTGAAACTTTTGAAAAGGATTTATTAGAAAATGAAATTATTAAGAATATTTTAAAGGAAAAGAAGGCAACTAAATCTGAATTAATTTCGCAAGCATCAATTCAATTTAGACCCAATACAATGATTGAATATTTTAAGAATACTGCTAAACATACTTCTTCATCTTTAGGTACAGATAGAAAATCAATTCATGAAATTTTAATGGACTTGAAAACAACTTGCTTCTTGAAATTACATCAATTTATGAGTAGACATACAGATGAAAATTTTGATGAAATTATTAATGATATTACTGGTTATTTTCATCCAATGGATTTGGGAGGTACTAGTAGTGATACTAGTGCTGATAATAATGGAGATGTACCAAATATTGAAGAAATGATTTAATCTTTAATAAATTGAATAGTCTTTTGCTTTGGAACTTGTGGTGATGGATTACTTGGTCTGAGTACTGGTAATGGATTGAATTTGATAATTTCCTGTGATGAAGAGCTTATCGATGAGGAAGGAGCTGAAAATTTGAGAATTGATTTTCTTATCATGTTCGTATTATTGGATTGTGCAGCTATTGTTGTTGATTGAGATGGAGAGAATAATTTTGGATTAAAATCATCTGCAATTAAATCCTTTCTTGTTGATTCATTCATATCAGCCCATTTCAATGAATTATTCTGATTATCTCTTTTCAATAATTTTAATTTGGAATTATAACTTGGTGAACTAACTTCTGTTGGGAATTCAAAATCGTCAAATTTACGTTTTCCTAATTGATTTAATTGATTCATTAATGTATTATTTCTAGTTGTTGGTGTATTAATTAATGATTGATTTGAAATTGAACTAATATTTGACTTGGTTGGTGTTATAGAACTTTCACTTATTGAACTCAATGAATTTAATAATGGAACAGGTGAAATAAAAGATGAATCTAAATTTGATGATGTTTTCATTGGTGTTTGTTCTCTCTTTGAAATTCTACTCTTAGGTGAAAGTAATAAAGATGAGGATGATAAATCATTTGATTGTTTTTGTGTTCTAGTTGTTGTTGAACTATTAATCATCATTCTATTTGAAACTAATTTAGAAATACTTGGTGATAAAATAAAACTATCTTCCTTTCTAGTATTACGAGTATTAAATGATGGTTTTGAAAGAGGTGATGGTGAAAACATTGAAAATAAACCCAATTCTTTTGTTGATGGAATTGTTTTAGGTGTTCCAATTAAATCTAATTTTGAAATATCAAATTCAGAATTTCTTCTAGTAATTACTTTTGGTGAATTAGTACTACTAATATCATTCATATTATTATTATTTGTAATAATAGTATTATTATTATCAATAGTTGATTTCTTTTGAATCCAATCATTTTGAATTTGTTCAATTGCTAAATCTTGTTGATTTAAAATTTCAATTTGATTCTTAATTTCATCATCTGTAATTTTATCATCAATATCAAGTAAAATCTTTTGAGTTTCCTCTTTTTGTTTTTTAATTAAAGGTTCAAAATCTAAAACTCTACATGTAGAAGTATCAAATAAATCTTTTTCATCCACTTGTTCATCATCTTGTACATCTTCCACTTGTTTTAATTCTTCATTGAAATATTTTAATAAATTATTATTACTTTCAAACTCATTTGATGATGCTATATTACTAATACTACTAATATCTGTTAATATATTATTATTATTATTATCAATATTATTATTATTAGCAGTATTATTATTAGAATTATTATTAGTATTATTCAAATCATTCTTATGATTCATACTATTATCAATATTTACAACCATTGATGACTCTATAATACTATCATCACCCAATTCTTCTAATACATCTTCTGTTGTTGTTGTAATTGCTTGTGCTACTTCGCCTGTACTAATATCATCAATTACATCAAGAATATTATCCTCCTCTTCTTCTTCTTTCTCTGATTGTTTCGTTTGACTATTATCACTTAAAGATGATGAATCTGATAATGGTGATTCAGATATGTTTGCTTCAATATCTTCATTTGTTGCACTTGTTATTTCCTTAATGATTTCATCAATTTCATCTGTTTGATCATTCTCTTCTTCAGAGAATTCTTCAATAATCTTTGGTTCTTGTTCTTCAATAATATTTTCAAGTTCATTGTCTTCCTCTGAAGATTCCTCAATAACCTTTGGTTCCTGTTCTACAATGATATCATCATCACTTTCTTGTTGTTCCGATTTAGATTCAACAATTTGTTCAGTAGTTGTCTCTGGAGTTTCATCTTCACTATCAACCATTTCAGGAGTTTCATCAGTTTCATTTTCAATAACAACTTGCTCTTCTGCTACTTGTTCTTCATTATCAACAACTTGCCCTTCAACTACTTGTTCTTCAGTTGTAGAGTGAGCTATTACTTCTTCTTCTACTACGACCGATGGAGGCGATAATATTGGAATTTCTTTATCCACTTCATTATTATTATCATTAACAATATTAGATGATGATTCAATTGATTCTTCGTCTTTTTCAATTGTTGTTGTTGTAGGTGATGTTACAGTAGTATTAATATTACTATCAATATTAATAATTTTACTTTCTTTAGCAAATTCTTCTTCTATTGTTGGTATTGTTGATTCACTTTCATATTCTTCTCTGTTTCTCTTTAATGAATTTTCAGATTCAATAATGGTAGTATTATTATTATTATTAGATTCATTATCATCATCAAATTTAATTTCATTCAATTCATCTTCATTTTTCACTATATCAATATTATTATTTACTACTACTTGTTCATTCAACTCCTCTATAATCACATGATCAGTATTTTCTACTTGTTCTTCTTGTTTCTGAATTAATTCTTGTTTTAATAAATTTAAATTTAATTTATAATCCTTTTCAATTAAATATTTTCTCATCATTGATTGTAAAGTTAAAATTGTATTTAAATCATTTTTTAAATTTACTTGTTCCATTTTACTTTTTAATAAAGATTGAATTATTAAAGTTGATTCTTTACAATCATTTAAATATTTTCTATTCGAATGTCCTTCAATTAAATTTTCTAAATTATTTAATAATTTTAATTTTTCATTCTTTTCTAAATTAGTAAATAATCTAATATGATGTCCATTAAATATTGATTGTAATGTTGTTATACTTTCATTTAATTGTTTTCTGTTATGTAAAACTAATTGATTTCTATATAAGGATTGAATATTTTCTGAAAATTCTAATTTTGAATTAAATTCCTTTTTAATTAAATAATTTCTAATTAATGATTGTAAAATAATAATATTATTATTAATATTATTAAAATTAGTATTTTCTATTAAATTTCTAAATTTAGATTGTAATATTATTACATTGAATTTTTCATCGTCTAAATTTTTACGTTCCAAATAATTTTTACATAAATTTTGTAATGAAATTAAATGTTCAACTTGTTTATCCATTTCATGAATTGAATTATATTGTCTAATTATAGATTGAATACTTGTTATATTAATTTCCTTAGAATTTTCCAAACTTGTTGATTCCGATACTGATTCTACCATATTACTAGCATTATTATTTATAGTAGTTTCAATTGTAGTTGGTGTTGATGATATTTCTGTTGTATTAATTAATTCTTCATCATTTGAAGGCTTTGAATTTTCATTTTCAATTTTTTCTTCCGAATTTTCATTACTTGAATCATTAATTAATTGTTCATCGCTTGAAGGCTTTGAAATTTCCTTATTTTCTTCTTGATTAGATGATTCCTGTTGTTGATTATTTTCATCTTGTTCTTGCTTAGACGATGATTCATCTTGTTGTTTGTTGATGGTTCTAATTCTGTTTGTTCTTCATGTTCAGAACTATTTTCATCTTCCTGTTTAGATGAAGAAGAGGAAGCCTTTGGTTGTTCTACTTTTTTTCTTCTCCTTGATGATTGAAGCCTAGATCTAACAGGTGTTTTAATAATCTTTTCTTCTTCCTCTGGTTCGGTATTTGCAGTCAAGTCTTCATTTACACTTTTAGATTGATTATTCTTCGTTTTATCAATTTTCTTACGTTTTTGACGTTCCTTTACTGGTGTTTTTAAAATGTTTGAAATTAATGATGAGGCTGATGATAATGTATTAGAAGAGGAGGCATTTGTTGTTGTACTATTAGATGTTTCATCATTGGTTGTTGATGTGGTTGAGGAAGAAGAAGTAGCATTTGCCTCGGTATTTGCTGTTGTTGTATTTGATGACCTTGTATCATCGGAAGGTGATGAAGGAGATAATAATTTTTGTCTTCTAGTTTGTACTGGCATTTTTTTTTAAAGTTTCAATTTAGTGATGTAATACTGATTGTTTCGAAATGGTAAATAATACTATTTACCAAAGAACTACATTTGTCGTGCACGATTAATAAAACAAATAAATCTCAAGTTCTAAACCAGTATGAGTTTAAATTCTATTTTTTGGGACAAAAGCGAGGGAAATACTGTGGCCCACCGGCCTATTGGCGTGATAACACTGCCGTTTGTTGCCGGTTCGAACCGAAGCTACTGCATGCGTTTGTTAATACATGCACCCAGAAATTGGGCGAAGTAGAGAGTATGCAGTAGATGGAAGTCGGTCACAGGTTTCTCTTTTAAACATACAACCAATTAAAATTTTAATGTTTGTAATTTCTATCAGACATAAAAAAGTAGAAGGCGACTGAGGGAATTGAACCCTCGACCCTCAGTTATCTCAGCATTACTGCCTACAAGACTGATGCACTGCCACTGTGCTAAGCCGCCTTACGATTATGATTTTTAAAAATACAATACTGTAATATTCCTGTGCGTTAAGTAATGTGTCACCAAAATAATAACACAATTAATATTAATATTATTATGGCGCCAAAAAGAAATAAAAATACATGACTGCAAGAATTGATGAAACAACAAATAGGTTGGCTGCTACTCTTGATCATGTTCAATTTAATAATCATCTCAATAATGATATATTCCGATTAATTATTTCCTTTCTAGACATTAAGGATTTATGTCGATTCGAACAAGTAAGCAAGAATAACCTTCCAATTTGTAAAGTGTGCTCAGAAGATTCTGACTTTTGGAATTAAATACAATGGTTTCGAAATCTTACAATTATAAAATTACTGAAACAGATCGTCAACAAATTGGAATGCTCTTGAAGAAAACTGAAGATTTTAAGAAAACATTGAATCTCGCCTTTAAAATTGTAAATGACATTATTGAACGTAATTTCAGACAGAGAATGGAAGAATTGGAAGACAGTATACTAAAATATAACAAAAAAGCTGCAAAGAATCAATTCATGACTAGGGATGAATTACTTAGTGTGGATATTTCAAATTGTGAAATACCGTTAGATGAAAAGCCTTTCAAAATTATTGTAATGGGTTAGTTTGTAAAATTTAACAATTAATGATTAATTTTCAATAGGGGATGGAAATACTGGAAAAACATGTTTATTGGAACCTTTATTGAAGGGTCAATTCATACAAGATTATGCACCTACTCTTTTCAAAAAAGAGTTTGCTGATTTTAATTGTGGAAATTTTCAAGTTACTTATACTGATATTGTAACAGACATTGATTTCCCAAATAATAGATCTCAATTCTATCCAAATACTAAGGCATTCATTGCAATGTTTAATGTAATGGAAGATTACACGCTCAGTAATTTATTCACACGATGGATTCCAGAAGCAAGACAATATTGTCCAGAAGCAGCAATTATTGTTGTTGCTTCCAAAGTTGATTTAAGACATGATTTGAGTGCAGTGGAGACATTGAGGAAAAACCATTTGGAAAAACCAATTTCATTCGATCAGGGAGAAAGAGCATCTACAATTGCCAACTGTTCGACCTATATTGAAACAAGTTCCCTGCAAAACATTGGATTAGGTGATTTGACAGAGTTGGCACTAAAGGCCTATTTTGTAAATATTTCAAAGGAAAGAAAGAAAAATTGTTTTTTACAATGAAGGTTTTATTGAATTATTGATTACCATCTTCTTTTATATCTTCTATCAACCATTTTAGATGAAATTGAGGTATAGATTTTGTGTTTAGAAGATAATGAATAGAATTGAATAACAGGTTGAGGTTCAGGAATATCACAAAAGTCAACTATTAATGATTTCTTTGGAATTTGTTTAAGTAATGATGATAAGTCTGCACTTCCATCTTCCAAATAATTGTCATCAGACAAATCCAATCTCAACGAATCCAATCCATGTATTATACCAGAATTGACAATTTTCTCAACTGAGAAGAATGGAAAGTTCAGTAACTCTAAATGTTCCAACTTTGGAAAGTAGGTCCTATTCACATGATCCAACAATTTTACGTCTATTACATCATCCATAAATTGAACCTCTGATCTGAGAATTAGCAATCTTACATTAGGAAATACAGTGTTCAATTCTTGCATTTCATTGAATGAAATATCCAGAATTAGAATATCCTCATTTACATGACTAACATTTGATTCATGTCCATTTAGACCTATTTTCAACACAAAATCACAAGCTTGATCGATATTTTTTGTTGAATTCACAAGTAATTGATAACTCTTCACTAACCACTTTGTAAATAAATCATCTTCATCTTGATCAACACAATTCAAGAAATTGAACTTTTGTTCAATAAATTCTTCTAAATCAACAAGAGTTTCATTCAATACTTGATCGATTTCTGGATAATCAAATAATTCATCCTTTCCAATCAGCTCTTTTAAAGATCTTTCAATTCCAATCTCTTTCCATAAAACCAATTTACCAACTCTAACCATCATATTCTTCTCATATCCAACTAAATCTCCATCATGTACATGATCCATACTCTTTTGATTATATCCATTCAATAAGATGTGAAGTTGTTTATCGGCAGCAAAGAGAGCATTTCTCCAAAATGTGGCGTAACCTTGAAATCTAATACCACAACAATTTACCAAATTCTTCATGACCAATAAATTGTCAAGACTTGGAATTGTCAAGTTTTCATTGTTGTTTTGAATAAAATTCTTCCACCATCCTATGGTTTTTGTTTTGGAATGGAAATCTCCGATAAGAAACCTGAAAATTTCTTGCAAAATATCATCTGACAGTAAGGTGAAATGGTGTGGAGACATTTTTTTTTCTGGTTCAAAATGAAATGGTCACAATTGACCATTGTGGAATCTCATCAAAGTTTCTTTATTTAAACCAAAGCTGCAGAAATACTTTGCAAATGCAAGAAAGAGTGGACTGTAAATGATTTGCGTAAAATGATTGAGGGTTTTCAAATTAACCCAGGCTTTCAATTTTTTTTTATTGGAATCTCTTTTATTCGAAATAAGTATTCTTTAAATTGTATCAATTATTCACCAAGCTCATCCGTTATTTCTAAATGGGCTGATTTAACATCTCCATTGACTATCAATTAATCAATTAAATCTTCAATTCAATATCATCACTTCTTAACGTTTTTTCTCTTCAAATTCAAAAGTAAAAAATTGACATTGTCGTTAAATTATTAAATCATTTACATAAAGGATGATGGCTTTAGAGGCAGCTTCATCACCACCTCAACCACAACAACAACAACAAGGTACCTATGGCAATGGTTCGGAGAGTCTACTAGCAAATGTTCTTGTTGGTAATTCAGGTCTCCATACAACAACAACATCGAAGGCTTCATCAACTTTATCCCTAGGGAAGGGAACAAGTAAGAAGAAGACACAAAGTAAATCATCAAAACATTACGGATCATCTAATAGTAGTAGTAGTAGCAACAACAATAATAGTACTACTCATGCTGGATCGGCGATACAAGAAAGAAAGGATGAGGAAATTTATTTAGAGAATTTTGTCAAGTGTAGGTTTAATATATTATTATAATATATATTGACAATAATCAACAATTAATGTTTTTATATTGTCATCATCATGATGGAATTTTAATTATTTGCTGATGGTGCAACTTAATAATTGATGATGAATAATTACGTTACTTTTATGATAATGTTGTTGTTACTATGTGGTAATAATGTCATTGACGGAAATGATATCATTATCTTAGCAATTGAATATTTACCGACAGAAATTAGGAAAGATTTGGGGACAATCAAGGAATTGGATAAGAAAACATCAAGTATGTGTTTAATTTATTCATATCATGTAGATTCTTACAATTTTGTGCCAAATATCTTGAATGATTTAAACATTGATAATGATATTTCATGATATTTAATGTGAATAATAATCATAATCATAGAAAATGTAACTTTATCTACTGAATTAGCAAGTGATTCATCTAAATCTAATGCTGATAGGAGTGAAGCAATTCGTAAATTAATGGACGAATCTATTAATTTGAGTACTGAAAAAGTTGACATTTCACAAAGAACACTCAATAAGATTATTCTTCATATGGAAGATTTGGAAAAGAAAATTGAAGAATTATCACAAAATATTCAACAAAAACCACAAAATACTCTCAAACTAGAATCGCTCTACATTCCACAACTTTCTGAAGATAATCAAGTTCACTATTTCACTCCATCAGATCCTAGTTTACAATCTAGTTCATCAAAGAGTAATAAGAGATTGGTTCAACATTCAGAAAATTTAAAAACACTTAAAAGTGGATCTCTCAAATCATATCCAGAAAAGGAGATGCATGCTCATGTATTTAATCACACTCCAGAACAAGAAGGAATTGTCAGAGGAAATTCAACTACAACAAGAAGCTATGCCAGTAGCAGTAGTTCTACAAAGAAGGCAACAGAAAAAGAACCTCCATCTCAAATTACTGTCAAGACATCAACAGGAAGTGTCATTTCTGTACCAAATGATAGAATTGGAAATGCAGACATTACACTTGCCTCAATTTCATCTGAACAAAAAATTAAGAAACAGAAAAAGACCTCTAAGCCAGAAAATGCCCCTGTAAATTTAACACCACTCTCTATTAATACTACCAATACTACTATTAGTAGTAGTAGTACTAATGGTTCTAGAAAGGAGAAATATTCCACTAGCTCTATACCAAAAGAAAATACTCTTGCTTCATCTGAAATCTCATCAATCAAAATACCAAAGAAAGATTCATCTCACACTTCATCAAGTGCTGCCTCTAGTAGTAACAATTCTCACACAACCACTCAATCCTCCACTAAGAAATCTAGATCAGCTGCCAGTAGTAGCAGCAGTGGCTCAACTTCCAATGTCGGCAGCAGTAGCTCAGCATCCACAACTACTGCTGCTTCTGCTGCAACATCTACAAGTGGTGAACAGTCAAAGAGTGGTAAGAAGAGAAAAGCAATTGCATCCTCAACTACAAGTGGAAAAACCAAAAAGCAAAAACAATCATCTGCTGCCTCCTCATCCTCCATTTCAACAAGTGTTGCTGCCACTCCTTCAATAAGCGACCAACAAGCTATTCCATCAGCAGCAGATGCTGCTGGTTCAGATGAAAATACTCTCATCTATGAAGAGAATTTACAAGATCCAACACCATATTGCTATTGTAAGAAAACTATGGCTGAGGATTCTTCTGAAATGGTTGGTTGTGATTCTCCAAAATGTCCAAATAATGGGTGGATTCACAAACATTGTCTTCATCCAGGTGAAGATCCAGATGCACCACAATTTTACTGTCTCAATTGTAGTAAAACAATGAGCAAGAAGAAAAAAAAGAAATAAAATGTCCATTATTAGAGCAAAGACACCCATCTCATACACACAATCCTATGGAGATAAGGAATATTGGGATCAACGTTATTCCAAGTGAGTACACTATTCAATTAATTGAATTTGGAAATATATTAAGGTGAAAAAGACAATCGGAACCATTTGAGTGGTATTTTAATTTTAAGGCTTTGAAACCATTCATTCTCAAATACTTTAAGGAGATGGACTCTCATACTTTATATGTTGGAGGAGGAACATCACAAGTTCCTTTCAAACTCTATGAAGAAGGATATAAACGTGTGACAACAATTGATTATAGTGAGGGAGCAATGGAATCAATGAGGAGAAAGAATACAAATCCCGATTTGGAGTTTTTAACAATGGATGCAAAACATACCAATTTTCCTTCATGGTATTTTGATTATATTGTTGATAAGGCTTGTTTTGAATCGGAATTTTGTGCTGATTGGACTCATGGAGCAAAAACCTACTTGGATGAAATCAATAGAATTCTAAAACCTGGTGGAATGTACATGATGATTTCACACTTTTCTCCAGATAAACGATTACCCTTACTTGAAGTGGACTATTTGCAATGGACAGTACTTGTGGAAAGACAAAACAAACCAAATTTCAGTACAATACCAAACGATGAGAATGACAGTTTCTATTATTTGTACGTTTGTAAAAAGGCAGACGTAAATAAACGGTAATCTTTCATGAACTAATCTCAACCATTGTGAAATATTTAAAAATGAAAATTAAATGATTTATTTAATATCTGTAGTGATCAGCCTTGTATGGACCATTTTGAGAAACACCAATGTAATCAGCTTGGGAGTCAGTCAACTTAGTCAATCTAGCACCGAGCTTTTCCAAATGGAGTCTAGCAACTTCTTCGTCCAAAACCTTTGGCAAAGTGTAAACACCAACAGCATAAGTATCCTTCCACAAGGAGATTTGAGCCAAAGTTTGATTAGTGAATGAAGCAGACATGACGAAAGCTGGGTGACCAGTAGCACAACCCAAATTGACCAATCTACCTTGAGCCAACAAGAGGATGGTGTGACCATCAGGGAAGACGAATTGATCGACTTGAGGCTTAATGTTAATTTCCTTAACACCTTCACAGGTCTTCAAACCGAGGACATCGATTTCATTGTCAAAGTGACCAATGTTACAGATGATAGCAGTATCCTTCATCTTCTTCATGTGATCAAGAGTAATGATATCCTTGTTACCAGTAGCAGTGACGTAGACATCAGCAGTTTCCAAACAATCTTCAATAGTCTTGACAGTGTAACCAGCCATACAAGCTTGGAGAGCATTGATTGGATCAATTTCAGTAACAATAACTCTAGCACCTTGACCCTTCAAAGCTTCAGCACATCCCTTACCGACATCACCAAAACCACAGACAACACATTCCTTACCAGCCAACATGACATCAGTAGCTCTGTTCAAACCATCCAACAAGGAGTGTCTACAACCATAAATGTTATCGAACTTGCTCTTAGTGACAGAGTCGTTAACGTTAATAGCAGGGAACAACAAAGTACCTTGCTTTTGCATAGCATACAATCTGTGAACACCAGTAGTAGTTTCTTCAGAAACACCCTTAATGTGTGGAACAATAGCATGGAAGAAACCTGGTTCTTCCTTCAAAATTCTCTTCAACAAATCATTGACAATTCTCAATTCTTCAACACCACCATCACTTTCCAAAATGCTGGCATCCTTTTCGGCTTGATAACCTCTATGGACCAACAAAGTCATATCACCACCATCATCAACAATCAATTGTGGACCCATGTTTGGACCGAACTTGAGAGCCTTCCAAGTACATTCCCAATATTCAACCAAAGTTTCACCCTTCCAAGCGAAAACTGGGATGTTAGCAGCAGCAATAGCAGCAGCAGCATCATCTTGAGTTGAGTAAATGTTGCAAGAACACCATCTAATGTTACCACCAACAGTCTTCAAAGTTTCAATGAGGACAGCAGTTTCAACAGTCATGTGGAGAGAACCAGAGATTCTGACATTGTTGAGTGGCTTTTCTTCACCGTATTTAGCTCTACAAGCCATAAGACCTGGCATTTCCTATATATTAAAATAATGATAATTGATTGTGTGGTGATTATTATGAATATCCATCGGCAAGGGAAGTTGATGGAAATTGAGCATGATCAAATATTGGATCAGTAGAAATAACAAAATTGTTAGAAATCATTAAAATTATTCTCTATAAAACAAACCTTTTCGGCCATTTCAATTCTCTTACGACCCAAGGAAGCTTGGCTGATATCCTTGACTTCATAATCAGTAGCAGTAACAGTGACGGTTTGGCTCATCTTGTTGTGGAGTGTTGTTTTTTTTCAAAAGACAAATTTTTGTTGAGCGTCATGCTGGGCGATTTAAGTCGTTGGCGAGTGTAGACTTGAAAGATTCAATAAGCCACAGCACAACAATCGCACAAGCTTCAACGCTGCACAATCCCGAACAAGATTTTCTTCACCGTTGAAGACGCAGAAAAGATTCTTCAAGCTTGTGCACGCCAAAAACTCGCTGGGACAAGTCTAGAGAAAATTGTAAAAAATTGAGAATGCATCGTTTTAGGGAGGGATCCTTCGCGTTTTCAAGTTTTGCTAGGTGTGGTCAAGCCAAGATTTGCCAAGCGCCTGTGTGCTTTTGATTGGACAAAAATGAAGTGATGATGCTGGCAATTTGGATTTTACAATGACAAGTTTTATGGTGTGGTAAACATGTTCTGCGAATTATTGTGTGGATTGGTTCGGAATGTTGGTTTTTGGAAGTATAATAGTATACACATGTTTGAGTAGACGAGGTTTTATATTCGAATCCTTACCTTATGGGTATGGCTATTGTGTGGAGTAGTATTCATTGGTAGATTATCGATTAAATGGAGTTGACTGTAATTCTTCTCAATGACCTTTAGGGAAATTGGAGTAATTGAAAAAATCTAACTACAGTTTTCTCAAAACGAAACCAACAAGAATGATCACAACCTCTTCGGATGAAGATCTTGCTTCAACTTTCTGTAGTGCTTCCATTACAATTTCACGAATCTTTCGTGTTGTTGAATATTCAAATCAAGAAGGAGAATATTTGGTATTCTTTCTTCAATGAACCAAATTGAATAATTCGTTTATTATGAAGTATAATAGTATATACATGTTTGAGGATTACTTCAAAAGGTTGCTTTTCTAGTTGATACCGTTAAATTGTTTTTTTGGAGAGCTAACTTATTGGGTTGGATTATCAGGTTTAATCTTATTGGAGAAACACATGTACAGTGAGAGAAATCATTTAATATTAAATTTAATTTTTAAAAAAATGTCTATTTTCTCAAGGGACCTTGAATTATTTTCAAGTTATGCAATAATATCATTCCGATGATTATTTTGCTTGAAGACAAATATTCTTGTTTTCTAGAACAAAGTGCTATTTTTGTTTTCATAAATGGGAGCAAACAGTATCACGTTTATTAGAAACAAAAAAATGCAATCATTCCTCTTCTCAAAAACCACTAAAATAGAGAATCGATTGAATTCTCTAACTGATTTACAAAATTATCATGGCAAAATTAAAACCTTCATTAGATCAGAGGTTGATAAGAATTTGATCACTTTTCAAAAAAGCCAAAATTGTATTACAAAATTATTACAATGCTATGAATTTGATAGTAAACCATTCATAGATGAAGAATTATTCTCTATCAATCCTAAAGATGATAGAAAATTAACTTGTATGAAAATTATGATTCTAATATTCCACTTTGATATGATGACTAAATGTGAGAGAATGATTCGTACATTTGATCCATTCTATTGTTTTATTGAAGATGAAGCGATTCCTCAAGTATTTGATTGTGTAAAAAGAATAACTAGTTTTGAAAATGATCCAAACTTGCAAAGTCCAGTTTGGTTTGATACTGAATTGAGTTCTTTAGAAAGGTGGCAACAATTTATTTTGCACCTTCTTATTCGAATGCAGGTGGATGTTTTGAAATGCTATACAAATATTAATTGTTTGAAACATAAGAGCTCGTACTTTGTACTGGTAATTGCAATAATACTATTGAAATACTTTTATGAAAAGAAGAGGAAATTCTTAAAGTGGAATAGTGGAGAGCTATGGGAACAATCCAAGGCAGATTGTAAATTGTTAAATTGTCTCATAGATTATTGGTATCTATTTATTCTTTTAAAAAAGAATTCGCCACGTTTCAATATCATCGTCGAGGTTTATGGTTATGTGATTACCTGCTGTTTGTACAGCTTTGCAGAGGTGAATGAAGAGAGAGAAATTGACAAACACTCCCATAGAGTAATTCAAACTCTTTCAAATAGCTATTACTTCCTTCCTGAAGTTTATTGGAAAACTTATGTTGCACTTCTAGTTAGTGATTGTAGATGTTATCAGCATTTGAATGATAATATTACCATTATTTCAGATACAGATTTTGGAAAGAATGTATGGGTAATCAAGTACAAATTGCTAGCTTGTATCTGTTCTTTATCAGAGTTGAGATTTATGCTTAATGATCTTTCATTATGTGATAGAGCAAGGCACTTTATATCACTTTATCAATTGGAATTGAGAATGAAAGATTTCATAATAGAAAGTTTGAAAAGAGAAGGTGAAACCAAGTACACACAATGGAAGTTTGGTTCTATAGATACATCTCTTGCTGTTGCATCAATAGATTATTTAAATTATGTTGTTGATATTGGTGAGCATGAAGAATTTATCAGATCAGTGCTGAACCTATGGAAAGGTTATCTATTTTCAAATAAGGGATTTAGGATATGGATCAATAATACAATTGCAGGTTTTCTCGTTTCTAACGAGTGTCCTGATGATTTATTAGAAGAAATTATTAGAGCTCACCAAATTAACTTGATAGAAAACAAGAGTTATATTGCCATTCTGAAAGGGGTTGTTAAAACTTTGAATAGAGAAAATTGTAATCAAACCTTATTGGAGAGTTTCAAAGAATTAGTCATCTATTTGTTTGATTTTTATATTGAGAATGAATCAATGGATTATTTACAAACATTGAACGTTTCAAATGAGGATTTGGTGAAGATTCATCAACAGAATGTAATTAATTGTTTCAAATTAGTGGGATCCTCTTTCCAAATCATTATGGATTGTGGAAAATTGGAAACTATTCTCTCAGAAATTAAGAAAAGGACAGAGATTATGTGGGATAATAACATCTTCAATCACAAGATGATATTCTCCTTTATTGGTATTCTTGAAGAAATTATCAAATATGTTGATTTTGATAATTTAATGGATGTGTTTAACAAGTTGAATTATAATTCATTTATTATAAGATTAATTCATTCCATAATATTTCAACATGAAAGATGTGATGATATTAAACAATCACATAGGAGAACATTTATTGTATTCTTAATTGATAACCCAATTTTGGGAAATGAATTATTACATGACCATATATCGCCATTTATCATTAATCAATCAATGTTGGCTCTGGAATATTTGACGAATTTACAAACGATTAAGAAAGATGATGTTAATATTGAGACATTCGAATATAATATTTGGGCTTTGAGAAGAATGGTTCAAAGTGTGGTTACTAATGGATCTAATCACATTGATTTACATCACTTATTAGATTGCCATTTATCAAAATTTATTCCAATCATGGAAAGAATTCAAACACTAAAAGGTGAGAAAATTGAAAATCTATCTGAAACTATTCTAAGTACATGCTTAATAATAGGTCAATCACGAATGAATATAATAGCTCCACAATTACTCAAATTCATTCATTTAATTTGCGAAATTTCATTTTCACTCTCCATGGAAAATGATGAAGATATCTTGATATTGACTTGTATCTTGAATTTAATTGAATATTTAATTGATAATGAAATGTTAAAGATTGAAATTGGATGGCTAGAGGAATGGATCAATGATGAACATCTAGTTGCCTTGATTCGACATTGCACAACATTTCACAAAATCCTATATAGGAGAATACATTGTAAAATATTAATCTCTCAATAGTCCACATAATTTTCAAACAAATTCAAATTGAGATAATTGTTACAAAAAATCAAAGTTGTTGGATAACAGTAAATTCGGAATTTTCAAGTCCGCCCGATGTTATCCAAAACAAACACCTCAATAAATATTTGAACAACCATTTCACAAAATTTTCCAACAAGCTTTTTACAAACTTGCATAAACCATTCCATCCTCAAAATCTTGCCATTATTATTTTTTCTATTCGATCCTCATGATGTCCTCTTAGTTTTAGATCGTTGGTTAGGAGATTTAAAAAGAGCGCCAACAGCAATCTTCTTTCAAAAAAACAAAATCACACAACACTCTGCATAAAAACTAACTGACCAGACCAGGAGAGTGTTGAACAAGATGACAAGTCAAAAAGACCAAAAAGAACAAAAACAAGAAGGAATGTTCGGAAGAGGTTGCATACTTTTTCTATTAACATGTTCAATAGTGTTTTATTTGTGTTTTGGTTTCTTTGTATATCATGCCATGTTTAGCTTGTCTGATAATTTCTACATTGAAGGCTATATGAAGAGTAGAAATAATACAATATTTGGATTGGAAACTTTTATAAATTGTAGTGATTGGACTCATTCAGTGAAAGAAAAACCATTCTTACAAGAATTGATTAGACATTCTAATTCTATTAAAGATAGTATCAATATTACTGATATTAAATTTAAAAGTAGAGCTACAAGTGACATTCCATATGAATTAGAAATGAATGGTAGATTATATCAATTACCTAAAAAGAGTAAGAAACTTATTTTACTAGTTCATGGATTTAGAATGAGACAAAATCACTATACTATCATTATTCCAATTCAAATGTTATTGAAAGCATTCCCTGATGGTGAATATGATTTCATGACTATGGAATATAGAAATCATGGTTTTTCACAAAAAGAATATCCAAGTAATCTTCTTCCAGATAAATCGTACAGTACTTATGGAAGTATAGAATATGCTGATGTTTTGGGAGCTATTACCTATGCTAGAAATCTTGGATATGAAGAAATTGGCCTATATGGTCCATCAATGGGTGGTGCTACAATTATGAATGCCTATTTGAGATCAAATTCACAAGATAATATTAGAGCTCTATTCTTGGATAGTCCTGCTTGTGATATTGAATTCACTTTACAATCTAATTTATATAGAGTTTTGGGATATGCTCTTGGTCACTCGGATAAATTATATGTTGAATCAAAGAGAATGAAAATTGGTCAATACTTGTTGTGGCCAGCTGTCAAACTTATGGGTACAATTTTGAAAGGAAATCATCCACATGGTCCTTATCCTCCATTCCTCAATGATGCTTATCATTTATGGGTTAAAGAAGCAAAGAGTCCAAGATCATCTGACAAGTCAGTTGCTCTTCATTTTGATCATCCTGAAAGTGATATTCTCGTTCCAAAAGAAAATTCTGAAAGATGCTCAGCTCTTGCCTCCTCCATCTCAAATCTCAAGGTTACTTCATATTATGGAACAGTTAACTCTAAAGCTGCCAAGAGAACATTCTCTGAATGTAAAGACCATTGTATCTTACCATTATCTGAGCCTGAACAATATTATGAAAGATTGGTTAAATTCTTTAAAGAAAATTTATAAAACCAAGTAAAATAGATGGCTTTCATCCTTGTAAACAAAATCAAAGAGTGTTGAATGCTTGACACTCTCTCCATCTTTTGTTTCCTTTAAAATCTTGGCAAATGAATCTCTTACTCTCGGTAGTTCACTTCCTAACTTGATTAAAGATAGTAAATTCTTAGTTATTGGCTCACAAAACTCGGCATAGTCTTTAGAGTGTGTTAATCTGTACAGTATAGAGTGTTTGTCTCGTAATAAATTAAGGCATTTACAAATGATAGGAACAGAGCTAATGACATCCCTTCTAGAGTCAGAATTATTAATGTTATGCAATAGGAATTCTTTGCTTGCTTCAAATACAAGGATTGCTGCCAAAGCTCCTGTTGAATATTGAAGAGCTGATAACAAGTCAATCGCATGAATATCTCTTTCTGGAAGACCTTCAATATCTAAATTATCAATATGCTTTAAGCAAAATTCTATTACTCTCCCTAGTTTAGGAATTAATTCCTTTGAATACTTTTTCCCTTCGCCGTCGAGAGAAACATTCCAGATTAATAAACATGCATTTGAAATTAATGAGATTGGGTAGATCTCAAACATATCAAGAATAGATGAGAGTGAGTTGACAATATTTAAACTGGCTGCTCTTTCTCTTCCTTTTGGGTTAACCTCACAAAGATTAGAAATTGTTCTAATGCACCACTCGCATAAACTCTCATTAGTTGTTTGAGTTATTGTGTAAATAAGAGTATCCAGGACCTTATTGTGATCCGTCCTCTCATCATCATACGATATAATTACTTTACAACCTTCATGGCACATCGTAAATTGACACAATGCCATAGCAGCAGCTATTTTATCTCTATAGTGGGTGGTGTGTTTCAGTTTTGTTGAAGAACCTTTCATAATATCTCCAGTTACTATATGAACAAGAGGTAAAACTAGTGGTTTAAGCATTTCCTTAAAGGTTGAAATGTAAGCTAGAGTTTGTACTATTTTACTTCCCCACTCATTGATGAGAATTCTGTGGGAAACGGTCGATATGGTATTTTGAAAAGTGGATCCAAAGATATGTGCAAGTCCATCTACAATATTAAATTGTGTCATTGCTCTTGCTTTTAGATCGGGATTTGTACATGAATTATAAATTAATTTTAAGGCTTTGATCCTCTCCTCGTTGGAAAACTTATTGTCCTTCAGAATATTAATATTCCTTTGAAGGCCTAAATAACCATAGGAATCGTAGGCAACATTTTGAGGTCTTTCATTGAATGGAATTTCCTTGTAAGGATACCGTTTAGCAAGTGCTTCATCAACTTTAAATACGGATTGATGAGAGCCTAGCGATTGCTGCACGGTTGCCCTTAACATTTTTTTTAATTATTAAAAAACAACAATATCAAATTCTGGCGGGCAAAAATTTACTGTTTCATTTTGGCGGGAGAACCTCATAACCTTTAACTGGACTATTGACATTTTCAATTTTACTATTTTAGAACTATTTACAATTAATTGAGATCAATGTTTATTGAAAATCCAATTAAAGACAAATGTCAGAACCTATCTAACAGCACGGTTTGAAATATTTACAAGTGCACCATCCAATCTTTGTATCGATTTGGCGCGCAAATCATTATGATCTGATTTCTTTACAATTCCAACATTCTTATGAAGATTTCCCTTTGATAATGCAGGTTTTTTCATTGCTTGATTCGATTGCTTATTGACTGGTTCTTGATTTACATTTTCCTTATTTGAAACCTTAATATTATTTGTATTTGAAGATTTCAATGTTGATGTCGAGGATAATGCAGGTGGTAATTGAACAGGATTGAAATCTTCATCATTGGTTGGAGTTTGTGGTGTCATGAATGGAGTGGAGCTTGTTGTGGTTGAGCATGAAATGTTAGAATTATCATTGTGTTGAGCTAGGGCATTTTGTAATGGAGATGGTGAAACGTAACCTTTCATTGTGGTTGGATTGAGTGAATTCTTTCTCTTTGGTGTTCTTAGGGTGTTGGAAGTACTTGGTAAATCTCTTTGTCTATTAATCATTAATTTTGGAGTTGTGGATTGAGTCAATTTGGTCATTGGCTTTGAATTGTCCAAATCCAAATTGAGAATATCAATTGCATCCAATCCAAACACGTCATCATCCAAAACTAATTGAATTCCATCATCTGCCAAAATATTGAGTGCTTCTTGTCTTGTCATGATTTGTGGAGGTAGAAGATTTGATAATCTTGGTGGGGAAGGAGGTAAATCTTCCAATTCATATTCTTTCATATTCGAATGCAGATTATTTGGATCGTATGGTTGAATTGGAGATGGTAAAACAAATACCTTCTTAATTAAATCATCATCTTCATCAAAGAGTGAATTATTTACCATAACATCATCATCCAATTGAATATCTGTACAATCTAGTATATCTATTATATTGTGTCTTGTATTCGAAAGCACAACAATGGACTCTTTCTTATTCGAATGTTTGTCAAGTTGCAAATTTAATGGAGTCAATTCCATAAATTTGTTTAAATCTGCAAATGGTTGAAGAGATTCTCTTGTAATTGGATTTCTCTTAACAGTAGGTGATCTTGGATCAAAGAAAATTTCATCAATGTCATCTTGTGGTTGACTCTTAGGTTTGACAGGTGCATTTTGACTTAATTGATCTAGGTCAATATTTAATTGAGGTGTTATAAACATGTTAGCAATTAAATCTCTCTTCAATTGTTCATTATGCGGAGTAACTGGCGTAGTGCCATTTGGCCTAGAATTTGTTGCATTACCATTTTGTTTAATATTTTGTAATAGAATATCATTAATAGTATTCTTTTGTATAACATTTAAATTTCTATTGATTGCTGCTGTTGAATCCTTGTTGTGTTGTAAATCTACAACAATGGGTCCACTATTGACGATATGGAAATCACCATTTGTATTCATTGGATATGAGGTAACCATTATATTCGAATCTAGAGTTTCGGCTTGAAATAATTGTTTCAAATTCTCTTTTGATGATTGTACCTTCTCCTTGAATGATTTACCCTTCTTCAAAGAGTTTTTAGATGAAGATTGTTTATTTCCCATTCGAAAGTTCTATAATTCAGCAGTTTCTTCTTGTTGTATTAAGGAAGATATTGGAAGTTTTTTTGTGTCGGCTTTTAATTATTATTTGATGCTAAATGATTATTGTAGAAGAAACAGCTACAGTAATGTGCATCTTCCTTTCGTACCAGTTAAATTCAGTTTGACAGAGATGGACGCCTTAATTGATGACTTTTGAAGTGTATAATGAAAAGGTCTGACAAGGAGAGCCAGCAAATACAACTTTTAATAACTGCCTTTAAAGTTGTTTATTACATCTAAGAATGATGAAGATGACTTCTTTTAGCTTGTCCAGTGTAATTCATTTCCATTATCTTTGGAAGATTTGAAATTCTGTTAGAGTTATCAAAGGATAATGAGCTGAAACAATACAAATAGAATCCAAATAGTCATCGTACGTAGGTCAAAGTAATTCTGTGAATTTGGTGCAATCATTGTCATGTTGATAATCTTCCTTAATTAAATGCACACATAACATTATTCCTTTGTTTCCAAATCATCATTCAAAATTTAATCAAAAACAATTAAATGTCTTTAGAATCATCCTTGATGGATTCCAATGCTCGTTAATTCACGGGCCAAATTAGCAAAGATTATGTAAGCAAAACCACAAATAATCAGCTTACCAAAAGACTACAAGTAAGTTCAAAGCTGTGTTTAGTATACTAACCCAACTAGCAACAAGGGATTTTTGGATATTTTAGAATCTTTTGGTATGACCTTTGCAAATTTGAAATTCCCTTGTACCATATGGACTTGAAAGATACAAGCTCTTTTGCCTATCATATCTATCAATGTATTTTTTCAAATTTAACTCCACTGATTATTTCAGATATTTCCTATGAAAACTGTTTTGATTCTGAATTAATAACAAATAGCAAAACATTGAAAAAGTTAAGGGAATTGGATATTTCTGACATTACCATGACAAGAGACTTTTCAAAGGAAGAATTACAAAGAAATTCAACCTTTGCAAATTTGAAACCTCTTTAATTACCTAAGGAATAATGAGAAAATAATGAAATAATAATGAAAAACAATTGCCAACCTTAATTATTTCAAATTTGCCAAACGAGCTCTCAATACATCATCCTCTGCATTTGAAGAATGTGATGATGATAAATTACCCATCATCACATTGTGAGAATAACTATCACTTGGATAAACAATTGGCATTCCCATCTTTTCCCTAACAATTTGTTCCCAATCATCTTCCTCATCTTCATCGCAACATTCTGGAAAATCATCCACTGTGTACTCTTCTGATGAAGGGATCACTGAAATAGCATCACTACTTCCTTCCATAAATTCATGAATAATTCCGTCCAACAAGTTTGGTGTATGGTTATTCGTCTTGATCAATTGAGTCAAGATTTTGTTCATTACTTGTTTCATTTCGTCACCATTCGAATAATTGATCGATTCAAATTTCAAACAATGAACCTGCAATGAAACTTTTAATTCGTGCATTTTCCTGGATAGTTTTCTCAACTTCATGATTTGATGGGCGATGGATTTTGTTTCTGGGATTTGAAACCGATTGACTGATCGTTTTAATTGTAAGGTACTTGATGCTTCTTCTCTTTCTAATTTTAGACATTGTCTTTCAACGAATCGAATAGTACGTTGGATATTTCGTTTGTTTGTTTTGTGCTGAACAATATCAGGATCGGGAGTATTTTGATTGAAAATGAGTTGAACAAGTGCAGACATTTTTTTTGAACTTTTTTGTAATGGTTTTGTAAAAAATATTTAAAAAAAAATGTCTGAACTGTTGCATCGAACCCTTTCGCACGATGCCCTGATCGACATTCTCATTTTTTGCCACGACGATTTAAAATCAGTGATGAATTTGGCATCAACTTGTACAACACTTTATGCTGCAATTACAGAATGCTCTGAACGGTTGTGGATTTACATTTTGAATAAGAAGTTCATGGGTAGTAGAAGGGAGAAGAAGGGATCCAACAAGAGGAAGAATAGAAAGCCATTGGTAAAAGAAAAGACACTTTCGATATTGGAAAATAGTACTGGACTTTCGGATAGAAGTAAACAAATAATTTCCATAATAAGAACACAAGTAAGATTTGAAAGGAAACATCAAATTTTGAAAGGATATTATGAGGAAAGAGATTTTGCTAAATACAAATACTTTTCAAATTTGAATATTAAGGATGATTATATTTGGAAATTGCTTAAAAGGGAAATGGTAGAATCTAAGGCAATTTACTCACCAGAAAATATAATTAAGGAGAAATTTGGAAATTCACCAATTCAACTGATTTATTTATACTTTAACGGTAGCATGTACACTGTGAAAGAATTCATAGATGCCATATTTAGGAAAGAAAATGCTCATCTTGAATTAAATATTCATAACAGAACCATTTCTTCATATCTTTACGATTATTGGAAAGAAAACCGCAAGTCAAAACTGGATTTCAACCAGGAGCTATCCAACTTTATACGTTACACACGTATTTGTCAAGACACCAACGATTCTTTATTATTTATCAAATTAATCTATTTAGAATTTCCAAATGTAATGAATGGTTCAAATCAAGAAACAGCATACGAACAAGAGAAACACACTAAAGGAAGTTTCAAAAACACATTACTCTACTTTAAAAATTATCTTGCCAATGTGCAAGAGGCAGTGAATATTTTCGCAAAGGAGCTCTATGGAAACAATATTGATTTAAAAGTTTACAATCGATAAATTTGTTCTAAATTAATTGGACAGAGTAACAGAGATATTGTTGTTTTATTCCTTTGAATAATACCAATTAATCAGCTTCTTCTTTTTCTCCATCCTCACCTCCTTCTTCTTCATCATCATCTCCTCCAAGTCTCAGCTCAATTGAGACACCAACAGCATGATACAAATAGGAAGCAATAAATCCAATCAAACAAGTGATGAGCATACTTCTCATAATTGTTGGATAATAATATCTAAAGAATGAAATCTTTCCATCCAAATTTCTTTCAAGATCATCAATAAAATCCAATGTTACACTATCAATTTCACGCAACTTATCGTGAATATCCATAGCCAAATATTCCTTTGACTCTTTCAAATTTTGTAAATGATAACCTTGAGCATCAAGTCTATATCTCAATGAATCAATAATTTCATTTGTTTTGGCATATCTGAATTCATTCTTGAGATGAGAGACCACCATTTCAACATGGAGAATATCACAACCCAAGTTTTCTAATTTAGCTTCCATGGAATCAACTTGATATTGCAAACGATTAGCCTTTTGATTAAATTGCATCTCCATGCGATCAAATTCCTTCAATTCAAACTCTAATTCATCAATTTCTTTCTTTAAATACAATTGAGAATGATCATATGAATACATGCTTTTAAGATTGTTCAATCGGGAGGTTAAGTCTTCTCTATATTGTTGATAAATCCAGAAATATCTGTGGAAGTGTAATCTATTAACATTGTTAGAATCTACAATGGATGATTTTGTTATTAATGATACATGGAAATTTGATTGTTGTTGTTGTTGATGACGATTATTTAAAAATCTATTTTTTATGATGATATTATTGTTTGATGATGATCTAGAACTTGCCTTCATGAGGGAAGACAAGATTTGCTTGGCGCCAAATCTTTTCATTTTTTGTATTTTTAATAACTTTTGATTTTTAACAACAGTTCATCATTATGAAGAGATTGATACATTTCGAATAACAAGTTATCTCGATTAATAATTAAATAGGTTTTTATAATAATTTATTTCTTTTCCTTAGGTTTTAATGAAGACAAAACATCATCAATACGGAGAATTAAACAAGAAGATTCAATAGCAGTCTTCATAGTTTGGACCTTAACTTCATATGGTTCCCAAATCTTGAGTTCAGCAGTGTCAGCGATAACACCCTTGACACCATCAACACCCAAGTTGAGGTTTTGGTCATTGGCATGCTTGGATCTCAATTCAGTAATAATACGAATAGTATTAGCACCACAGTTTTCAATCAAAGTTCTTGGTATCACTTCCAAAGCAGTAGCAACAGCTTGATATGGGAGTTGTTCAATACCCTTGATAGACTTTGACTTTTGCATCAAGTGTTGTGAGACACTCATTTCAACAGCACCACCACCTGGAACAACACGTGGATCAACAAAGATATTCTTAACAACGTGCAAAGCATCTTCCAAATTTCTTTCAATTTCATTCAAAATATCCTTACTACCACCTCTCAAAAGAATAGTACAGGCCTTTGGATCCTTACATTCTTCAATGAATGAGAAGTATTCATCACCAATCTTTCTAACTTCGAACAAACCAGCACCATTACCAATGTCGGATTCCTTAATTTCTGAAGTTCTAGAAACAATAGTAGCACCAGTAGCACGAGCAATACGATTGTTATCAGTCTTTCTAACACGACGGAGACAACTGATGTTATTCTTGATAAGATAATATTGAGCCAAATCAGAACATCCCTTTTCGGTAACGACAAGGTCTGGCTTGAATTTGATGATATCGTCACAAACTCTCTTAATCCATTCGTCTTCCATTTTAAGCAAAGTTTCAAAGTCTTCTTCCTTTTCCAAAACAACATTAGTTTCACTTTCACCCTTCTTATATTCAAGAGGGCAATCCAAAAGCAAAACTCTTGGATTTTCAATTCTTCTTCTCATCTTTGGATGGAGGATATCCTTGTTAATCATGACACCATTCAAAACTCGTGATTCATTCAACAATCCACCTGGAATCTTTTCAATACGAGCATATCTCTTAACATCAATATCCTTCTTTCCATTTTCCATATCAGTTGCTACAGTTTTAACAGCTTGAATAGCCAATTTACACATCAAATCACTGTAACGATGAGTGAATTTTGTTCCTATACTTGTATTTACGATTTCAGCAACTTCTTCATAGTTATTTACGTCGATCTTTCTTGACATCTTTTCTGAAATAAAGTCAACAGCGTCTTCAAGAGCCTTCAAGAAACCCTTGACAATACGAGTTGGGTGAATCTTACGTTGCAACAATGGTTCGGCAACTGTAAGAATTTCACCAGCAAGAATAATTACTGAAGTAGTACCATCACCAACTTCTTCATCTTGTGTTCTACTCAATTCAATCATACTCTTAGCAGCTGGGTGAGTAACATCACATTCTCTCAATATTGCGTTTCCGTCGCTAGTAAGTTGTACAGTACCCATTTGATCGAGAATCATTTTCAACATAGCCTTTGGTCCTAATGTAGTTCTTACAATAGAAGCAATAGCCTTGGCAGCTTGAATGTTAGCCAATTGGGCCTTTGTACCTTGTTCTCTCTTGGAGTTACCCTCTATATAACATTAAAAACATTAAATGTTGAAATGATGATGGAAAGGTTATTCATATTGTTATTATTGTTGTATTCAATATGTTGTTGTAGTGTAAAATCAGTGATACAAAAATGAACGGAAAATTCATGATGATGAAAATTATCAACATTTCAACAAGTGGTATATTATGTATAGTTCGTATACAATCATTCCTACAATTGATAGTTTAATACATACTAAGAACGTAAATTTGTGGTTTGGCTTGGGCAAACATTGTGTGTTGTATTTTTTTTAATTTTTATTACAAATCACTTCCGCTACCTTTCCGTCTGTTTGACAAGGGTAATCTTCTTGCTACAAAATTGCCTCAAACAACACCAAAGCCAACAATACCTAAGAATAATTTCAAATAAGTTGAACAACACAAGTTAAATTATCATTGAAATGTATGGAGACCTATAAAATTGGTTACGGCCACAACTACAAGGCTTTCAATATTTTTACAAGACAAAATCTGGCAAGTAATTGAACATGTTACCAAAACTATTCTTTGTAAAATTGAGAAAGACAAGTTTACCATGAGGCATTACATGATGAAGTTTTGAGAGCATTTCTTCAGGTTTGAAAAGAAACTAATGTTAAATAGTACAGTTTTGGTACAACATTTTGAGAAAATAACTTACTTCTCTTGGGTCAATTGGTGTATTAACATCTTTCTTACTGAATGCTGTATGATTAATCAAATGATTTATGATATATTCTGCATAAGACATGTTACATCTCATTGTACAAACAAGTGAATAACAGAATGAACATTTTGGTGGTATTTTCCACATGATTGTATGTGATTCATTATTAATAGTTCTTTGCAAATATCCAGAATTTGAACTGAATTCTTCTCCTAATGGTACAGTGAATGAATTTTGAGATTTCCAATCTTCTTGAACACTGCTAATAATTTGTGAAATTACTTGCTTATTGTGTGCTGATGGAATTTCTGTATCAATTTCATCAACTTCCACTTTTTCATAAGATTGAGCAAACCAACATGTTCCCTTGTCAATTGAGTGAATTATAAAATATAAAACATCTGTAACTCCACTTTGTAATTTTGAAATATTATCATTCATTAATTTAGCATCATGTTTCATAAATTGTAAATATTGTTGTACGTGAGGAGGTATGTGAGCCTCTGAATTATTGTTACCTCCTGAGGTATCATTTGACATTCTCCGATTATGTTTTGTATCTACAATATTAAATATATCATCATCACGTGTTTGATATAAATCTGTTGGAGTTGTCGCCGAGGAAATACTCTTTGGTGAGAGGGGAGTTGTTGGATTTGATCGTGATGGAAATGGTGTGTGAGGTTGTTGCATTTTTTTGTAATAAACACTAAAACATTATTAAATATTGAAATATTTGAAAATAAAAAAGCAATTTTATTGTTTCGTAGGAGTTTGTTGAGGAGTTTTTGAAGAGTATCTTTGTAAAAGTTGATGGAAGAAATGTTCTGCATTCTCAACCTGATCTGATGTTGTTGAGCCTGGTGTGGAAGGTTTTAAAATGATATTTTCTGACGAATCACTTCTAAAGAATTCTGGAGTGGCAGGTGTTAAGGCAGGAATTCCAGAAGATCTTGGACTCAGGTCATATTTTCCTCTAGGCGTTTGATTTCCTTTGCTTGTTCCTCGGTTGTAAGCTCTGAATGGAGAAGACATTGATGATGGTGAAAGTAATGGTGTGATATCAATGTCTGTTGGTCTTTGCATCATGTTTCTCACTTTCTGTTGCTTTTTGAGAAACACTTCAAAATCCTCGAATGGATCTGAAAATTCAATACTTTTTTCAGACGATGACGATAAATCGAAATCGCTAATTAAGGTGTCAAAATCTACTCCTTCAGGATCGTTCGTAACTGTTGAGCAATCTATTGACTTTACTTTAGCTACAGTGTCACATCCACTTGGAATAACAATACAAGAATGCTCTCTTGATTCCATACATTCTGCAAATTCAAAAGGTGTATTGTAACAAATATTCATAATATATTTCTTCAATAGTAAGCAATTAATATTAGACGAGGAAGATGTATAAAATAGTGAAGCTCCATCTTGATGATTGAGAAGAATATTAATTTTGTGACAATCAAACAATCTACTTACATCTGTAACATAATTTTCTCAATTTAAAAAGTATGAAATTAAGGAAGTGGTGTGGAATGATATTGATAATGGATTTTTTGGTACAGAATGAATCAGCAATTTTCTCTGCCATATCTGATTTTGTAATTGCAAGCACAATTGGTATTCCAAGATTAGTATCAATAACCGTAAATTCATTTGGATTTTCAGATGTGGATTGCTCTCCCTTCTTGAATGTTGATTTTACTCTATCATAACATCTTTGCATTCCTTCTTCCTTCAATTCGGGAATGATTTTTTCATCGATATGATCCTGAAGTATCCTTATCCACTTTTTAGTTCTCGAAATTATATTCTTTGTGTTTGATATATCTACAGTAATAACTACAACAGTCTTTTCAAATGTGGTAGGATTAATTGCAAAATCCAGCAAGTATGAAAAGTACTGATTTTCCATTTGATAAATATTAAGATATTTGTCTCTATCATTTCTTGTAGAGTCTGAGAAATCATCATGTTTTGTAGAATCAATTGCTTTAAAGTATGTATACTCAATAGAAAGGGTATCATGATAAACATCTCCAGCAATTTCCTTTCCCTGAAATCTTCTAACAAGACTCCTTTGACCATTCTTTGCATCTCCCAAAAACACAATACTATAACTATCCTCAATCCCTTCCTGCAGTTTCGGATCTATTTTCTGTTGTTTCAATAAACTACCCCAGACATTATTTCGTTCCTTTTGATGATTAGTTGGAGTGCTTGGAGTTGTTTTTAAGGAATTATTGAAGGTTGTTGTTTGTTGAATACTCGTCATTTTTTTGTAGAATGATTGAGCGCCAAACCTTCATATCTATTAACAATAATTATCAGCTTATTCAAATAATCTTTTCAAATAGATCAAGAATTGGAATCAAAATTCGATATTAATTTTGTTTTTTAATTACAAATTTAGTTTTTTATGAGGATAACTCTCGGAATTTATTCTTGAGAAGATGAAACAACCTTGGAGGCCTTCTTATAGTATTTATAAATCTTGCTTTCCTTTGGTGGTTCAGCAACCATGATAGCACAAGCTGGTCTCTTTGTCAATGTAGCCTAATATTGGTTATTGTTATTATTAATATTATTTTAAAATAAATAATTAAAATTTGTGATGACGATGAATGATACTAACCTTGCCTAATTCAACTTTAGATTCAACAAAAACATATTCAACACCTTCGGTACTCTTGATGAGTTCTGGGAAGTGAGCAATAATATCCATAGGATAACTATCACCAGCCAAAACAACGAATCCCTTGGTTTGTTTTCTGATGGCTCTATTAACGTTCTTAATTCCTCTATGTAAAACATTCTTTTCCTTTGATTGAACAGCTTTAGAAATTACTTTGAAGATCTTGCTAACATCCTTTTCTGATGAGACCAATGGTGAAGCAAATGGCAGCAGAGGAAGTCTAATTTGTTGTTCAGTTGATGTTGTTGTAGTTTCAGTTTCAGAGTCACTCATTTTTTTTGTTGAACGAAAAAAATTCAAAAAACAAGAGCAAAAAAGTTTTATGACCTTCAGATAGTCTGTTTAGTAGTACAAGCATTGTTATATTGTGTTATTGTGTGCAGTGATCACTGTGCATGAATATAGGAAGGATAGGAAGGTGAGCGAAAAGATTAACTAGAGGTGAAAAAATTGCAAGGAACGATAAAGAATTGCGAGCGTGTGAATTGGTTCATCAAATATTTTTAACATTTTTGAGCTTCAATGAAGTGAAAATTATCAGAAGTGTTTGAGTAAAAGCCAATTTTAGAGTAAGGATGAAACATTTGCTCTCATGGAATGAATTTATCTTCACAAAGAATAATATGATGAGATAACAAATCGATTGAATTGATTAAAATTTGTAAAATTTTTGAAAGATATCTCTGCAACAATTAGTTCAATGAAACTTGAGTTTATTGAAAAATGATTCAGGATTGGAATTGAAACTCTATTAGAAATAATTATTCCTCTTCTTGATCAAATTCTTCTTCTTCATCGAAGGCTTCCATGATAACTTCATCAGCAAGATTATCAAAAATTTCACTGGATGAATCACTTGCAGAATAAAAAGATGGACAAAGGCTTTCAAAGTAAAGAATATTCTTGGACTAAACGCTATTAGAAATTAAACTATTTTGAAAAACAAACCTTGTGGGCAAGACAAATTTGTTGTCTCTTGACACAAACACTTCTGGACAATTGATTTACATGCTAATGATAACGGCATGTTTAATTTCGAATAATTCATAAAATAAACTTACTCTATTAGAATCAGAAACACATTTTGGAATCTTCTTGAGACAAGTATATTCAATATGAGCAGCCAAACATTCCTTTGAAACATTTTCAGGTGAGGCAGCAAAAGCAGCAATTTCCTTGCAGACACTTCCTTCTAAATCCTTGATGTAATCAACATTGACTTTAAAATCAATATTTGGACAACAAGAGAATGAATGAGCAACACATGCATTAGTAGGGGTATAAATTGCTGTTACTTGAGTAACAACAAATAACAAAACAACAAGGCAACCTGCCAAAAACAAATTCTTCATATTTTTTTGATGTTTGAAAGCGATACTTCCATTGTGTACAGTTTAAGTAGCTGATATAGAATGTTTCATGGTTGGGTTTGTTCATTCGAGTTAGGTCATGATGTGTATGGGTAAATCGGGATTGTTCTTTGATTTTACAATGAAAAATAATAATTTTCCTATTTTTCTTCAATTTACAAGAAATTTAAAGATTTTTTTAAATTTAAAGAAAAAATGTCGATAAGTGGGGATGGGAAAAGAATACGGATGGATGAATTGGCTCCATCATTGAAGAAGATGAAAACAAATGCATCAAAAGCTATAGCTTCTCAATTGTGTCATGATGAAATATTAAATATTTTACAATTTTTAAATGTTAAACAAATTGTGAAATGTTTATTAATCAATACGAATTGGAATATTATAGGATCATCAAATATTATATGGAAACCATTATATAATCACTTTTTCATGAATGAATTTTTCAAGTGGGATCAACAATTGCAAGATATTTCCAAACTCGAAAGTAATACTTTCCTTCCCGAACTTAAATTGCATTCTCACAGGAAGAAAGAAGATTCAGATATTAAGGATTTGAAAAAAGAAACCAATAATTTATTGGAAAAATTCAAGGATAAGAATGGAAATGTTAATTATTATCAATTATTTCAATTTGATTGTCATTATCCTCAAATTAATGAATCAAATGTTGATATTGTTGATCAGTTGAGGAATGTTGATTCCATTTCTAATATTGAAACTTTGAAACAATTAATCAAGCATATTTGGAAAGATAAAGATAAGTCTGAATGGTACAGAATTATTGGAACATCTGAAATGATTCTTGACAAGTCGAACAAATTGTGGAAAAGAAAGCCAATTCTCACCTTTATAGCCATTACCTTATTAGTATTATTCAATAAGAAGAGAATTAATTATGTAGACGGAATTATTGTGCTGACCAATGTAAAAAACAGTTATACACAAGAGCAAATTTGCGAAATGCCAATTTTGGCTTTTTGTAAAATGATTTCCTCAAACGAGGAAAATATTTCCAAATTATGCTCCAAACACAATTATAAGAAAATGACTTTGGGTGCATTTCTAAAAGTTTCTGATAAACAAACAGGTAAGATTTCTTCCAGACATCCACCCAAGCCAGATATAAATCTAACAAATCTCAAACTCTGTTTCAGATCAAAGAATGACGAAACATTTATTGCAGTACAATCAGTTTCTGATAACATGAATCCTGATGTGTTAGAGTTTGCTCCCTCGTTTTTTAATGCTGGAGGAAGTTTACAATGTGTTCAAGAGGTGAAAGCTGTTTTGGTTGAGAATGGAATCAGGTTTGAAATTAAGAATGGAGCTAAATATTGTTAACTTTTCAAAAATTGTTGTAAAGTTTTCAATATAATTAATATCATGTATTGGTGAAATACGAATTGCTTTGAGTTGTTTCAATGCAACACTGAGTTTGTATCATAAAATTAATAGCCAATGAAAAGACCTGAATAGTGGAATAAAGAGAGATGGCTGTCACTCATCAAATTTTAAAAAATGTCTAAAGAGAACGATGACTTGGACTTTCTTGCCGATGACTATGATCAACCATCACAGTCCCCAAGAACAACATCAACCCGTCGATTATCTACAAGACCTCGTGTCGTCCTCAAGAAAACCTCCAATTCATCATCAAATTCGACAAGTGGCAGAAGAGACAGCATCAACTCTAATGATGAATTAACTTTAGATCAAATACAATCACCACCTTCTTCTTCATCATCAGCTACTACTTCACCACAATCAATTTCCTCTCCTCCAGAGCCAACATCAATCAACCCAACAAGAAGTGGCAGCAGTAAAATAATAATTGGCTCCAAGATACAAAAACCAATCAATAACAATAATTCAACAACAACAAACAAACCAAGTCTCATTACTGAAAGCTCCAGTAAAGTTCAAACTAAAAAGTTTATGAGTAATTTATTGAAAAGTGTTCAGACCACACAAAATAATTCATCTCAACCTTCCTCTCCAACCAATGAATCTCAACAACAACAACAATTGAATGGATCTGGTGGAGTTGCTACTGCTACTACTGCCAATGCTAATAATTCCGAAGGTATTGTTATTGATGAAGCAGAAGAGAAGAGAAGAGATTTTGATGAATTGATGATGAAATCCTCAAAGAGACAACAACAACAATTATTCAGTGATAATGATAAGAAACAAATTACATTGGATAAACTTGAGAGTTTGATGCAAACATTGGATAGACATGATAGAGTGCCACTGTTGGATGAAAATATTAATATTGTTGATTTGTATAGTAGTGATCCATCTCAGATTGATGCAAAACAGGGAATTATCAAATCAAATCCTCCACTCTTTCAGAAACATGATCAACCATTAGATATTGACTTGTTTGAGGAGATTACAAGTTTCAGTACCATTCAGAGAAGATATCTTTCACAAGATGAAATGGTTAAAGGTGATTTCAAGACAAGTCATGAATTCCAATTGAAACCAACTGTTGGAAATTTATCAAGTGCAGTTGATGAAGTGAGAGAATTTGTAAAGAAAGAGAAGGAACGTCATCAAATCATGATGGGTGGTGAAGAAAAATCAACACAAAATGAATCTTCTTCATCTCTAACTGGTGGTGGTGTGCCTGGAGCCAGTTCTTCCTCATCTGATTTGAAATCAAATTTAGAAAAACAAGTTGAACATGAATCACATATGGAAAAAGCTAAGAAAATTTTCAGAAAGATTGAATATCGACATGTTTTCAAAGATTTAGTTAATAGATTGGTTATGGAAAAGATTGGTATTCCTACAATTTTACGTGTCAATTCAAAATTTATTGCAGTTGGTACATCGAATGGTCTCATTGTTTTATATCACAGAAAGACTGAAAATCGTTTGGCAATTTTGGGTTCCATTCAAAATGAAGAAATTACAAATTTGAGTGGTGGAAAAGTTGTTAGACCTATTCAAGTTACTGCTCTCGATTTTGGTTCTAAAATGACATTACCTTATGAAGAGTTTAGTGCCAAATCAGAACAAGATTTATTAATGTTATATTATAGAATTTCAACTGATCAAGATGATTATACTGTTAATGCTACAACTGGAGGTGATAAGCAACAAGATGAAGAAAATATTGAAGTATTGAGTCAAACTTCACGTGTACTTGTCAGTGGTCATTCAGATGGTTCTATTAACATTTGGAATTTATCAACATTTAAACCTGTCAAACCACTTAAGGGATATTTCACAAAACCTGTTCAGAAAATTGTAAATTTACACAAAACTAGCAAGCAATATAATGCCATTGAATTTTTGGCAGTTGATACAAGTGGTAGAATGAAACTTTTCAATGTGAGAAAGATTATGTTTGCTTACTATGTTGATGTTCAACCTATTTTATGGGCAAACATTCCAAAAGAAATGACTTCCTTCAAGTCAACCAATAATTTAGAAAGTGAAAATGGTGAATCCAATTCTTCTCAATTAATTGCTAGTAGTATGACTCCAGAACAACAATTAAAGATGAAAGAATTAGAAAAGAGACAACAACAAGAAAAGATTCTTTCCACCTTTTCAGAATTCCAAGTATTACCAAAATCAGAGGGTAGACATCCATTGGATAGATTTGTTTTGGCTGCTGTTGCTACTGAAAGTGAAGTTACCATTCACTCTGTTAAGCCATCAAGTAGACAAATTGCAACACTTTACAATAATAGTGTTTTAGATATGGCTAGTGGTGCTGCTTCATCTGCAGGTTCATTCATGAGAAAGAAGATTACTCCAAAGATTGCATGGAAAGCAAGTCAAATGGTTGATGGTGATCATAGAGGATTAACTGTTTCTCTCAATGATCAAACTAATCCTTATTTGGCAGTTGCTTGGGGCAACAGAATTGCATTCTATCATGTTGAAGTTCAACAACCTTCATCCTTCTTTAATTTCATGTTTGGAGGTAATTCTAACAGTGCTTCAACCAATGGTCAAGCTAACATCAATGGAACACAAAATGGTTCTTCTCAAAATGGTAATTCAAATGCCAATACACCAAATGGATCATCAAATATGAATGTTAATATGGGAGGAAGTGATTTGCCAAATATTTACTTTGCTTCTGAAATGTTTGTTCCATTCAATATTGAACATATTCACTGGTTGACTGACGATTTATTCATCGTATTGGACTCCAAACAAAGCAAGATGCTATTGATTGATAGAAAATTGGAAAGCTCAACCAATTGGATAGAAGAAGTTAATTGTAAAGATTTAATGTTGGACTATATCTCTGATCCAATGATGAACATTCCAAATAATTTGAAAAAGAAATATGGTTTACAATATGGTGGTGGTTTTACAAGAGGTAGCTTTGATGTTTCTGCATTCCAATATATTGAAATCTTACGTCACTCTTCAATTACTCCACAAAGCTTGAAGCATTCCATGTATAATTCTTCAGATAGTGATGATACTGTCAGTATTCCAAGTACAACTCACTCATTTGCATCCGAAATGTATAGAGCTAGCTATGGAGGTGGTGGCATTGTTACTGTCAAACATCGTAGTCCAACTATTTACATGTTGGGCGCTTCCGAGTTGAGAGCTATGCGTTGCTTGTCTTGGGATGAAAGAGTTGTTGCTCTTCAAACTATTGGAGAGTATGAAGAAGCTTTGAATATGTCTGTTGAAATGTTCAACGATCCAACCTCTATTGGTGCTCTTGTTGGGCTTCCAAACAAGGAAGAAATTCAAAGACATCAAGCTGTTAGTGCACTCATTTCTTCTATCCTTGTTGATTACAGAGATACAAAATTGCATCAACTTCAACTTGATAATGGTTTAACTCATCAAAAAGTGGAAAGTTTAGTTCAAGTTGCCAGAAATTGTTTACAAAGAGCAATTGAAATTAACGATATTGAATTGATTGAAGGAACTTTCATGTCTTTTGAACATTATGGTTGCGAACACATTTTCTTCCAATTGTTGGTTGAAGAGCTTATTTTGAACGGTGCCCTATCAAGAATGATGACAATTGACTCTAAGAAAGCTTCATATGACTTTATTCAATCTCAATTCATGAAGATCAAGGATTTGTACACATCAGATGCTGATCCAGAGAAGGGTGAAAAGGGGTTGATTGATCTTTCAAGATATATCAAGTATCACAACAATATTGATAACGAAATAGCATACGATTCCAGTTCAATTCATCCACTTTCTCCAAAGGTCAGATTCGAAAGACTCGAAAGTATTATTCTCAATCTGGATATTTCCAAATTGCAAATTGAATATGAAATTTTCTTGGAATTGAATGAAAAGTGCAAGAGATACAACTTGTACAGAATGCATATTTATTCAAACTGTGTATTGAACTCTGATTTCATCACACCAGTTAGAGATTATTTGGAAGACATTACAATCTCTGATTTGTCTACTGTTGAAACAAAGGAAAAGGCAGATGCAATTTTGGAATACTTTAAGAATATCGTCACAAAGGGAACAATCTTTACTGATGCTTATCACATTACCGATGTTGAAGTATTGAAGAAGGTTAAACGTTTGATTGTTGACTTTTTGTTTGAACAAACAAGAGTTGTCAGAATGTCGTCTAACTCACAAGAAAAACACAAGAATAATGGAATTGCTATGTTGAATTTGGAAAAATTGATCAAGTACAATCCAAAGGAAACATTTGATGTATTGAAATTATACTTTGAAGAAATTGCTGTCGAAGGATCAACTGTTACCTCACCATTTTATACCACATTCCCAAGACCAATCAAGAACCCACTTACAAAGGAAGAAAAGGGAAGTATTTTGGAAGAATTTATTGTTACATCCTTTGCTGATTGTGTCAATGAGGGAACTGGTTCCAACATGTCACTTCGTAAATGGGTTCCAAAGTTGAACCGTGAAGAATTGATTGAGGCAATGAAGAGTTACATTCTTGATCCTCCACAAGGTGAATTAGATATTGAAATTGATAGTCCAACCTTCACATTGAGAGAAAAGAAATACTTGTACGAATTTTTGGGAGAAATGATTGCCAGAAATATTTTGGCAGAAGACAAGGGTCAAATTAAGAGAATTTACACTCACTTGTGTCATGACAATGTATTTACCTCTGATGAAACCAAAGAGTTGCTGAAACAATTCAAGGAGCACGAAAAGGCATCCACTGAAACAAAGAAGGGTAAATCACTCCACTTGACAGAACAAGCAAGACAAGAAAGTGTTGAAAGAATTATGAAGCAAACATCATATCTCAATGAGAGAAAGGAATATTTGATCAAAGAATATGATTTCAAACGTCACAGACAAAATATTTTGATGAAAATTCTTGAAAAACTTGAAAGTTCCAATGAGCAAACCATCTCAACTATTCTTGTTCGTTTGATTGACTATGCCCAAGAAAATAACTGTTATCAAGCTGCTGTATATTTGAATAGAAAGAAGAAAGATTACAAAGCTGTTATTAAGAATTATATTGATGATCTCAAATTGAAGAAAGCAATCGGTCATAGTCAACTTGACACACCTGTATTCAGTTATATTTCTGAATTGGCAAATGATTCTGAAGTTATTACTATTAGTATTCATGATGCTATTTTGGACCATTTCCTTGATTTGATGAAAGCTGACAGTGAAGAAATGACATTACTCATTGTGAAATACTTCCCAACTCTCCATCCTCAAGTTTTGAATACTCTCATCACTTCAAGCATCAAACACATTGAAGATGAAAGACTCTTATTCAATTACTTGTCAAAGATTATTAATATTTATGAAGGAAATAATGATTTGATTGACGTTAAGGCCAACACTAGTTCTAGTACAATGTCTCAATTCTTTACAAGCATGACAAGAACAAAGATTGATGTTGATATGGAATTACAATATCAATACATTAGATTATTATGTAAATTTGAACCACACAAAGTTTGTGATTGGTTACAAACTCATCAATTCCCAGGTGAGAAGGCAGAAGAAATTTTAGAATATTGTAGAAATATTCCAGATGCTGTTAGTTTCCTCCTTGAAAGAAATGGTGAAGTTATGGAAGCTCTTAACATTGTTTTGAAGAATATTTCAAGAGAAACAAGTATTTTGGAAGAAACTCTTTCGAATATTTCTAAAAAGTTTGATCCAGAAAATATTAGATTCTCCAAATATAGACATGTTAAAGATATCAAAGAGAGAACAAGACTTCAAAAGGGTGTTACTTATACAGATGCTGAAGAACAAGCAGAACAAAAGGGTATCAAATTCTTTAATGTAGAACGTATTCTTGGTTTGGTTGACTTGGAAGAAATTCCACTTGATGTCTATTTGGAAGCAAGAAGAAAAGTCTTAGATGGACGTGGATTACTTCCAAATACTTCTAATGTAGATAAGGATGATGCTAGTGTACACTCAGTAAATCCTCTCCATTATGGTTTGGATGAGGAATTCATTGGACGTGGATCAATCTTCCTCCAAGTTGAAGATTTGCCAGAATCTAAAAAGATTCGTAAGGAATTAGCTGTTGCTATTTCAATGTGTAAGAGAAATACTACAAGAAAGACAGTTGATGAAAAGCAAGTCAAGCAATTGTGGTTCAAATTATTGGATCAATTCAATCTTCCATTCAGTGAATATTTCAAATCTTACAAACTTGGTATTGAAGATTCATCAGTTTCAATGAAGAGAGATGATGAAGGTGGTGAAGGAGAAAGACTTCAAGCCAATGAAGAAACCGATGTTGAACAATTGAAATCCAAGATTGAAAAAACCAGAGAAGCAAGAAAAACAAAGGAAAATGAATTGCTTGAAAAGGAAAAGGAGCTCTCTGAATGTGTCGATGAAGAAGAAAGAAAGGGACTTCAAAAGACGGTTGAAAATTCAAAGAAATATATTGCTCAGCAGATTAAGAAAGAAAAAACAATTCAAAAGCAAATTCAAGACATTCGTGATAAGAGCAAGATGGAAAAGGAGAAATCTAATCAAATGCACAATTTAGCCAAGTTGTGGCTCCAATTATTGGAATTCAAATTATTGAGAGTTGTTGTCTTGTCAGCTATTGGCAGTTTACCAATTCCTGAAATTTTGAAGAAATTAACCAAGGAAAATGCCAAATCAGATTTCTCAATGTACAGACAAATTTTACTTCATTTACTTGACAAGTACAAGTATGATTTGAAATTGTTACAAAATGCCAACAATGTGGTTGAGGAAGACACTTTCACATTGAGCAAGAAATTCACTGACAGATTAATGAGAGGATTATGTCCAACCGTTCCAAAATGTATGCTCACTGATACATTACTTACACCTGAAGTAGATGACAATGAAGATGAAGAAAAGACCAACTCAAAGAAGGGAAGAAGAGAAAAGAAGTTTGATGTTATCAGATTATTTGATACTGGATATGGTTATAGATTATCTGCTCTTGGTAATGTGACACGTTGTCCAACTACAACCACCTCTGTAAAGAAGAAGAAATTCGAAGTTGAAAAGACAAAATCAATTACAGAAGTTAAAAAGATCACTAACGAATTGTCAAGACTTTCACAAGTTGAATCTCAAGTCAAGAAGAAGCCAACTATGAAACTTTACAGAACTGCTCTCAAGGAATCTCAAATGGTTCGTTCTTCTACAAAGAAAGCTGGATCACTCGATTTGGTGTTCAGTGGACTTGACAGACCATTACTTCCTCCTATTGCCGAAGAGTTGACCAATATGGTTCCTAATTTGTTTACTACCACAACATCTAGAGATATTTCTGCTTCCAATGTTGAGACTAATGTTGAAAATTCAATCGTTTTTGAAGGAAGATATGTTTCACAAGAACAAATTATTGACTCTTTACTTGACAATGCCATTCAATTCTAAAATAATATTCAAAAATTGTAAAACAAACATAAACATCTTAATTTTTAATAGAAGTAATGAGTTTTGTAAGAGTTTTGTTTGCAAATCTGAAAAGTGATAGAGCAAATGGATGTAAGAATTCATTCTCATTGTCGTTAACTGGAATTTTCAAAAGTCCACTCTCGGCATGGTAATATTGTTTTGTTCTATCAGTAATTCTTTTCATTAATTCTTCTGCATCAACCCAAGAAAGATCAACCTTTTCAGTAAAAGGAACAGAGCTATCAATTATTGATCTTTCTTGAATTTCTTCGCTGGTAAGATACTCGAGCTCAGTAATAAATAAATTATACTTTCCATTTTCGAAATAATATCCCTCGGAGGTTGACAATTTGTCATAAATGTTGCCAAAAGCAGCCTTCGTTTCTTCGTAAAATTCTCTTGCAGCTGTTTCTGCAGAGTTGGTATCAGCCTTTTCCCTCTTTCCACCGAATTCTGACCATGTAAACATTTGCTTGGCAATCTTGTATGGACTCAAACCTTTCTCAAAATTGATATTAGGATTTACATCGCCCTTTCCTCCTCTATTTTCTTTTCCAAGAAGGAAATAAACTTTTCCTTGGTGGATAGAATATGCAATAACACCTGCTGACTTATAATTTTGTTCAACTACAGGATCTCTTTCAATAATATCAGTACTTTCTTGATTGGCTGCAATATCATAATGTGGTGAGTAGACTGGTTGAGTTGGATAGAATGAAGGATAATAACTGTAATAATTTGGCATTGGTGGATAATATCCTGCAGCTGGAGCATAAACATTATGTTCTCCTGGTATAACTTCAACATAGTATGGGTAATAATAGACAGGTGGTTCTGGTTGATATGGATATCCATAAACTGGTTGTGGAACATTCTCATGTTCAACATAGTTTTCTTCATTTTGATAGTTGGAACCTTGTTTAAACATTTTTGTCAAATTTCTTTGACGGGATTGTAAAATCTGCTTGATAAATTCATCTGAGGAATTAGCATTATCTATTCTCTCTTTATGATCGCAATCTCTACATTGAATAGTGAAAAATGTAAAATCATCTAAACGTTCAATTAATTGTTCTTCTTGATATTCTGTCAACTCATCAACATTATTATCATCTTTGAATTCTTGTAATATTCTTTGTTGTTGATCATGATCCACAACTATTGGATTGGTTGTCTTGATCGACTTACAACTTGGACATACCATGTAATTTGAAATATATGATTGTAAAACTTGATCAATTAGTTTTGACATTTGATTTTCTTCGTTCATAGAGATGGTTCCTCCATTCAATGTTTTAACTTTTACATCTTTTTCTTCATATTTTCCATTATTTTCTGTGAGTTCCTTTTTAACTTCAGAAATATGTTCATGAAGAATATATCCAATTTCATCATTTACATCAAAAAAGCATGTCTTTTCTGTTTTGAATCCGATATATTTCATAAGATCTTTGAAATTCAAATAAATATAAAATTATTATGAAACAACTTACATTGAGCTCTTCTATTCATTAAATTGGCAATTTCTGCCATATTAATAATTGATGTCTTTTTCATTGTCAACTCTTGTTCAGCCTGACCCTCGGAATCTAAACACTTGTATTTTACAACTTGTGAAAAGTTTACAGTAGAAACTTTTGACCTAATCTTCTTTAATAATTGTCTATGTGTTGGAGATTTAGACTCCTGATTATTAACATGAATTTCCTTGTTTGTAGATAATGTACCCTTCTTCTTTCTATCGACGAAATTTTGTTGTTGTTGACCAGCAGTACTTCCTCTCAATGATCCAGCCTTTGAATTGGTACCACCCACTATTGTAGTAGTAGAATTGTATTGATTATTCTTTGAGGTAGAAGATGATGATGATGAAACAGAGGAGGAACGTGATGTTGATTGTTGCTTATTTTTTTTGGAGGCTTGTTTTTGATTGTTATTGTTGTTGTTGTTGGTGTGATGATTGGAAGAAGAAGAGGCTGATGCTGATGAATGGTTATTTGATGATTTGTTATTGTTGTTGTTATTACCATTTGAAGGATGGTTAGATCCCTTTGAATGATGAGCAGCATGATTAGTATTGTTGCCATTGTTATTACTTCTTGTGGATAATGGAAGTGAAGAGTTATTGATTGAATCATTGTGTGGTTGTTGTTGTTGATCGGCAGCAGTAACACTTCCATTATTGTGATGATTGTGCATCGCTATTGATGAACCATTGTTGTTGCTATTATTGTTAACACTGGAAGTAGCAGTCGTAGTGGTTGTGGTAGATAATGATGAAGAGGAGGACTTGTTTTTTCTCTTACGTCTATTCTTCTTTGAAGGACTTGTTGCTCCTCCATTGGTAGAAGAATTAGAATCAATACTTGTAGTAGATGTTGATGATTGTAACATTCTTTGGTGTCAAATAGAATTTGATCATCAAATAGTCTGTTGTGATTGATCAATTCGTCACGTAAATTGTGTACACACGACTGTAAACAAATGACAAGGGATGAAAGGATAAAACTAATTTGAAAATTTGTGAATTGTAACAAACAAGGAATGTGTGTAAAGTTGTTGAATATCAATCAATGCACAAACTCTTCACAGCAATGAAGAGAGATTGATGAGATCAATTTTTTTCTTTAAAAATAGGTGAAAAGTGCAAATTTGTTGATTTGAAAAAGTATGGCGCCACTTTACAAAAATTGAATTGTGAAAGATCTTTTACTTTTTCTTTCTCTTCTTCTTGTCGTTATGTTTCTTCTTGTTTGATGCTGATGATGAGGTAGTAGTAGTTGATGGACGTATTGGAAAAGTATATGGTATCTGACCATTGATTTTCCACATGAGAGGAATATAGGGCATTATTTGGGTTTCTGTTATTGCTCCATGCTTCTCATAGTCTGAGTGAAGATCATAGTAGAATTTCTGTGGTAGCCCTCTCGGAATGTGGTCAGGAGTTGATTTCCTGTATTCAACAAGCAAATGAACCAAGGACTCATTAGGCATCTTTTGAATTAAAAATCTGTAGTCCTTCAAGTTGAACTTTTGGAAGAGGGTGATCAATTTAGTCACTTCTGTTAGAATTCCATAAACCATTTGTACAGATAATTGAGGTTGGAAACCAATATTGGACCCTCCAAGCACAGCCAGTGAGGATAAGTTTGAGGTTAACATATTGGACCAATATCTTTCATTTTCTTCTTCTTCATCTTCATTGCTTGGAAGAATGTCTTTGATTCTTTTGAATTCAGTTCTGCAAACTCTGTTCTGGGCTACATCGACACGAGTGAGTACAGCTGCAGAAGCTGGCCTCATGAAAACAACAGACCACCACTTGGCAAGTTCACTCTGTGTAGATAACTCTAAACCTTTTTCAGTTTGATATTCCAATTTGGTCATTAGCTTGATAGCAGTTGGCCTATCCGTTTTTACATCCATATTAGCTCCATCGAGTTTGGTTCTGATCAACAATTTCAAATTTGCAAGTGTAAACAAATTGTAAGTTATTGGCTCTCCATCTCTGTGTAAGAGTTCATATTGTGAATAACTATCATTCTCATTGTATTCAGCCTTAGAAATGAGTGGATTGCAAGGTATGTGTATGAGTGGTTCCTTCAATGCAAGTGTCTTAATTGTGTATTTGTAATAAATTTGATTGTTATCTCTGAGAGTCCAGGCCTTTTTAATCATGGGCTTGTCAATAAATACTGTGAACTGTGATTCATCTGATTTTGGCTTGGCAATGACAGGTAAGCACCACTCCTCAGAAAATGTTGGGCCTAGTGTGTTGATCATTGCAGTGAGAGCACTGCTAGCACAAACGAAATCAATATCTGTGCATTGAGGAAGGATGGATTGTAAAATGATAGGATCCTCGCTTACATTTGGAAGAATACGATGATGATAAAGGTTGGCTGTTGGTGTACTCTTCTTTTTTGATTCCTCAAATGGATTATATACATTTTCTGTAGGTGGAACAATTAATTCTTGTGTTTGATCTTCTAAATTATTTGGATTTAAAGATGGATCATTAACTTGGTAAACATTTGTTCCTATTGGGAATTTAGGAAGCTTTACAGGCTTGGAAGGTGTTTGTGTCTCAGATTCCTCATTGTTATCTTCATCAGCTGAGGCAACATCTTCATCTTGTGCCTGGTATAATATTTGATTTCTGTGGAATTGGAAATATTTATCTGTGGTCTGATAAATGAGTTTTGAAAATCGAAGAATAGGGTCAGCAAATGAATTTCCAAGGGCTTGCTTGGTTTGTTGGAGTTGAGCAATACCAAGTGTTTGCCAAAGTTCAAAATGTCTTGGTAGGGCTCCAGTATTTTCCAAACTGGTTGCATTTGTGGGTAAAATTCTTTCAAATTTTCTCTTCTTTTTCATCTTGTCCACTTGATCAGAAATATATGGATCAATAAAAAAGTATCTAGTTTGTCTATTATTCCAAGCATCGTCAAATAGAGCTTTTCTAAAGGCAGCTTGCTCTTCCTCAACAACTTTCTTTAATTTGAAAAAGTATGCAGATGGAGGTGAAACCTGTTTTGAAAGGGCATTCTGATTTTGGAATAATTTAAATTGTTTGAGTCCCTTCATGTAAATATCTTGGTCATTCTCATCCAAACTTGATACTTTGCCTAGGTGAAAGAGTGGATTCTTTTCAGGTTGAAGAGGTTTCTTCTTTTGCTTCTTCTCTTTCTTGTTCTTTTGTGATTTGGATGAATTAGAATTTGGCTGTTGTGATTGGGGTTGTTGAGCAGGAGTATAGCTATCAATAATAGGATTAGATTCTTCGGCACTATTTTCTTTCTTCTTTTCCTTTTTCTTTCGTTTCCTTTTCTTTGAATTACTTTCTTCCACTTTCTCTGCAACAATAGGTTGAATAGTTTGCTGAGTTTTTAGATTGAAAACAAGAGGTGCTGGAGGAGGTTTCGTCCTTGCAAGAAGTGGAATAAGTGGATTATACTCAATAATTTGATTCATATCTTTTTCTTCTACTGGTTTAGTTTCAGTAATAATTGTTTGAAATACCGGTTGGCTTGAGATAACCTCCTTATTTGGAGTATTCTGTTCTGTAACTATTTTCAAGGGAACAGATTCTCTTTCAGTTGGCTCTAATGGTGGAATAATTCTAGTTTGCTCTGAAAGAGTTTCAATTCTATTCTCCTGATTATTAGATACTATTGGTGTTAGTTCATCTTGAACTGAATCAAGCCCTCCGATTTCATAATTGTCATCTATCATGTATAAATTCTCTGGTTCCTCCTCACTATCGGAATCTTGTGATGAAAAATCAACTCTTTCTTGTTGTTTAATATTAGTAATATCACTCCTTTCCTCATCAGTTATTAAAGTATGAACAAGTTCTTGTTCCTGAACGATTTCCTTCTTCTTTAATAAATCTTTAGAATATTCGAAAAGCCTTTCCAATTGTTGCTTTCTATCTGGTTTTAAAGAAGGCTCTATTGAGAAATGTTTCAACAATTTACTTTCCATGTTTGGTGTTACATCTTCAATATAGTTATGCTCCTGACTATAATTCATCCAATGAAATAAATATTTAGAATTTGATGCACTCGAAGCTGTTGAATAATTTCTTGTTAATCTTTTAATTGGTTCCACATTCGGTAAATCAGACAATGATTTTAAATAATCAAAGTCAACCTCATAATTTTCAACATTTTCCAATTTTTCCTCGTTACTATTAGAATTAAATCCGTTAATTGTTCTTCTAATACTTTCGCTTGGTATTTCCAAATTTGCTGGCAAAGGAGAGAGTACTCTTCTTCCTTCATTCATTAGTTTAAATTCACTAGAAATTTCCTCTAAATTAATTATCATCTCTCCATTATCTTCCGTTCTATGATTTGCTTCATCCTGACTCATCATGGAGCATGTCTATTGTTTTATTTTTTTGTGAAGTTTTTTGCTTCATCTTCAATTTTAGGATTTGCTTTTTGGAGAGTTGTTTGATGATTCCAAACAAAAATCACTAGTAATAGTAAATAGATGATGTTGTGAAAAGTTTGGTAGCTTCAGTATGTTAAATAATTGAAACCACTCGAAGAACTCGAAGAATCATTAAAGTACATCCGTACTTGATGTTGAAATGTTTTTTTCATTTTCTTCTTTATTCCATTAGACCTTTTACAATCACAACCTTACCTGTCAAATCTGATGATTTCAGTAACTCTTCATTGAAATTAGACCTTTAAAATACATTCTAGCAAACTTAATGCCAACACTTTCATTTATGAATTTGGCTTGTTCTATAGAGTCATTAATGGATTTTCAAAATCTAGTCTGCTTCGTTTGATCATTTTTTTGACAGTTTTCTTCGTCATACAATTATTAAGAAATAATCAAAGTGGTTGCCCTTCTTATAGTTTCCTGTGATTTCTCGCTCTGTTAAATAATAAAAACCACTTTTGAAAAACTCTCAAATTGACTAACACACATTTCCTCTCAATGCTAAATGCACAACAATAACAGAGGTTAACTAAAAAACACAGAAAATAAGGAAAAAAAAGACTACAGCACCACAGGTTCCCAAGTTGTCTCCAACCTCAGTACTGATGTGGCTCGACGATGCTTAACTTCTCAAATCGGACGGGATGAGGTGCATTCATCGTGATATGGCCGTAGCCATTTATTTCCTTAATGCGATGAATAAAAAGAAGTTTGTGACACAAAACAAGAAAACATGAACTTATCAAGCTTGTTACAGCTACACAATACTCTCGGTTTGTCAAATTCTTCAAAAACTGGCTTGTCCTGAGCTGAATTGCAAAGATTGGGAGCAGTAAATTGAAAAATTAATTTGGTGTTTGGTTGAAGAGGAATGAAATAATTTATTCATCATAGTCTTCATCTTCTTCATCTTCATCGTTGGAGTAAACTTCATCTTCGTCATCTTCATCAAAGGTTGGAATCTGCTCGGGAGTTGTGTTATTTTGTAAAGATTTCAAACCCTCCAAATCATGCAAGTAAATGGAAAGCAGTTCATCATTAGCCTCAATACATGAGTTGTGGTTTGGATTACTCGAGTTGATTGTTTTCACAGAAGGCATTGTAAAGCATTGAGATTGTGAAAATGGACAAATGTACTTCTTGTCAATGAATTCTTCATACTTGTTTTCCTTATTCTTGACAGCTCTAGATTCGTCATCATCTTCATCGTTTCTGTTAGAGTTCATTAGGGGTGAGCGAATTTGTACTGTTCCAGCTTCCTTCTTCTTGTTAAATAAGGTGTATTCATTGTAAGGACCTGGAGCATTTAGGAAAATGATAGTGTCTCTTTTTGAAAGAGAATCAGACCACATGGTCAAGTACTTTCTTGTCTTGAGTTTAAAGTGTTCTTCTTGCATTCTACGAATTTGACTACCAACGGACTTGGCTCTCTTACTTTGATCTTTGGAAACTTGTCTTTTTCCTTGCTTTTTTCTAGTGACATACTTGTGGAAAGTTTTGTGTACAGTGGCGACCATTGGCTCTGCATTCTTTTGCTTTCTTCCATTTTTCTGGAACACACAACCACTGAAAGAACCACCATGACAGAAAATAACACAAAATCCCTTCTCCAAAAAGTGATTCTTCAAATCTCTCAAAAAGAATTGGAAATCGTGATGATAATTCAAAGACATGATCATCTTGATACGATCTGTTGAATTTTCAAACACTTCTCTCAGCTCAGTGTCCATTCTCTGGTTGATTGAATGATTTTTACAATCTTCATAAATATACTTGAAAATTTCATAATAAATCTTGAAACATGAAATAAATAGTGGAATTTGTGTATCAACTTGCAAAACAATTTTTGTCTGATTTACGCCTGAAATTGAATGAAACTTGCAAGGAATCTTCAAAAGTAATGATGATGTTGAACAGAGTGGATTCTTACCATAGAAGGAATTTTCAACACCTTCCTTCATCAATTCATATAATTGATGATGAGCAGATACTAATTCATACCATTGCTTGTTCACCAGAATTAATGAAAGTAATTCTTCAGATATTTTCTTTTCGGAAGCCTTTTTCTTCTTCTTTTTCTTTTTTACTTCCACTTCATTATCATCATAAATTGAAAAATCCATCAAATATAATAATATATGATTAATCACTCTCCGATTATGAGACAAAATTAAACCCTTTTCTTTACGTTCTTCCATAAACATGAATGTTTTTTGTGAGGGAGATTGATCAAAATCCTCATCATCATCGTCCTTGTATTTGATCCTCTCTCGCATCAGAGTAAATTGTTTACGGTCATAGGTTTTATTCACTCGATCGACAAAATTTGATAAATGTTCAAAACTCATTTTTTTAAATTTGTTTTTTGAAATGTAAAAATAGAAAACTCTCAAGATTATCCTTGAAATTGAAATAAATGTTAAAGTATTTTTAGATATTCATGTTCACTTCTAAAGTTGAACTCTTCATTTCCAATTGGAATAAAATTATAGAAATCATAAATTCCAGGTTCTAATAACATTTAACATTTGGTCAACCATGTTTGACATGAGTTTCATCTTCACAATTTAATTATAATGTGTTTCAATATTAACATTATAATTCGTTAAATTGCTTCTTGTTAGAATGAAATTAAAACTGTTCTTTATTAGTGCTGATATGTTCCTGCTGTAAGAAAAGGTCGAGCTATTTATTTTTAACAATAACAGTCATTATAATCAATTGCGTCCAAATAATCTATTGGACAGGCAAAATTAAACTCAACGAAAGTAGACTATTGAACGGAGCCATCTTTAAAAAAAAATATGAAGTTATCCTCAAGATATTCTCTTGCCATTGCCTTGGCAACGATTCTTGCCGTCTGTTTGACATGTTCTTGGTCACTTCGTGCAGTTCACGCCTCTCGTCAACCTATTCGTTACGAAGCTTTCCAAGAATTATTCGAACCTACTTCTGATGCTTGGTCAAACGAAGCATTTATGGTAGAAATGGCTTCACATCCATCCTTTGATGCTCATTTAGATAACGTTCTTGCTGATTTACAAGATTTTGAATTTGATATCGAGTCAGATGATGCCATTCTCGAATACATGTCAACTTTATCTGATTCACAAGCTAGAGCTGAATGGAGAAGATTTAGAAGAGCTTTTAGAAGAGTTGGAAGAGCTTTCAGAAAGGTAGCAAGAGGTGTTGTAAAGGTTGTTAAAAAGTATGGAGCTATTATTGCACCAATTGCTTTGACAATTGCTACTGGTGGTCTTGGTGGTAAGTTTATTATTGTTATTGTTATTGGAGGATTGATTCAAATTTTGAATATTGAATTTTAAAATAACCTTCCTTCTCATTGGATTGTTAATAATTCTGTCAATTACTATTTTTGGAATATAGCTCCTTCTTTGGCTGGAAGTTTGGGAAGTATTGGAAGTACTGTTGCAAAGGGAGCTGCCATGTTGGCTAAAGTTTCTTCTATTGCTTCAAAGGCTAACATGGTCATTGGTGGACTCAATGCTGTTACAGGTTTGTTATCTTTAATTTTCTTTTTATGGTAACAATTGAAACATTTTGAAAATTAGGTGGTAAATCTAAACTCCTCAACAAGCTTTCCAATTTTTCCAATAAGGTTACCAATGTTTTGGGTAAGGGTGGTATGATCTTGAATGCAGGTGGTTCTATTGCTAAGGGACTTTCTGGATTGAGTAATTTGAGTGTTAAGGGAATTGCTGCTCAACTCAAACCAGGAAATTTATTCAAGGGAGCTACATTGTTGGAGAAGGGTACAAACTTTTTGAACAAGGCCTCTGGATTTATTAAGAAGGGACAAGAAATTACCTCCTCATTGAATAACTTGACAGGTAAGTATTTTAATTGATTATTTCTTATGTAACGTTGATGATGTGTTATAGGTGGTAAAATCAAGGCACTTAATAAGATTTCTTCAGGTTTAGACAAGGCCCAAAAGATTGCCGGAATTGGATCTGGAGCTTTGAATGGATTGGGTAAAGGATTGGATTCTCTCAAGAATTTGAAGAATTTTAAGAATATTGATATGAAGAAGTTGTTAACTTCTGAAAATATCAAGAAGGGTTTAGGTAAACTTGATTCCACTATTGGAAAGACTAAGGATATCCTTTCCAGTGTTAATGAAGTCACTGGTGGAAAGAGCAAAAAATTGAACAAGATTATTAATGCTCTCGATAAGACTCAAAATATTGTTTCTGTTGGTTCAAACGCAGTTGACAGAATTAAAGGTATTAAGAATTCAATTGCTGATTTGAAGAATTTCCAAAGCTCAAAGATTAAGGATCTCTTCACCAATGAAGGAATTCAAAAGGCATTGGGTAAGCTCGATAATTCCTTGGGTAAAGGAAAAGATTTCCTCCAACAAGTCAATGCAATTAATGGTGGAAAGAGTAAGACTTTAAATAAGTTAATTCAAAAATTAGAAAAGGGTCAACAAGCAGTTGCTATTGGAAGTACTGCTGCTAAAAGATATGAAGGAATCAAATCATCAATTGAGAAATTATCCAACATGAAGTCAGGTGATTTGAAGAATCTCTTGAATTTTGAAAATGTTCAAACTGGTTTGGGAAAGGCCAAGAATGCTATGGCTAACGCTGAAGATTTTGTTTCTCAACTCAATACATTCACTAATGGAAGAAGTAAGACTTTGGTTTCCCTTGTTGAAAAGTTAAAGAAGGGTCAAAAAGTCACATCTGTCACATCTAAAATTTTAGATGGAGCCAAGGGTATTAAGGGAAGTCTTGAACAATTGAAGAATCTCAAGAAGGAAGACATGCAAAAGGTATTAGATGCTGAACATCTTCAAGGAGTTTTGAACAGAGTTGCTGGTGCCTTCTCAAAGGGAGAAAATATTGTCTCTGAATTGAACGAAATTTCCAATGGAAAGAATAAGAATCTTGCCAAGTTATTACAATCCTTGAGAAAGGGTCAAATGATTGCCAATACAGCCTCATCTGGTGTTGGTACTTATAAGAGCGCTAAGAATTCAATTGAAGAAATGAAGAAACTCAAAGGAAAGAATTTGGAAGAAATCTTAAAATCAGACGAATTGAATGAAGTTATTGATTCATGGAGAGGAACCATTAAACAAGGAAAGGAATTTACTTCTCAATTTAAGGAATTGAAGAATGAATTAAAGAAGAAAGAAACTCCAATTGAAGATGAACCAGCTCCTGTAGATGATGCTCAAGGAGAACCATCCAATGAAGAACCAGTTGATAGTGCACAAGGAGAACCAGATCAATCATCACCAGTTGAAGAACCAGTTGATAACAATGAAGAACCAGCTGATTTTGATCCATCTACTGCTATGGGATAAATAAAATGTTTTTACTTTTGTAAAGTATTTTAACAAGTTTAGTCAACTTGAAAAACATTACCTTCCAAATCATACACAATGGATTGATTTCGATGATAGGCCGAGAACTGAATTTTTATTATACTATGATCAACTGGGTTAAATGTTCAATATACAACGATGCAATGGTTGACAAGTTTTTGTGTTCCTTGACACAAAATTTAGAACTCGAGTTGATTTTGCATTCAAATTCTATATTAAAAATTGGAAACTGGCAAACTGATCAAAAAAAAAATCATGACCATGATTCGATCAATCACCAGAAGAAAACATCAAGAGGAAGCATTCTACAACTCTCTCAAGCAATTTCCAACCGAAATTATACTCTACATTCTGTCATTTGCCTTTCCAGATTCTGCTTTGATAAGATTTAAATTTTCATATCCAAACTTTAAAATTTGCAACCTTATTAGAACAGTTACTATATCACCAGAGGCTAACATTGCTGGTCTGAAACGATATCCCTTCCTAGAAACTGTTGTAATTACAAGAAATGGACCCAATGATGATGATGTATTGAGTGAACGTGTACATCCAACCAAGGTTGTCGATATTACTCAAGATGGAATTGATATGACAGATGAACGGGTAGAATATCCAGAAACTGTTAAGAATTTCGAAGTAGAGGGTGTTGACTTGGAAGAGATTCAAACATTTCCTCCAAATATGGAAAGACTTTCAATAATTTGCAATTATCACCATAGATTCAAGCTTCTCCAACTTTCAAATCTTAAAACGTTGAAATTACATAGAGTGAAAATAATAGGTACTAATCTCGATTTTAGTAGTATTGAGGATTTGGAATTGGTTAATATTCAAATATCATATCCACTTCGTTGGAGAGCTGTTGGTTCTTCAAAACCTGTGCTAAAAATTGTAATTTCTCCAAATACCAGGAGGCTTGTGCTTTTTGATTTCAAAATTATCAATATCCTTTTTGCAAAATATCAACTACTGGATCATTTGAAATATCTGCATGTTGAAGGTAATGAAACAAAAAAGGTAAATCTTACTAAATTAGATGCGTCAGAATTAGAGACCTTGATAATTAATAGAATGACCTCTGTAAATCTTAATCTTAATTGTTACAACAAGTTGAGAAAACTTCAAATTACCAAATGCAAGAATATAGAACAGGTGAAAGGTATTGATACATTGAGTCAATTGGAATGTGCTGTACTGAAGAATAGTCCTTTTGAATCATCTCACTTTGAAAGCATGTCATCTTTAGCCCAATTGAAATTTGTTGACCTATCCTATACTAAGTGCACTAACTTTGATTCCATCAAGACCATTTTTAAATTACCAAAGTTAGCTGTATTGTTGTGTGTCTCAGAGCGTTATGTTAATGTTCACGACACTAAATCCAACAAGTTACTGATGAGAAAAGGTTTAGAGAACCACAGCAATCTCAAACTCTTCACTTTTAATGCCTCATGGATTAAGGAGAAGGAAAAGGGCAAGGTTTATCTTGAACTTCCAATGGATTCTGAGGAGAGAGCACAAGTTATTGATCTATTGTTTAACAAGCCAACACATCCAAGAGTGGACGAAACTTTCCAAGTCCCACCCACAAACTTTTGGGATAATTTTCATTACAAAGACAATGACTATTATTATACCAATAGTATCCTTGATAAATATAAATCACAATTCAAATAAATTCCAATCACTGCGAGTATTCCTATTGCAATTCATTGACTTTATTCCAATATTTTGGAAATCAACTTTCCACAAAATTCTAAAAAAAATGAAAAAAAATGAAAAAACACAAGTCTGTTACTTCATCAAAGAAAAAAGATAAATCATCAAAGGCATTGAATAAGGAGGACGATGGTGATCAGTGCCATGCCATTTCATGTGTTCGCTGTCGACGTCTACATAAAAAGTGTAACAAGAAATTGCCTTCTTGTTCAAAATGTATTTCCGATGGAGTGGAATGTAGTGTATGTTTGGATTAGAATACAAAATTATATAACTGATAATTGTGTTGTGGGACCGATTGTAGTATAGTGCTCCTTTAAAAAGAGGAAAGGCTTCGGAAACCTATTTGAAAAAAGTAATGAACAAGTCATCACCCTCAGCTGATACTAGTAATACAACAACTGATTTGGAATCACCAAGTACAGAGGCAATAATTCCTCAAACTATTCCATTACCACCATCAAATCAAATAATTGAAATTTATTTTACGTTTTTATGTGGTGTTAATCCGCTGATTGAGAAGGAAAAGCTAAAATATTTCACTAATAATTATTTATTTCAAATTGATGAGGAAAAAATTGAATTGGAAGAAAATGAATGGATAAAATCTAAGGAGGAAATGAAAAGTGTTCATTGTTTCTACTTGGCCATATCAGCCTATGCTAAGCAAGCAACGGAAGGTTTGGATGAAACGATTTTGAAAAAAGCAGAAAAAGAATTTGCAATAATGTCAATGGACTATTCAACAGAATTTTATTGGGCCGCCAGTGCACTCATACTTTTAATTGTATATATCGGTGAAGGTAATCTCTACAAATTGAATTATTATCTAGCAATTGTTAATTTTTACATTGAGAATAATAAGGATTGTAAGGAACACAAATTTTTCAAACCACTCGAAAGGTATCGCGATCAAATTGCAAGCAGATTTAAAAATAATGTTCAGAGCTTGGGAAATACTTTAGAGAGTCTGAGCAAGATATTTTTCCACTCAACCTCAATGAAATTGGAAGATTTTCTTTTACCTGGTGTATGGGAGCATATGAAAACTTCCCCAGTAACTCCACAAAATTTTATTCTTTTCAAACAGGTGCTTGATATTATATTTCAAACAATGGTGAAATTTAAACAAACAGTGACTGAATCTCTTGTTGATTGTCATAACGAAATATTTTTTCAATCTCAGCGTTTGTACACAACCATTATAACAGAAGGATATATACTGTTATTCTTGAAACAAATCCAAGAGGTGTCATTCCCTGCAATGGAGGAAATTGCATTGAAAATTACACTACTAACTGAGAATGAATTATTCTTGTAAGTATCCACCATTGATTGAATTACTTAACTCAATTTCAAGATATCCAATATTGGTAGTCATTTCACCTATTGTTGAGATAAGCCAATTTCACTTAGATGTTTGTAAAGAGATTGAACAGGGCAAAAAACCAAGAAAATCTACTATTAAAACATCTTCAGGACAGGTTTTAACCTTTGATTATTTTAACGTGCTTGAGAAGGATTTACGTGCTATGGAGATGTTAAACAAAAGGTACAAAAGAGTATCTATGTTTCATGGGGAAATGATTTCTGAAATGCGAGATATTATCAATAGAAACAAAGATGTTATTTCATATCCAGAAATATTTATGGTACCAATCCCAAATTATCCTCAACATGATGAAATACTTGCCAAACAATTAGAAGAATTTGAAAATGATGATTTTGATTGGCTACAATAATTTTTTCTTACTCATTATTTATTGCCTTTTTCTAATAATCTTGCTTTAATTTTAGAATTGTTAGTTTGCCATGGTTATTCAACAACAATATCCACAACATTCATCTATTGACCAATTATTTGAATTATTTACGTTCTATTGGTTTTTTCATTCATCCAAGACATTTATTATCTCTATTCCCTCCTGTTTTCCTAGTCCTAGCCCATTGTTCACACAGCAAAGGAATCAATAATTCAAGATGATTGCATGATAAAATGCAGCTTACAATTCATTTTATTTGAAAAACTTTTTAGAAATTATGTACAAATTGCTTATTTCAAAAAGAGTTGGCTATTCTTTTTAACGTATTGCTCAAAAGTCAACAAATCAGGGAACAACTTTCTTGCTTCTTTTACAGCTTCTTGTTCGTTATCTTGATAGTAACCACATTCATTGAAATAGGTGAACATATTCTTGGCTTCTGAACCCATTCTTTGTCCAACAGTTTCAGCATCCATTGCAAAGTATTGAGTTGGGATATTTAAAACTTGAGTACAAATATCAGCCATTTCCTTAAGGGTGACATAATCACCAGCTGTAAGAATCTTTCTTCCATTATAAGTGGTTGGATTTTTGAATACTTCTGAGACTACAATGCCCAAATCATCAACGGCAAATACTGGAATCTTTCTGTCAGTATTGATACCAGCAAAGATCATGGCACTAGCTCTGTCTTCATTCAATCTAAACATCATTCCTGGAAGATTATCAGCGAAAAATGGTGGATAAACAAAGGTCTTGAATGGAATATTAGTTTTTCTTGCTTCTTGCTCAACCTTATTCTTGTTAGTGAAATGAGGAACTGAAATTTTGCCACCAGATGCCTTTGTAACATCATCCAAAGAGCTGAAAACAAAATGTTGGACATTATTCTTAACAGCTGCTTCAACTAAATTCAACCCTTCGTGCAATTCCTTTTCGTGATCGGTGGATCCAAAACCTCCTGGAGTTGTTAAGCCAAAAACACCATAAGCACCTTTGAATGCTTCTTCGAGTCCATTCTTATCACTCATATTGCATGATACAATTTCAACTCCTTGCTCTGAAAGCTCTTTGGCTCTGGCTGACTACAAATTCCTCTCAATTTCCAATCGCCTGCCTTTTGAAGATGTTTAATGACACTTCCTCCTTGTTTTCCAGTAGCTCCAACGACAACAATTAACTTGCTCATATTGTTTTGTTTGTTTTGATTTGTTTTTTTGAATTGGACAATACCCCATTTTGAAGTTTGGCTTTTATTGAAAACTATTTCATCCGGTTAGTGTCTCTGGCCTACAAATGACCGTATTTCTTCCGTCAGGAATTGCAGAATTTATTCACAATGCATTTCTTCCAATTCAATTTTAATATGAGGTGCATAGCCTATTATCTTTTGCTTTTCCATACTCATTCTTTGGTGATACAATTGCTGAGTATCATTTTGATCTCTTTGTTGGTGGAACAGGCAGCAACATTCCACAACAATTGTACGAATACTAGTTAGGGAAGATACTATTTCTTTCATATAATTGGCATTGAGTTCATAAGCAATCTTTAAGAATCTTAATTTTTTGAATACTTTCAAATGTTCCAATTGTTTTTCTGTTAATTGCTGTCTTTCTAACTTGAGAATTTCCAAACTGTTTGCTCTAACCCTAATAGCTTTTGTAATTTCCTCTAAATAATTATTAACTGTTGATCTGCTTGTTGTCAAACATCTCGATCTACAATAAGCTCTCCTATCTATTGAACCAATGACTAAAACTCTGAGTTTTTCTAATGGGCGTAGTGCTTGCTCTAACAAGGAAGACAAATTCATGTATGTAAAATCTTGATAATAGATGAACAGTTTTGTCAAATTTTCTGATGGGAATTTGATCATTACATTGAACATTGAGAGGCTTAATGTTAAGCTTTTGAGGTTTGATAATTTTGGTAGAATGTACATTTGATCTTCTCCTAACATTTGACTGTGAAGAGATAGTTGGGAAATTTTGCTTGGTTGTGCTGAAATTCCAGAAACAAATGGTATGACATTCTTCATTGTAGAAGTGAATCCTGAAATGGAAAGCTTCTCAAGGTGAGGGAAGAACAGGGCGCTTCCAAGGAATGATAAATCAATATCATTAGAAGGCGATCCAATATCAAGATTTGAAAGAAGTACTGTGAGATCAATATCAATTTCCTTGGACATGTGTAATTTTCTCAAGAACATTTCCATTTCATCAAAAGAACACGTATTCGCCTCCACATTACGAATTGCCATATCTGATTGTTCTTTTGATACTCCATGAGGAAGGTCCTTGTTAGTAAATATATCACCGTTAATTATTGAGAATCTGTGCAATTCTAATAGTGAATTTCCATTTAACCTTAAAACTTTTAAACGACTTGGCATATCGCACTTAATCCAATAATTCAAAGTTCTATTCGTTAAAATTGGATTAGTAAGATCCAGATGGGTCAAATTTTTCAAATTTCCAATAATCTCCAATGCATGTATTTCATTCGACTCGTCATGATTAATAACTGTTGAACCATTAACCACATGAGTCTGGTGATGCGTCAACGAGCAAGCAATCTTTAAACTCTCCAAATTTGGACAACATGTCACTACAAGCTTCATGTTCTCTACAGAAACTGTTGAGACAACAAATGCGAGATGTTTCAAATGCGATGGCATCCAGCATCCTTTGTAAAGTTCTTTCTTACTACACTCTTTAAGCAGTGGAATTAAATCGTCATCAAATTGAGCAAGGAATGTAAATTCCAAGCTCTCAAGATTTTTACAAGCTGCCAAATATTGAACCAATTCTCTTCTCGACTTTTCAACATTTGTACAGTTGGTAATGAGGTATCTGGTAATACTCTTAGCTTTTAGAGACTTTAAATGTGCGAGTGATTTTGTCTGTTTTAAAAGTTCAAAGAATGCTTGATCTAGATGACAATCTATATCAATCTTTTCCAGCTTGATATCATTCTCCAAAAGCTCCCTCAAGCAAACTTCCTTAATGTCCTCATAGGTAATCAATTCTGAGTTCAGTTTTGAGATTATCAACTCGTTCAAATTTGGTAATTTGATTAAATTATGAATAGTTAATCTTTTAAGCTCTTCTCTATCCAAAAGATCATGTTTCACAACAAAAGATGTCTTGTATAATCTTTCATAGGCAAACGAATATGTACAAAATAAATTACAAGTTGGTCTAATATTCCACAGAACTTCATATTCCTCCAAAAAGGACAAGATGTTTGTCCACACTTTTAAATTATTCAAAAAACCATCTTTCAAACCTTGCTCCAACTCAAATACACTACTATCATACGTTTGATTAGAAACATGATGTGATTGTGAATGATTCTTCATAGCTTCCATATCATACGGAACAGAAATTGATTGTTTTACCATGAGTGTGAGCACTGATGTTGTTGGAGAGTTTCTACAATTAATATTGGTTGGACAGGATTGAAACATCTTGTAGGGTTGTTTGTTTCTAGTAGTGAGGGGGAAGGCTTTTCGTTGCTTGGAATTGGACTTATCCATAAAATCAGGAGATGATTCTTCTTGGATCGTTTCTTCATCATTTAAATTACCAATACTTGTTGTAGTACACTTGTTGTTTTGCGGATGATTGGGTATTGCTTTGGTGAATTTTAGATTTGTATTCTGTTGTGGTATTTGTTGTTGTTGATGCTTGTTTGTTTCTGATGATAGACAACTATTCTTGTAGGCTTTTGGAGGTTTTGTACAAAGTAAATCCTTTGAATCTTGTCTTTGGAGAGCAAATCTACCAAATCCCATCGTTCCATTCATTCTATTAGCAACACCTTCTCTCATTGGAGGAAGACAACCAGGGGAAGATGAATCCTCTTGACTATTTACACTACTAATTCCACTGTATGATGAATCCTCTGCATACTCTTCATTAATATGATGTTCGGAGGAAGAAGAGGAATGAGGTTCCAATGTTCTACGTAAAAAGGTAGTTGTTGTTTGCTGATTTTGGACATTAAATTTGTTATTATTCGTATCATTGTTGGCTTCACAATTATTATTATCGGGTGAGGAAACATAACTACTATCATCATCTGTTGTTGATCCGTGATGATTCACCATAGAGTCGGTACTCTTGAAAGGTGGTTTAATGTTCTTTTGTTGTTGGTGCTGGGAAGTTATGTCATCATGTTGCTCTTGTTTTTTGTGGGTGAATGATGCTTCCGAAGGGAACTTTTTATTATTTGAAGTGGGCAATTGGTTCATTTCTTGTCCAGCTTACTAATAGCCACACTAGTTGATGATGCTGTTTTATTTGGTAGTAAAAAGCTATGATCTTCAACGTGCACTAAAAAGAGAGTATATTGTTAGAGGTCTTAAAAAGTAGAAAGTACATAAATGCCAAAAATAATGGTTTGTTAAAAAAAGAAGATTTAAAATTGTAGGGGGCGAGGGGGAATCGAACCCCCGGCCACAGCTTTGGAGGCTGCGATGTTACCATTACACCACCGCCCCTACACATTAAATTTCAATTAATTCAGTATTATGTATAAAGGACTGTGATTTAAATCTATGGAGCAAGAAAACAATCTTTCAAATTTTTGGATGGAGTTTGCAATTGATTCGTAGCATGTTCATTGATAAACTTCCTTTTAACAGACAACAAACTGGGGGAAGATAATCAGTGGTACTTACATAATTCGCTTGGTTTGTGAAAAAGCATCTGTTGTTTGCATGAAAATCGAAGATACCATCTCTCGAGATCCAAATGGGAGATTTAACATAGAGATGACTGTCTCCATTTTCTCAATGAAAATGTATGCTACTTACTCATATTAATAGAGATAGCTATCTGTTGCTTTATTGTGTAACTTTCTTTAATTGTAACATTATGGATTCCACACAAATAAGACAACTGGCGAATTATCTAATTATCTTTTTGAATATTTTGCATCAAATCCAATGCAACTTTACAGCCACAACAACCACAACAAAATTGGCTAATGCTACAGAAGAATACAACTCTATACAATGCTTGTCAATAGATGCCAAACTTGTAAATAAAGTTGCATCATTCAACATCTTGAATCTACAACTCTCTTTTTTGAAAATTATTCACTTGAAATATGTTGACGAGCTGTTAGTGAGGTTTTCAAACCAATTTCGAAAGATCTCTCTAATTTGGACTGGGCCCTAAAACAGTATTTTTGAAACTAAACCAGAGATAGTTTACAAATTGTGTAATATTTGGGTGTTAATACAAATAGATGTCATATTTACATCCGTCCCTGTCAATCAGCAATACAAAATATTGATACTATAACAGAAATATATTCTGCAAACCATTGTTGTTTGTTGTGTATTGTTGATAACGTCTCTAACAGCTTGGATGGATTGCATTTATTTGTCTTAAAGTTTCATCAACAGTTCGTCGAATTGTCCACATGCTTTACGAAAACACCTTAATATGTTATTAAAAACCTTCAACAAACCTAAAATACTCTCTCGCCAAATTAGAGCTGCACTACAGAAACCTTAATTTAATTTTAATGCTCATATTTTGCATCACCAATAACCAAGAGTAGATGCCATCCTTTTTGGACCGTTCTTTTTGCTTCTTCACACTCTCTTTATTTGTTGAATAATTGAGTAGGGACAAAAAGCATCAACAGACTTTTAAGGAAGGAAAGTTTAATTGTGCTCGGTAAGCATATTTTTTAACAAGTTCAAAGAGGTCAATTCAATGCCTTAACATGTGCAACGATTTCCCAAAGTTAATACAACATGCATATTTACCAGATTCCAACTAACACTAACCTACGGATCCAAGTGTAGGCATGGTTGAAAAACTGTGTCTTTTGTTTACAGGAGCCACAATGATCAAATTGTTAGTGTTTGCCTCTCTTGGCAACCAACACGATAGTTGTTTGACTGCCGATAAATAGGTGTTTTTGTTGTCTAGGTAATCACAAAGCATGAAATCTCCATCACTGATAGGAACAAACATGAAGTTATATTTACGTAAATCGATTCCAGTCGCCTTTTGCGTTTTCTATTCATCATCAATCGCTTTACTTTTACGTCACAACTTGCCACCTTATCTCACAACCGTTACGAATAAGACCAAGTTATCAAAATTCTAGCATCATGTTGTTGTGCCTGTTCCATCTTGAAGGCTTTTAAACATCACAAAAAAAAACAACAACAGAATTAAATCCTCAGCAGAGTATACTTGCTATCTTGATATACTACCTATCTGCACATTCCTCCTCACCCTCTACAATATTCCACTCACAACAAGACACTCTAATTGCAAGTTGTTTTGCAGGTTTTTCCAACTCCACACTCTTATTTTGAAAGAATTCAACCTTTCTAATATTACTCACTATTCAATACAATACGATAATCAAGAAGATGGAATCTTTTGCATTGAACACCCAACTTAATGGATATAACAATGACAATAATTATGTAGTGTTACAAGAGTCTGATCTTTCAACATTTGATTCAATGCTTTTCAATACCACCACTCCTCCTCAACAAATTTCAGAAGATCATTTTCTTACACCTTCTCCATTGCAATCACAACAACATCTCTTTACTCCAAACTCTGCAACTCCTGAAGGTCAACAAATTTTCAATCAATACATGTTTACCTTCCTTCACCAATTACAATCCCAACAACAAAACAATACATGTGTAAACTACCATATGCCAGTCTTTGATGCATGCCAACGATCTCAACAAGAATTGTTTGACCCAGCCACATTTAATTTAAATGGTGATACCATGTTACGTTTAGACTCTGAAGAAATATTTCTTAATGAAGAAGATGTCACTGTCAACCAAAATATACAACATAATTTCGATTTCAATGAAAATCACCTCAATTTAGATTCCAAACCAATTATGCCTCACCAACTCCAAAATAATCAACATAGCTTTCTTTCCCCACCATTTAATCACCACTTTATCAATGAATCGAATGCTATTGGCACTCCTTCTGATTTGAAGGAAGAAGAATTCTTCTCTGGTTTTATTCCAGAGATGTATCATGCTGATGTTGATGTCATACCAAAGAATGAAACTTGCGGTTCTCCTTTGAGTTCCTCTTCAGCATCAAACTCGGCAGCCAATAGCATCAATAACAGTAGCACCAATAATGTAAATAACACATCCAACAATAATTCAAACAATTTGGGACCAATTATTCAAGTACCAGGTCTTACCTCTAATTTCTCACCTAAAGAAGCAACTCTTTCTTCATGGTTCAACAGTATTTCAAAACTGCCCGAAAGCAGTATTGTGTTAAAATGTGATCCATACGGATTTACTGAAAATAATGGTACATGTAGACCAAGAGGTTCTCAATACTCAGTATTTGTCAATGACAATATTCGTATTGACTTTTCCTTCAAGATTCCAAGCAATCTTGATTTATATTTCGAGCAAGATGGTGTCAACAAATCAATCTTTGATTTATTCATTGAAGAATGCAAGTTTGAATTATGTTCCTTCTTGGATGACGATGACACAAACACTGAGGTTGTTATTGAAAGCAGCGAGTCCATTTCAAATATCAAAAAGACTGATGATCTCATTCAAATATCATTGACTACAGTCATTAAGCGAGATACAAACAATAAGAGAGCCTCAAGATCAAAGGCCAAGCCAACCACTGAAGAAAAGAAGGGAAGAAAGAAAAAGAAGAATGAATCTTGTGCATCAAAAAAGGTTTGCTTTTTGAGAATAGTTACTCCTGATTCAAGTTTTGTACTTGTCAGAAGTGATAATCTCTGGGTCAGATCCAAGACAAGACAAGAAATGGAAAGAAAGAAGGATAGAGCTATGGCTCAAAAGAGAAAGAAGGAAGAATCCAAACCAGTTGAAGATTATCAAGAGGAAAAGGAGTCTCCAAAAAAAAAGAAGAAGACTTCTTCAAAATCGAAATCCAAAAAGTCCAAATCCAAGTCCCAAACAGTCAATAGTTTTTCCTATGAACAAAGCCCATTGAAAGGAGGTGCCAACAGTGCAACCTATGGTGTTGTGTTTAATCTTGATTCAATGTAATTTGAATATAAACTCAATAAATTGTCTCATTGGTTTCAATTAATTTATTTTCTGCAATGTTTCTATTATTCTTATTATCGTTCAGAATTGAAACAATTATGACAGTACTTAGAGATTTGAACAACCTTTGAGACCTTACCGTTGCACTGTAAATTTTGGCGCCCAATGTTCTACTGATTAAATTTTCAAATTTAAAAAAAATGCCGAACATTAATAACAATGCCACTTCTGCACTACCCCGTAGAAGGCATCAACAGAATGAAAAATTGATGGAAAAGAAGAGTGAGGAAAAGTATAAGGATGCTAAAACAAAGTTAACAAAAAAGTTGTTTAAGGAAGCCGCCGAGGATTTGACGGAAGCCATTAATTTTAGACCTCTTCCAAAGTTTCATTTTCTCAGAGGAAATTGTTATAGACACACTCAGGATTATGACAGAGCAATATTGGATTACACTATTGCTATTGATACACAAGAGGAAGCAGCCTTTTATTTGGCAAGAGGAAAATGTTTTAGAACAATTGGAAAAATCAACAAATCAATAGCTGACTTTGATAGAGGTATTGATATTCTTTCTAGACCTTCAGCTCTTCAACCAACAGTCAATGTATCATCACTAAACAACTCGAGAGTGGTGGTGGACACTGCATCATCAACAAATCTCGGATCTGAAAATCAATCAATCCTGTTTCAACTCTATGTAGATAGAGGTTTAAGTTATTATGAAAAAGGAGAAAAGAAATTAGCTATTGAAAATTATGGAAAAGCTATCCTAATGAATGTTACAAAACAGCAAAGTTTGTTTAAGGCATACTTCCACAGAGGTAATACTCTCAGAGAATGTGGAGAGCTCGATGCCTCCATCGAAGATCTCACTAAGGCCGCAGACTTAGATCCTAAAAATGCAGCAGTTCACAACAATTTAGGTTTAAGTTTCTTTGAAAAGAGAAACTTTCCAGGAGCAGAAAAGCGTTTTACTCTTTCTATTGAAAACGATCCAACAAAGGGAATGTAAGTGTTTTATTTTTGGGTTCAAAAGTACTAATTCAATGAATAGATATCACAACAATCGAGGTCTTGCATACTACAAGCTGAAAGCATTTGAAAAGGCAATAGAAGACTTTTCTTGTGCTCTCAATCTCGATCCAGATGATGGTAATATTTACTTCAACAGAGGTAACACATTGTTGGCAATGAAGAGGTATGAAGAAGCCTTACAAGATTTTAACCTTGCTATCAATAAGGTTGATACCGATGAAAACTATTTCCATTGTAAAGGTATTGCTTATCAGGAAATGAATGATATTCCTCAAGCCATTCAAATGTTCAAAAAAGCTCTTGAAATTAATGAAAAGAGTGTTCAAAGCTTGTACCATCTTGGTTTAATGTACCATATTAATAATCAACTGTTTGAAGCCAAAAAACAATTTACCAAGGCGCTAGAACTAGTTCATGACCATAGAATTTACGAGAGCAGAGGTTTAGTTTACATGGATCTGCTGTATTACGAGTTGGCAATTCAAGATTTTTCAGCCGCAATAAGAATTGTTCCCGATTCTCCAAATAATTTCTTCCACAGAGGTAAATGCTTCCTGTGGTTGGAAAGATATACTGAAGCTGTTGAGGATTTTAATACAGCATTCAAACAACACTGTGACGACCCACAAGTGTTTAATGCAAGAGCTATGGCTTATAAGCATTTGAAAAAGCATGATGAAGCTATTTCTGATTTATCCTCTGCAATTAAGTCTGATGAGAACAATGTTGAATATTACTTTAACAGATCTCAATGTTTTTTCGATTTGAAGAATTATAGACAAGCTTTGAAAGACTTGGATACAAGTTTAGAAATTGAAAAATCAGAACCAAAGCTATACTATCTCAGAGGGTTGACTTATTATGAAATGAAGAATTATAAGATGGCTATCAAGGATTTCAAAGGTGCTCTAAGGTTGAAGAATCCTCAAACTGGCGCGCTGATTTCTTCATTTGTTCAAGGTGAGCCAACCTTTGGTCATGATTGTTTCTATCACATGGGATTGTGTTATTGTTTCCTTGAGAAGTATGAATACGCTGTAGAATCATTTTCAAAAGCTGTCGACCTCATATCAGATAAGGAGAATGTTCATACCAAAGAGTCGTCTGCTGCTTTAATAATCGATGATAACATGTTACATGCAGTTTATCACCACGAAAGAGCCAAAGCATACCAAATAATAGGAATGAACGAAAGAGCATTGGAGGATTTCACAACAGTTATCAAATATCAACCAGACAATGCACATGCATACTTTAGGCGAGCTTTTGCATGGAAAGCTCTTGAGAGATTTGAGGAGGCTGCTGAAGATTTTGAGAAGGCAAAATCTCTGCAACCCAATAACCCTAATTTAGTAGTCAACTACAAGAAGATATACGATATTGCATTTGTAGAGCTATGTAAACCAGGTTCAGAGCACCTTTATTAATATTTTTTAAGGTGTCGATATCAGATCTTATCATCTTGCTTGAGTAGAAACTTATTTGATTGTAGAATAGTACTTCACCATTTCTATTAACGAAAATGAATGTTGTACTACCAGAAACATTCAAATAACCAATATTGGAAAACAGAATTTAGTAAACTAAAAAGTAGAGTTGTGGAAACTTTACTACTTAATTATATAAACTCAACTGGTTTTGTCTCGAAACACATAGCGATTCTAATTTGTCTGCCAAAAGTACATTACTAGTAGAGCTAAATCTGAATCTAATAAGTTTGGAGCTGTTCTCTATCAATGAAGAAACATCGTACATGCTTTCTATACATAAAACAGTCAGTTCTTCCAAGTAAGGTGAGCTCAAACCAGTGAAATCAATAACACAGTTTGGATCTTTGATAAACTCTCCCTTTCTTGTTGGTGGTGTATAAACAGCATTGGTGAACTGACATGTGGATATGTATAATGATTTCAGATTAGGGAAATGACCCAAAAATCTGTTCATAGTCTCGTTATCAATATTTTTAACACAGCTTAATTGAAGTGTGTGAACATTTCTATAACTATCAATAAATCTTGGATTTGCAGAAAAGGCATCCTTATCATCATTCGTTACAATAATCTTACCATATTGTGGAAATCTTTCCAAAAATTTATGCTCCAAACATCTATTATTAATTAATTTCAAGCTCGTTAGTGGAGACAGGTCACCTCTCACATCAAAATGTTGATTTAAAATATACAGTTGAGGAATTTGAACTATAGTAAGTTTTGGAAATGTGGCAAGAATAGGTTCCCAATACCATGAAAAAGCATGTTTTGGTGGAAAGATTATTTTTGGCTTTTCTTGAGTTTGTTGTTTTGGTTTTTTGTGGTCTTCTGGGAAGTAACTATCATCTAATTCGCCATCACCATCCTCATCAATCACCATTGGAACAAAGAAAAAGTGAGTTAAATTATCTTGTAAATCCTTATATATCTTTCTATTAGTTCCTCGCATTAAATATATTACACTTCTAATATCCAAAAATTGACAAATAGATGAAGCAATTAATTCTGTTGGTAGAGTAAATAATTGATCAGTTTTAGTATTTGATCTATTGTTCTTTGATACTTTATAGGCAGAATCTACCAGTTTATCCCTCCATAAATTTTCATTTGGCCATTTGATTCTTTCATTGATGGCTTGTATTGGTTTTTGCTCGTCTGATGACATTTTAGTTTGAGTTGTTAACTCCTTTCTGCCACCACTATTCTTTGTGCTACCTCTATGTTTCTTACTTGTTGTTTGTGGTTCATAGTCATCGTCTAACATTCCCAAATGATGTTCATCATTCTCACAAGTTGTTGATGATTGTCCCATATTGATGATGATCTAATTATTATTATTATTCAATGATCCGAATATTTAAATAATATATAATACAAATAATATATTTATAATAATCACAACAGTAAAATATTTGCAAATAATATTATTGATGATAAAAACGAATATGTACACTCTTTAACACTCTCCAAAAAATCCTCTTGTGATTAAAAAGAACTCTCTGTTGATAACTGCTCTTGCAATCGTCGAAATGGGGAGAGGAGAATTTTTTTGCGTTTATTTTTTATTGAGCGCCAACTTTCCAACTCATGGAGTTTGCTTTACAATTAGTGGTTTGATAGAACTTTGCTTTCCTACTCTGTGAATTGTTGATAATTTGGATAATTTGAAGGATGAATGGAGGGTCATTCGAAAGGCTTTCAATGGTTGGCAGTAAATTGGAAACAAGTTCCTTCCTTTCCTTCAATCTAGCTCACCAAAAGATTGTGAACCAACAAGTTCACACGTCCCAACAAGACAAAAGAAACAGCATTCTTTTCTAGGATGGTTTATTTACAGTGCTCATTAGAGCTTAATGATGAATTTAAGACAGAGTTCAAGTTCAACATAAAATGTCTACAGAGCAAATCTATGTGAATGCGTACAATCATCAAACTCCTCAACAACATGCAATGATGATGAATAATGCAAATGGTTATCCTCAACAAGTCAAGAGTCCATCACATCAAATGGAGCAGCCAGGAATTTACAATCCTCCTCAAATGATGATGAATACTTCATTAGCAAATAATTCACAACACTCGGTGAGCCTTATTGATCAGATATTCGGACCCAATTCCAAAGCAAAGGTGAAGCAAAGAATAGAACCATTTGAATTATTAACTGGATTCGAGACTGAGAATAAGTATGATATAAATTTTGACAATGGATATATGGCTGTCGCTTTGGAAGAATCAGATTGTTGTGCTAGACAATATTGTGGGCCAAAGAGACCTTTCAAGATGCATATTGCTTTGAAAGTAAGTTGCTTTATGATTCTTATTCCGATTATTAATATCCAAAATTAGCAAAACAAGCAAGAATTTCTAACACTTGATAGACCCTATTGTCACTTCTTTCATGAAGTTAATGTGTATGATACAGCCACGAATCAGGTTCTGGGACAAGTTGAATTAAGGTTTACGTTATTTTCAAGGGAGCTTAATGTTTTTGATCCGGAAGGAGTGAAAATGTTTGAAATTGTTTCATCTTGTTGTGAATGTTGGACCTTTCACATTGAAAAAGATGGTGAACGAGTGGGTAAGATTAGCAAGAAGTGGAGTGGTTTTGTGAAGGAAGCATTTACAGATGCCGATAACTTTGGAATTGAATTCCCAGACAGGGCAACTCCAAAGCAAAAAGCAGTCTTGTTGGGAGCTCTCTTCCTCATTGACTTTCTATACTTTGAATCAAATGAGGACAACAATAAAAATGATCACTACTAACTCGAGATTCAAAAAGACACAAACGTTTATTTACATCAAATATTCAAAGGAAAATGGCTCAGTTGTTGGATTAGAGGCATCATCGTTGAATTCCCCAACATGAGACGACACTTGAGAGTTTAATTTTTCAAGTTGTTCGATTGGGTTGAGCTTTTTCTTTTGAGGAGAAGGATTGCTGTTTGAAGAGCTAGCACCTGCTGCGTTATTGGAATTACTGGAAGGTGTAGGTGTGGAAGAGGATGAAGAACTGCCGGAGGAAGCATTGGTTGAGTTACTAGAAGCTTGACTTGCACTAGAAGCTTGTGCTGGTTGTTGGCTGCTCACATCTGCTCCCTTAGCTACAGCAACTTGTTGAACTGGTTGTCTGTATTGAGCAGGATAATAAGAGGAAGGATAACCACCATATCCATAGGTTGTAGCTGCAGGATAACCACCATATGCTCCATAGCCAGTTGCAGCAGGAGCAGCAGGATAACCGCCATATGCTCCATAGCCATTGTAATAATTTGCTGGAGCTGCTCCATATCCATAACCACCGTAATTGGATGGATAATTGGCTGGATAATAAGATGGATTGACTGGAGCAACAGCTGTAGCAGTAACAGCACCAGCAGGAGGAGCACCATTGGAATAGTAAGCTGTTGGAGTTCCACCAGCTCCATAGTAAGTAGCAACGGGAGTTGTTTGGACATAGTTTGTGCCAGCATAACCAGTTTGTTCCAAAACATCAATCTTTCTATAGTATTCAATTGTGATACTCAAATAGTACATGTAACCATTCCAGTTTTGAACCTTGGCAACTTCAACCACTCTCTTTGAGTATTCATAGACTTGTAAAATGTACTTTCTATAGGTGGATGGAGCAAATGTTCTGTACTTGTAGAGGTACTTGGCATGGTTGGCTAAATTGTTAGCATACTTTTTGGCAATTTGAGGGTATTGAGAATCCTCCCCATGAGTATTCACCTTATCACCATAGAATTTAACATAATTCAAATCATTGTCTAATAAGCTCTTATAGTATGAATAGGGATTGAATGATAATTGTTGTGATGGTTGTTCTTGTTGTGCTTGTTGTGTTGAAGAGTCAGGTTGTTTTGAATCAGGAGGAGGAACAGGAGTTGGAGCAGCATGACTACTACCACTACTTTTATCACCTCTATGAGGAGTGTAGGTTTCTTTATGACCACCTTGATATTCAATGCAATTCTCATATTCTACATCCTGGTCGTCATCCTTAAATTCATTCTCGTCGACTGGAATGTCATCAACGAATTCATCATCTTCTGCTCTTATGATATCATCATAGATTTCTGATTCTTCAAATCTTCTCACTTTCTTGATTCGATTCTTGTTCTGAGCAAAGCAAAAGCAGCATAGCAAAACTAGTATAAAGAGTGCGAATAATAGAATTCGAATGAGTGAGTGATTGGATTTCATTTTTCAATGAAGTTATCTAATCACTGTTTTGTTTTAAGAATGTATTTGTTGGGTATATATTAATTTGATAAAATGTATGGTGATTAGCCAAAATGGATAATTAGAGTATTAAGAAACTTCCTATAAACTTGAAAACTTTCCATTTTCTAATAAAGGAATGCTACATTTAAAGAAATTTACAATTTTCACAAAACGCTGTTTACTAATTTACAAAAGACTTGTTACCCCAGTTCCTCTTTGATATATGACTTGAAAAGATTAATTACAATATTTGTAAAAATAACTTACGATAGCCCCAGAAAATTGACCAAATCCAACCTATTTGTTCATAATTAACAATAACATTATTTTGACACATTATATTCCTCATTGTGATCTACTTACCAACAATAATAAAAGCAGTAATGAATTGCAATAAGGCAGATACACCATTAAATGTTAATACATCATCATCCTCACAATAGAAAGCAGCAACCTAATAAATTGTATTAATAATAAATAATAAACAAATTATTGATCTAATAATCAACGTACCAAAGTACCAATACCTGGCAAGAAAATATTCAAAATTAAAACAATGAGTGGTAAATTGCCCTTCAATTTTGGTACATTTTTCATGAAGAAGGCCATTCCTCCAGCTGTTCCCTAATCACTCCGATCACAAAATTATTTAATTTTCAATAACTATTGAACAATATTTAATTAAACCTACAGAGGCTCCAAACATTCCGATAAGTGCAGACATTGTTGATGAGATTGTTTATTCGTTGTTGAATATTTTTTCTGTTGATGGGTTTTATGAAAAGGACTTTTTCAAATTAGATTCGTTTTGGAATAATTTCGTAAAGCAGCTTCAAACAGTTGGTTGCACTTTTACATGTAATGAGGTAGTTTTTCTAAGGACACAACAACATATGCAAGCGCCTAAACACAGAACAGACAACAAGCAAAATGCAACAAATCCAATAGTGAGGAGTACTCCAATAGTTACGATGGAAATACTGCTGTTTGTCTTGTCTAAGAGCATACAAACTGAGGAATCCTCAAGTTTCATACTCTTTGATCTGGTGAGAACAAGACCATACTTTTGAGTCTGTGTTGTTGCTTCAGCAGTTACTTTTACCATTATAATGGAAGAAGAGTCGAATCCTGTAATTGTAACTCTCTCAACATTATTTTGGCTGTCTTTTTCTGTTAAACCATTTGCAAACACTCTCTTACTCATTTTCCCATCTTCAAATACAGTTACAATCATATCCAAATCTGAGTATAGAGTAGGAACACTATTTGCTTGATTTGGAGCATCGTACCATGCAATAGTTGCTTTCAGGAATGAGTTTGCATCCCTTGAGTTTGTGGAATAGCAATGCACATTTACACCTCCTCCTGTAATCTCTTGACGATCAAAAAGATCCAATATGAATGTTGAATCGTCGAACTCTAGAATATTTGACAACCCTATTGCCCCAAAACCTTCGTACTTATTGGGGGTGTCTTTGTTTCCAAGAGCAACAACAAAACTATCACTTCCATCCAAACTTACAGCTCCATTCAAAGATGTGCAGCTATTTATAAGAGCTGCTTTAATTAATGGACCAGAAGGATTTGCAAGACCTTTCAACTTTCGCATGTATTCTCTAATTAAGGCTATTGACCCAGAAACCTAATTGAACGTAAAGTTAGAATTGAATCAATAGAAGACTTACTATTGGTGTTGACATGGATGTTCCAGTAGATACCTTTAGAGCAGCATCATTTGTGGCATTGGGATATATGTTTCCACACTGATTTGTTGACAAGCTACCGTCGGATCTAGTCGAAACAACTCGATCTCCAACAGCAACACCTTTTTGGGTTAATTGATAAATTTCAATAAACTTACAATCTGGTTTCATTCTATTACCAGTTGCCGGGCCTCTAGCAGAAAAGAAAGCAACATTATTCTGATTATAGGAGGTTTTCAACACTTTCAATTGAGATTCCATTCTCGAAGGACAACAAGAGAAAGAGCAAGAATAATCGGAACAACAAGTATCTGATGTGACACCACAAATCTCTGACTCTTCATCGAGGTTAAGGTACTGAATAGAATCTACAAATCCTTGATTGCTTGTCATTGAAGCTCCCACAACAATAGCATTCTTTGAAGTAGTGGCAATCGTTCCATCAACAGCAATATTACCCTCGTTTCCAGCAGCAAATACTACCACTGCATCTTGATTCTCATATAAAAAATCATCAATTTGCATGTCTCTCTTTCCATAGCTATTGCACAATCTGCAACAATCCAATCCGTAGGCAGATTTACATTTTTCATTAGCAACTAATGAGAATTTCTTTCCCAATGAATCATCATCTATGAGCAGATAGCACTGACAATCATAAGAGCACGAGAATAATGAAGCATAGGAGCAGGTGTAACTATTGGAGAATATCCGTGAATTAAGATTGTATCCTTGTAAGAACATTGTTCTAATATCGGATGGTACCAAAAGATCAGATTCGTTTTCATTCTCAATATCTAACATGATAATCTTCGATTTGTAAGCTATACCATTATATTCACTCATTGTATTGTTATCTTCCGATTCAAGATTTCCTGCCACAGATCCACACACATGACTAGAATATTAAGAATAAAGCACCAGAAAAAAACTTACGTCCCATGTCCATCCAAAGAATCCTTTCCATCCGCTTGTTTACCATTATTACTCATGTTTATGTAGGCTAAAACTTTTCTATGGTCCTTATTAACTTGACCTGTTGTAACTGGAAGAGAAGGATCCGAAAAAAAGCAACTATCCCAATCTAGGCCGGTATCTGCCACCGTTATGACTTCTCCCTCTCCTGTGATATTTCTTTCCCATATTGGATTGGAATTGGTATTTAGCTCACCATCTGTACGAAGACCTTGTGCATGTTTTGTTGCTACTTTGTTAGATGTTCTCATTGGTTCTCTTCTCTGTATCCACTTTACACTTGGGTTGTCCAAAAGAAATTCGGCTATTCTATCCAAAAACTTAAAAGGGACTTGAATATCTATCATACCATCACCAACAATTTCAATTTGATAATTATCTGAATGATATTTCATAAAGGCATTAAAATTAGTTTGAAATCTCTCTGTAACTTTCAGAAGTGAATTGATATCCGTAAGGGAAGGAATCAGAAGAAGTTCAAGTGCTATTCTACTATCCCTTGTACTGTTTTTAGCTTGTTCATAAATATAAAACATATCAATACTAGTTTTCAGCTCGTTTTCGAATGATCGTATCCACACAATTTCATTCTCCATCTCTTTGAGCATGTATTGATCTGCTCTAATAAGGTAAATGTTTCCGCTCTTCAATAAATAGGTTTTTTCAAAATTGTAATGGGTTGTCAGGGTCGAATTTCTGTTCATTCTCTCAACTAATTTGACAATAAATAATTGATCCGTCGTTATTGATCGTTTCATGTTCAAAATTTCACTTTTCATGTTGTCTTTGTGTGATATTACAACTGTTTTCCTTTTAAATTCAATCAAGTCCACTTGATTGAATGAATCATCTCTAAATATTCGATAAGCCTTCTCCATCATCACATCATTCAACACAAATCCATGTTCAAACTTTATCAAGAACACAATCTCAATCATCAATCCGATGATTATCAAACCCAACACTGCAACAAATAATCTGCTCCACCACGATGAAAATAGCGAGTATATTTTCTTCATATGAGTTGTTCTTTCAATGTTATTATTATTATTATTATTAATCATTCTGTCTTTTGCGCTGCGACCTCATTAAGGCTATTTTTTTTGACACTTTCTAAATTTCGTTAGGGCAGTTTAATGCTTCCCGCCAAAAAAATCCTTAATAAGTAGCTGTGAAGTGAAGACTTTTTCAAACTCAATGTCCTCTGAGAATATACATTATTCAGCACGAGGTTTTTTGTGAAACCTGGCCAAACAATTCAAATAGCCAAAAAAATAATTGTTTTGGGTTAATATCGAGTTTCCTGATTGGAAACATACCTCGACTTTCAACGTCTTTTTTAATCTTCATGATCGACCCATTGTTGCATTGTGAGAGGTGTGAATGAATACGATTCATACTGGTTTGATCTGTTATCATTCGAACAAATGATTTAAAAGTACATTGAGAAAATATCTTAATTGCAATCAGCTAGGGGGTGATATAAATGAAAGGAAAGTTTCAAGGAATGTCGCCTCAAAGGACAATCTGTTATAAAATGTTAACTACTCTTTGGGTAGCATAAAATTATGGTAATTACCCAAATTTGTAGTTGTGTGATAGCCAGATTGTGAGTTTTTGGGAATTGAGTGTGTGTTCATGTTTAAATTGAATCGATTGCACAATTGATTCATCAAAACAAAGACAAAATATGAAGTAGAATGCTAGATAATGCTTCGATTTGGTTCTTGTCATGCATACTTTGATCGAAAAAAAACAAAATGACTACTTCCCCAAATCATACGAAACTCAAGTTTATCGATTTAACCAAAGAGATTGAAGATTGTAGCAAGGATCAAAATCTATCCGTGTACCACTATCAAGCTGCAAACAGTGGTGGTCAATCAATGCATTCTGGTTCTCAGAGAAAGAAAATTAATAAGAGATTTAGAAATAATCCTGGCTTTGCATCCAATTTCTTCTTCTTTCCTTCAAGTGTTGCAGTGAATGGGAATACCTCAGCTAATATGGCCATCAACAAGGATGGATCTTGTGCTTCATCATCATCATCATCATCATGTTGTGATAACACTTCAACTGTTTCAACACCAACCCCAAGAAGGTGGAGTTTGCAAACTAAACAAAACGAAAAGATGGCAGCTGCCAATCCATGTGAAGGAGCTCCAGTAGTTGCATCACAACAAGATGAGAAGGGAAATGAAATGATAATGAATGAGGATACATGCCACCCTTCATCCATCCCTCCACAAAAGAAGAGTCCTCAATCTGCAACATCAAGAGGAAAGAGGCCACCTAAAGGTCGATTACAACGTAGATTTTCATGTAGTGATTATTTACCAACTAAAGGAAGCATGATGACAGAGCAAGATCTTGCCAGTATCGAAAGTATTTATTCACCAATGAGTTCCTATTGTATTACTCCAAACAGTCAATTTGTAAACTTTACATTCAGCTCTCCAGATGCTCCATCCCAACCTTCTCCTCCAACTACTACAAATACAACAACAACATGTACAACAGTAATTAATGGCAGGTATGAGGGTACCTCCTCTGATGCTATTGGAAACAATGATTTGGAGAAGGTGATAGAGTTTGAAGAAGAATGGGACTTTCTCGATCCAAACTCAAAGAAGAGAAGACCAAGCTTTGATATAAATCAAGATGAGATGGATAAACTATTCCACGCCTTCTCATTTGAACCTATTCAAGAGAATGATCATACTCCTCAATCTTCGTCAGGTGGTGCTGAATTCGATGGAAGTGAAATTCCAGCAACAGTTGATGAGATTAATCGTAATTGTATTGTAAAGAATTCTGAAGATCAACTCATGACAGATCAAGCACTAGTGCAAGATGGCTATGTCAATTTATTGCAAGACATGTCAACTGGTAATGATCAAATAACAAGTGAAACTGAGCTCCTTTTCAATTCTCTGCCAGAAGAAATGAAACAACAATTAGTTTCCTTCTTTTTACTTCAAAGTAACAATGGTGAACAACCTTCTGCTGTTGTTTCCAATACAACTGAAGTTTCTTCTGATGAGCCAACTCAAGATTCTACTGCAGAAACCAAAGAGAATGAAAAGAGATCCACCAGTACCACTCAAGAAATTGACAATATGCTGGAAAATGTTTCAGATCAACCACTATTTGAACCAATCACTGAAATTGGATTATCAGAATTGAAAGAATTTGGTTTATTTGAAGATTTGGAAGAAGCTACTCTAAGAGCATCCAACTCTAACGACGATTTTGAGAATTTCTTAAATAACTTGTAAATAATAAACCTTGTAAAATAATAATCACCATCATACCACACCAATCAAATACTAATATCTGAATTTATTTCTAATAAAACTTTGTTCCTTCTTTTCCTCAATAGAACGTTGTTCCACTTCAATTACTTCTTCCATTAGCCTTCTAAAATAAAGCCACTTATCAACCATCGCACAGTAATCATTAAAAAAAACTCACGACGCAATTTTTCTCAAGTCAAGTTGCTTGATGAAGTAAAAACAAGAAGAAAAGATAGAGATCATCATACAACAATAACAATCATTATGGAACAACAATCAACCTCTGCTACACCTGGCAAACGTCAAGATTATGTACAATATACTCCTCAAATTGTAACTAATTATAATCAACAATATGGCCAACAGCAAGAACAAGGTTTGGCATCACCATCACAAGAACACTATGAAGACTCGATGCTTGAATTGAAAGATGTCGATACACTTCCATCAAATTATGCCTTTGTCTCTCATCAAATTCCTCCTAATACTATGTACAACAATCAACAACCACCACAGCAAGTACCACAACAAGTCATCTATTTGCCTGCTGAAACTCAACAACGAGTCTATGAAACACCTTCTAACAATAATTATATTCACTCTGGAATGATTATGAATCCTAACGTTGTTCCTAACCATCATTTATCTCCATCATCATCAGCAGAACCTTCTTCCTTTATTATCAGCAAGTATACATCTTGGACAAGAGTTGTTATGGTATTTGCTATCCTCTTGGGTATCTATGGGTGTTTTGGTTTGGTATCACAGTTGATATTGGTTTTCTCTTATTCAACCTTCTCTAGTGTTGAAGGTATTTCTGTGAACACATCTGTTATATCAATTATTGCTTCCTGTGTTAATTCATTGATTGAAATTGGTGCTGGATCTGTTGGTGTTTGGTCAACTATTACAAAGAATCCAAAGCATAGAAAGAATACCACTATTGCTCATTTGGTTCTTCTTTCGTAAGTATTTGAATGATATTGATTTGTTAACCTTTGAAAGAATCGTTGTTCTTTACAATATCATCTATGGTATTATTGGTACTCTTGAAATGTTTTTCGGTGAGCAAACACAGGAAATTGCCAGTGCTGGACTTAACCCACAAAATTTAATAATTTTCTTAGTTTTTTCACTTTTATTATTTGTTTTAATGATTTTTGCTTGTTGTGGAAGTTGTATTGGATGTCAAGCTTATCGTTTCAGAATTATGTCAAAATTACAAGATGCTCAACCAGAAATAGCTCAAGGAGAAGGATTTATGGTCATGCGTGATGAAGTTTAAATAAATTACTGAATTAGTGAGGATAATCTTAATTTCATTTTGAGAGCCTCTTCCTTTGATTTTTGAGTCATTGGATTGGTCTGTAAATTTAAATGTTTAAGACTTGGAAAATTGGAACTAAGCGTTTCAATTAAAACACTAACCCTGGTAATGGCATTCATACCACAATTCAAGGTGGAAAGGAGAGGAAATTTTTGTTGTGAAAAACAAGCAAATTCTTCTGTTCCAATATCATTGTTTGACAAATCTAACAATCCCAATTTTGGTAATGCATTAAACGAAACTCCTTTCAAATATTTTCCTATTTGATTGGATCTCAATAGGAGAAATGTTAAACCTTTGAGTGTTGTATTATTAAGGTAAGTGATTCCTTCTCCAATTTGATTAAAGTTCATTATTAAAATGTGCAATTTTGTAGTATTTCCTAAGAATAAAGCCTTTGCTCCTTCTGCTCCAACGTTGTTACTACTAATATTAAGTGTTTTCAATTTAAGAAGAGATCCACTAGAAATATATTCCATTGATTGGTATGTTAATTCGTTACCAGCAACACTAAGGTTAGTTAAATTGGAAAGTTTGGTAGTTATGGTTTTTACATTTGTATCACACAACTTATTATTAGCCACATCTAGAGAGGTTAATTGAGTTCTTGTGGAAATTAGCTCAATACTCTCTGTTGTAAGATTTGAGAGAGCTACGTGCAACGTTTTGAGATTATTATTCAACACCAGAGAAATGAGGTCATTAGTCAAGATATTTCTTGCAGAGAAATGAGTCACCTTGCTAATCGGTAGAGTTGAAGAAAGTATTGTATGACCATGGTTCGAGTTTTTTTCAATGTTAATAGATTCAATATTGTCCATAAATAGTAGGGACAAAATTCCAAGAGTTTCAAGAGAATTGTGTGCTATATTCAATACTTTCAAATGGGCATTCATAGACTTGGCAATCATATCGGCACCTTCATTTGTAACTTGATTTATGCGAATATCAAGTGAAGAGAGTTTGAAATTGGCTAATTTACACAAACATTCAATGGCTCCATCATTCAGGTTTGAATTATCTACTCTTAGTTTTGTCAAATTTTCCAACTTTCCCTTGCATATATTCTCCATAGCAGCAACTGACACATCAATATCAGATAGATTAAGACTGGTTAGAGAGCTCAATAGTGCAACATTTTTACAACCCTCCACAGAAATATTATTTCCACCCAAATTCAAATGAGCTAATTTTCCACAAGTCGTAGCAGCAAAGCACATTGTTCCTTCATCATTAATCTTTACATTGGTACACTCCAATCTTTCCAATTCCACCAAATTCCCACTCATCAAATATTCCAATCCTTCATTCCCAATCGAATTGTGACTCACATTAAGAATCCTCAAAAACCTCAATTCCTTCGCCAAGTAATAACAAGCTCCCGAATCAATTCTATTACTACTAATATTCAATTCTTTCAAATTGACTAATCCTGCAGACAATAACTCTATACTCTTCCTACCAATTTTATTTCCTTCCAAATCCAAACGATGAATATTAGAAGCATACTCTGTACAAGCCTTCATAATCTTTGTGCCCATGTAATCATCAAGATCCATCCGAGGACTCACCAAGTCAATATCTAATTCTGTTTGATTAATGATGGATTGCCAATATTTGCAAACTAGTAGACAATTTGACAATACTTGGATGGACGGAAGGTATTGGAAAATGTGGTGCTTGAATATTTCATCGGGTAATTGTTGCATTTTTTTTTAAATATTAAATTTAAATATTTAAATAATTGTAAATTTTTGAATTATTCAAGTTTGATGAATTGAATTCTCTTATTTTCCCAATCAGCAATAAGAATTTCACTTCTTTCCGAATTGAAACAAATTCCTTCTGGTAAAGCAAATCGTTCATTACAATTTCCCTTCTCTAAACTTCCAATTGATTGCAGTAATTGACCATTTTCAGAGTTAAATAATTGAATTCGATGATTATCTGTCACGAGACACATATTTTCAATGGCACATATTCCTCTAGGACAGTTCAATTCACTTTTTGAAGAGAATTGTCTTTTGAATTGACCATCCAAAGTGAGAACTTGAACTAGACCGTTATTGTGATCTGCAATGAATAGTTCATTGGAGAATTTGGAAATTCCAACAGGTCTATCAAATTTTCCATCACCTTTTTCAGAGCCAAAACTCTTTGTAAATTGCCCATTTTCTGGATTTAAACAGTCAATTCTGTTATTTCCTGAATTACAGACAAGTAATTGCTTTCCTAAATTTGAATTTTCATCCGAATCGATTAATATCAAACCACGAGGAAAGTAAAATTTATCAGTTCCGTATTTTTCCTTTGGTGATCCAGCTGTCCAAACCAATTTCATTCCATCATATTTGTTTTTTGAATTTTCCACAATTTTCACTTGATTTTCAATTGCTAATGATGATTGAATTAAATCATCGAGAGAAATTACAAATTTATGAACGGTATTACTTCTACATGTTACATAAATTTCACATGATTCCAAAGTTGTTTCTACTGACGATGATAATTGATTAATTTCCACATAGTAGGGAATGCTCGGAGTCTTACATGATGAAAGTAAAATCCTTGAATTTAAATCATAAATACGAATGCAAGATTTATCATAATCAGTGATGAATAGGAATGATTTTTGCTGATGAGGAGGACGGCAGTGCATTATTTTCACATCTGTTGGTCGGAATGTGAGAGAAAACGTATCAATGTGTGAAATCATTTTTTTCTATTCGATTTTTTCAATTTTTCTTAAATTTCCAATTCTTCTTGAATTTCAAGCGAGTTGTTCTCCCTTATTTTCGCTGAATGGTTTGTAGGAGCTGTTCAAGGACCCTTCTCTTCACAAGAAAAGCATCTCCTGCTTTTGCCATATATTTCAATATATTCTGCTGATGTTCTTGTTCATTGTTGAGAATGTATGCTTCGGGATGCCACTGAATTCCAATGATGGGAACTCCAAATTTTGTTTCAAATGCCTCTATGGAATAATCTGGAATGGAAAGTGCTGAAATATCGACTATATTCTCAAGTGGGCTGTTTTTTGGCAGTTGAGGAGCCATCCAATGGATTGAATTTACAGAAATTGCATGACTTTCATCGACTATTTTTTCATTCGCTGATTTTCCATACATTGAGGATTTCAATATGGTACACTCAGGTATTCTAATATCTAAATCAATATCATTAGCTTCATGTTGCAAAATAATGCCATGACCAACTTGCTGATGTTTTATCGTTCCATTAGAATCCAAATTAATCATTCCACTGGCATGTTGAACATCCGAATTGATGTTTGAAACTGAACCACCCAAGAATTCCCACAATCTCCAACTCCCAGAACAAATACATAACACTGGTTGACCAATCAACATGGCCTTTCTAATAACATTTCTCTCAAATTCAAATCTAAATATCATTGAAGGATCATTTTCCATAATCTTCAAATGTCCTACAACAACCAACAACCCAATTTCATGATCTATTTCCTTCAACCTTAATGAAAAATCACGAATCATTGGCAATCCATGTCTCCTCTTATTTTCCGAATGATATTTCAATGTCAAATTTTCATTCTTCTCCAAATAGTCCATCATGATTTTTCTAATTCCCTCCGAATAATTAACTACCTTACCATTCATTGGTTTTATCATAGTGGCTACATATTTTACATTTCTATTATTATTATTATTCATATTATTATTATTATTATTAATATTTTGATTCGGATTAGAAAAATTTTGTAATAATTCGTAAATTAATTTCGCGTCGTGTGATGAAGGTTTAAGGGAACAAGTGGCTCGTTTTGTAGCATGTTGTATGGTGTAGTGATCGTAGAACATGCCCTTTCCGTGCCCATCATCACGATAGCAAATACCAATCATTTTTTTTTAAAATTTCAAATTTGAAATTGAAAATGTTTACAAAAATTGAAACCCATTCCAAGAAGAATTGAGAATAAATTGAGAATTTTATTCTCTCAATGACACTGTACAAATAATAATTATTGGTGTTGTAACTTAATTACGAATGGCATCCAAATCATAATCAGTAGCAGCCAATGGAATGGTCTTTTCTTCAGTCAAAAAGTGTTGAACTTCTCTGAATAAAGCCATTCTATTCTTTTCCAATAAAACTTGATGGGTTCCTTCTGGAATTTGGACGAATTTCTTATATGGAACTTGAGTAAGATTCTTGAAATATCCAAGAGACATGTCAATGTTCAAATCAGCATCCCATTCAGCACGGATAACCAAAACTGGCATATTGAGCTTGGTTGAGTTGTAAATATTAATACTGTTGAACCAATATTCATTGTTATCATAAACTAACAAGTTTCTAACAAACTTTCTAATAAAAATCAAACTTACCAATACCAGTTGGAGTAGAGAGATATTTCACACCCTTTTCATTAACCAAAGCTTTAGCAAAAGTGACACTTTCCCAAATTTCATACCAACCAGCTGGGATGATTGAATTTTGCTTATCAGCAGCGACACCAGTCAACCAAGAGGCACGTCTTCCTTCAATGGTTGTGTTACGATAACTTCCAGAAACTTTAGTTTGGAAATTTCTGTACCATTGAGGAGCATAGATAACCAAACGATTGGTCAATTCTGGATAGTTGGTGGCAAAGGTGGTGGCAATGGAAGTTCCCCAGGACCAACCCATAATGTTCATCTTGGAAATATCTGAATAACGGATTAGAAAATCTGTTTCTGTCAGAATTCAACTTACTTCTACGTCTCAAAATATATTTGACAGCTGTGGCATAATCATCAGCAGCAGTTGTGGTTCTGACAATTGGCTCACCAGTATTAGCTGGTCTGGTAGAATCACCATAACCTCTAACATTAATAAAGTAAGTATCATAACCTTGCATAGCCATGAAATCCATCTTTTCAAATTGGTAAATAATATGAAATAAAGGATTTTAACATACCCAGCTCATACCACCAAGAACCAAATCATAACTAGTTTCAGATGGATAAGTAGCACCATGAACAAACAAGACAACGTTATCTGGTGAATACTTTTTAGTACTTGGCTTTCTCTTATTTCTCATTTGCAAGAGAATATTCGAATCATCTTGAGCACGAATAAAGAAATCAGCTTGAATGACCTTTTCGTTATTGAAAGCAGCAACAGGAACCCTCTTTTCAACATAGTTGACTTCTTCTCTTGGTTTGCTTGAAGTAGCAAGAACCAAAGATGCCAAAACCAACACAACTGTCAAGGCAACAAATTGTGGACGAGAAAACATTTTTTTTTATGAATGATGACTGGAAGGTGAAATGTTGCACATGTTAAAAAGTGGATCTTTGGTGATGGGTATGAGCAAGAGATCTGACCATTTATTGTCCTTCCCTACTAAATTATGAAGAGTTCTCCAAATATGGTTGTATTGTAAAAATGTGAAATGGAAAAAATGTACGAAATTGAATTTGAGTGCAACCAATCAATACTAGCGCAAATATTGAAGAATTATTGTTTTGGAAGTTGGTAAACATTATGAGTAGCAACTGCTCGAATAGTTTGAAAAATAAATTCAGAAAAAGAAAGAGATGGAAATTGTAAAGTTTTAAAGATCATTTGCTATTGAATTGGCAACTGTAGACAGTGCTAATGATTGTTAGTGTTGGTTTGGCACGTTTACAATTAAGTTTTATTATTGGAAACAACAGAACACAATATTGAATTTGGTGGTGACTTCTTTAATGAGAAGGAGCACCAGTATGAGAAAAAGTGGCTAAATGCATGGAATGCACACTCAAAAGTATGAAGAACTTACATCTCTTAAATAGATTTCATAGTAAAAGAATCTTTAGAAAATTATTTGATAGAGTTTACAATTAGAAGAAAAAAGATGTTAAAATTTTTTTATTGGTCAGACGATATTATTTGCTATGTTGTCTTGCATTGAATCTTCGCTTTTTCCAACTCAGATGCTTCCTAGTTCAAATGATGAATCAATAGCGACTGTTTATCCAACTACACCAATCTTGTAAACCATCAATGAATTACCATTTTGCTTACTAGAAAAGTATCGTTCCATAATTGCCAAAAAGGTATTCCAGTCCGAGTGTTCAATGTTAATTGAAACAAGGCCAACTTTAAGGAAATAAAACCTATTAAGGTTCGTTTTTAATGATTGTGTAGCCCGTCTAGCTCAGTCGGTAGAGCGCAAGGCTCTTAACCTTGTGGTCGTGGGTTCGACCCCCACGGTGGGCGAATTACATTTTAGTTTTACAAAATCTACGTTTAATCTTAAATTATTTTAATATCTGAAAATGAAAAGAACTCTCGATTTCCATTATTTTTCTTCAAATTTTCATAGAAATATTTGAGACACTTGCTTTCCAAAATCTTTTTCTTGTAAAGAACAAAGTGCCATCCTCCACATTCAATACTATTGGTTTCCAATGTTGGTAGTAGCTCCTCTGGTCCAAACTTATGATAAATGCAATAGATTGTGTTTGGTTTAGAACTATCTGTAAATGGAGTCTTGACAGCAAAGGAAGAGACAGGATCACCAACTATTACAAAAGCATCCTTATTAATGAATACAGTGGCAATGGATGAGCATGTAATTCTTGTGGGCTGAAAGATTTTACTATTCTGGGAGTCATATGGAAGTAATGGAAAGTCAATCTTGATGAAATACTGATCTGAACCGACAACTCCACATTGGAAATAACCATTATAACCTGAAAATATATTCCATATTACAAATTAATTAATAAACTAATACCTACCACACATGTAAACCTCTCCACTCTCCAATAAAACACTCGTATGGAAATATCCACATTTAATTTGATCAATTCTTTTGCCTTGAAATGGAGTTTTAAGTTGACTGAAAACTTCACTTGGTTGTCCACTTTGAGATAAAAATTGATCATCACCATGACATAGAATTTGGTGAGATCCATCTTGTTCTTCATAAACAACAAATGAAGATCTTCCACTTAGTGCAGAGGTCACATATTTCTTATCTTTGAAATCTAAATTCAATTTCAATTCTTCCGAATAAATGGTTGAATCTGTTGAGAAATAATAAATCACATCATCTGTTCCACGAATAAGGAAATGAAAAGATAGAGGTCCACATATAATTTCTCTAATTCCAATTTGATTTTCCACAAACTTTTTGAGATGGAAAACCCTTTCTGATGAAGTATCAAATCTAATGACCAAATTATTCTTCATTTGCAATAGTACACCTACTTGATTGCAATATACATCTTCCACCTGATAACAATTTCCCAATTTCAATTCATCAATTGTCGACTTGTAATCCAACCAAAATGTGGAATGGCACTCGCTTTCTGTTGAACTGTTTTTGATGGGTTTGAAATAATTGCATTGATTTGACTTGGCTGTTGCAAACTTGATGTACAATTTCTCTACGTGTGATTCATGAAAATTGAGTTTTGGCCACAATCTCACCACAAAAAAATTTCCACCACAACTAATTTTCCTCACCTCTGTTGAATAATTGCTATTCGGAATAGGATGAAGAAAATAGGGTTCCCATTTAGGCATAGGTACATGAATACCACTGGTTGGTTGGATGCCCAAAGTTAGCAAAGGAATAGTATTGTTCATCATCTTTAATCATGATAAATAAATGGATGATAAAATTGTGATTTTTTTTTTGCTGTTCGAAACGGACGAAAGCTGAGTAACAGTTCTATTGGTTGTAATAATTACAGGAATAAAGTTTTAACAACATTGTTGCTTTTCATTGTCAAATTCCACTGGAATGAACATGATCAGGAAATGATAGTAGAGGAACAATGTATAAATTCCTTGTGGAAGCTATCTAGCGATACCATTGTAATTCACACATCGTCTTTAATCCAATTTTGCGCATTCAAACCATTTACCTTAGTAGCTATTTACCCCAAGTTCATTCAATTCATTTATTCTACGATTCATAATACCTAATAAAATACGCGTAATAAGATAAGACTCAACAAATGATTAGTGATCGCTCTTTCAAATTTCAAGAAACATGAAGTTCTCAACTGTAGTCCTTAATTATAATAATAACAAGAAAAAAAAGGATTCGCCAATGCAGTCCATACTTCTTTCTAATTTCGTAATCGAAAGGCCTTGTTACTAATCTTCTGGATTAGAGCAATGAAATATTTGAATAGCATTTGGTTAAAATGAGCAAACAGATGAAATATTGCTTTCATGAAGAGTACATGTCTTTCTTTTCAATATTTTGTTTCGTATTTCACCAGACTATTCTTGAGTTTTAACACAATCTCAAAGAACCAGGTCTACGTACAATGCAGTCCGTGATCCTCAATTCACCGATTGCATTGACCAGATAAGGCCTGTCAGTGTCTTCGAAAATGTGTCAAGTCACGACAAGCGAAAAAATCCTCACCTTTTTTGCATGAGGTTGTTCCTTATCTTGAAGAAGAATGAATAGTGGAAAGTGATTAATTCATTAAAGGGGCATGGGTTGAAAGTAATGATGCAGTCAGTACTCAGTAGTAGGTAGTATTATCTACGCATCGATGCCATCCATCATTCTACCTTTTAAAAAAAACGACAACAAATCCCATCAACAAACATAAACCTCGTTACGAGTAGTATTCAAGGAAAATATGAAACAAACCATCTTCTTTTTCATATTACTATCATTTATTTTGCTGCTGCTGTCAATCTCTTCAACTGATGCCTGCAACTGCAATGGACGAGGACTTTGTAATATTCTTGCTAATACTTGCGTTTGTAAAGATATTAATGCAGTGAATTCTCTATCTGGAGGTCAGACGCTAGCTGCTGGATCAGCACTCGTCTCATCGAATGGTTTATTCAGAGCAGAGATGCGAACAGATGGCACTTTCATTGTAATTGGAGGTGATGGACAGAATTATACGAGAACTGGAACAGCTGGTTCTGGATTGTTATTTACCACAAATGGAGTATTACAGATTGGACTCTCTATTATATCGACAGTGTTGAGTTTATTGAATTCTTCACCCATGTTAGTATTGAGAAATGATGGAGAATTGGCCATTTATTCACAACCATTGCTTGGATCAGTTACTTTGGAATGGGGAAGTGGAACTGGAGCTGCTATTGCTCCAACAAGTGATGATTATTTATATGGAGGATCAAATTGTGAAATTGCAAAATGTGGAGGTTTATTACCAAGTGCTCCACTTGTTTGTTCCAGTAAGGGAACATGTAATGGTTTGGGAGAGTGCATTTGTAGTGATGGATATTTTGGAGGATTGTGTAATGTATTGTCGTGTGCTGGGATTTCTCAATTGAATGGTTCGGTTTGTTCTGGAAAGGGAACTTGTGATGGTATGAATTTGTGTAATTGTCAAAATGGATTTTTGGGATCGACATGTGAAGCTTTTAAATGTTTCGACAAGTTTATGAATGATACTAATGTCTGTAATTTGGGATCTTGTTTGGGTCCTGATTTGTGTCAGTGTCCTTTAGGATATTTTGGTTTGAATTGCTCAATTCCTAAATGTTTCGGCTTACTGGGAAATGAAACTAATGTTTGTGGAGCAAAGGGTTCTTGCATTGCTCCAGATAAGTGCTTGTGCCAATCTGATATTCTTGGAGATGTTTGTAATGTTTTCAAATGTTTCAACAAACTTTCGAATGAAACTAATGTCTGTGGAGGAAATGGGTCATGCATTGGATTAGACAAATGTTTGTGCAAAGATGGATTTTTTGGTGAGCTATGTGATAAGGTGAAATGTTTCGGCAAGCTTTCGAATGAAACTGGAGTGTGTGGTTTGGGTCAATGTATTGGAACTGATTTGTGTCAGTGTCCTTTAGGATACTTTGGTTTGAATTGTTCAATTCCTAAATGTTTCGGCTTACTGGGAAATGACACTAATGTTTGTGGAGGAAACGGTTCGTGTATTTCTCCTGATCAGTGTTTATGTAAAAGTGGCTTATTTGGAGATTTATGTGATAAGGTGAAGTGTTTCGGCAAGCTTTCGAATGAATCAGGTGTCTGTGGTTTCGGTCAATGTATTGGAACTGACCTATGTCAATGCTTACCTGGATACAGCGGAGAGAAATGTAATTTATTCAAATGTTTCAACAAATTCATGAACGATACCAATGTCTGCAACTTGGGAACTTGTTTGGGTCCTGATGTGTGTCAATGTCCATTGAATAAGTTTGGTCTTGATTGTTCCCTTTCGAATTGTTTCGGCATTCTCTCAAACGAAACCAATGTTTGTGGAGGAAAGGGCATTTGTACAGGACTAGATCAATGTCTATGTCAACCAGATGCCTTAGGTCCAGTTTGTAATGTTTTCAAGTGTTTCGGCCATTTATCCAACGAAACTAATGTATGTGGTTTCGGCCAATGTGTAGGAGCTGATATCTGTAGCTGTTTACCAGGTTATGGTGGTGAAAGATGTGACATTCTCAAATGTGGCAATTTCCTAGCAAACGAAACTGGTGTCTGTAATGGATTAGGTTTATGTACTCAACCTGGAAAGTGTCTCTGTAATCAAGTTGGTGTTTTGGGAGATTTATGTAATGTATTCGATTGTTTTGGAAAGTTATCGAATCAATCAGGAGTTTGTGGTTTAGGTTCATGTATTTTACCAAATATTTGTAATTGTCCACTTGATGTATTTGGTTTCGAATGCAATGACTTTAAATGTGGTTTATTATGGAAAAACGAAAGTTCTGTATGTAATTCGAAAGGTTCATGTATTGGCCCTAATTTGTGTCAATGTTTGAATGGATATGGTGGTCAATTCTGCCAAGATTTTTCATGTTTTGGAAAAGTAGCTGGTGCTTGTTCCAATCAAGGTCAATGTATTGGACCTAATCAATGTCTTTGTAATGACAATTACTTTGGAAGTTTTTGTAACATTACAACATGTTTTACAAAATGGTCAAATTCAAGTAATCCTGCAGAGGTTTGTTCTGGAAGAGGACAATGTGTTGGTCTTGATTTATGTCAATGTATTGATGGGTTTGATGGACAAAATTGTCAGGTTGATTTGAGAATGTTTGGAGTTCAATTGAATTCTTCACAAAATGTGAATGTCATGTGGAATGACAAGTCAGATGTCAATTTGGTATTTTCCACACTTCCTGAACTGATTATTGAGCCACCTGTGTCAAATCCTCGATTGAGATTTGAAGTAACTTGTTTGACTAATTGTGTGGGTAAAGATTCCTTCCTAGTTTCATCCAGTGTCATTAACCAATTGACTGGTCAATTCAACGTCCAGCTCAATACTTCCTTCTTGTTAGATTTGGGACTTCCAAACTTCCAATTCAAAGTTAAAGCATATTATGCTAACAATGCTCCATACGCCGAAAGATTTTCCAATTATCTCTACTTTAACATCAATGTTTCAGGAGGTTTACAAAAGATGAGATCTTTGGGAATTCCACAATATTTCATCAAGTCAAGTTTCCAATCAACTGAGATAATTAACATTGATTCGACGATATTCGGCATGTATTTGGATAGAATTACTTATTACAACTTGGTCAAAAGTGTTTGCTCTTGGGGTTCTTGTTTAACTCCTAGTCAACCGTTGAAGTTTAGTTTCATAGTTGATGAGGAAAAGACAAATTCAACATTTTCCAATATTTTAAATCAATCTGGTGATTTAATCATCAATTCTCTTTCTCCAATAATTAATAATGATGGATTCACTCTTGTTGAAATTACTTTCCATAAGAGAAATATTGAACTTTCCAGAGATTTGACTCTTTATCAGGAAACTAAACAATTTAATCTTGGATTGAATATTTCCAATACAGATGGAATGAATCTAGATAGTTGGTTCATATCCATTCCAGTTTATTCCTTTTCAATTCCGACAAGTCCGTTATTCCAAGTTTCTCCATCAAGTGGTTTGGCATTGGATGTAGAATTTGATATTCAAATTAAACCTTGGTCAGTACCATCAGGATCTGGTATTCAATTGCAATATGCTATTGGATTTAGAGATGGATTGACAAGTGTCAGATTGTCAGAGTTCAGTACAAATACTTCACTTGACACTTACTTGCCATTCATTAGGCAAACTGAATCCAAGCAATCAACATTAGCTATGGTTCTGTTTGTTAAAGATTCTATTGGAAATGTCAGAACATTTACCGAAATTTCACAACAAGTTTCCATTACTGCCTTTAATGGAAATATTGAACAATTATTGGAAAAACTGAATACCATTGATGTTGCTTCCTATGATGAATCTTTCTCCTTCTTTAGTTCCATTTCAGATAAGAGAGAATTTATTAAGGGAGTTTTGAATAACGGACTTGAAATTGATACAACGTATCCTTCGTCTAGTTTAGTCAGATTGAGAAAACTTTCTCAAAATCAAACTCTATTGGATGAAGGAATAGTTTCATCTGTTTCCAAGAAAGTTGAATCGTTTGTTAATTCAACAAGTTTGAGTTATTTGAATGAAAAGAAATTATTGGGAAGAGTTCTAAACAAATTGTCAAGTGACAATTTGAATTCAACCTTGACAGTTACATCAAATATTTTGTCAAGCAAGTTGAATTATAAGAAATCAATTCAAGTTACAGAAGAATTATCAAGTATGGTACTTTTGGGTGAGGAAGCTATTTCAGTTTCGAATAATGCATCTTTACCAATTGTGGAATATTCTCTTCCATCATTTACAATTTCAGTTTCAAGCTTTAGATTGGAATCAAAATCCAATTCAACAACTTCCTTCTCATTCCAAAATAGTATTTCACTCAATTTGAATGATATTTTAACCTCTTACAATGGATTTACAAAAGATTCAGGTGTTTCTCTACTTGTTTACAATGATAATCCAGTTTCTGAGGAAAATTCCACTCAAAGTTCTCACATTAAGAACTTTAAATTCTTTATCGATAACTCTTTAACCATTTTACAAAATTTGAAAGAACCAATCGTCTTGTCTTTCCCAATTTTGGTAACCAACACTACAGGTTTCAACTTTTCATGCAAATATCTGGATGAAGTTGCCAATTTATGGAAATCTGATGGTTGCTCTTTGATTGGATCTGATTCATCCAATGCCTATTGTGCATGTACTCACACAACCATGTTTTCTACATTTTTGGAAAGAACCACAACCACAACAATTACACCAGGAAAACCACTCGATAGTAATACTGCTCTCCTGTTAGCTCAAATTGCCTTTGGTGTTGTATTTTCCATAATTTCACTTGTTGGTCTTGTTTTCATTTCGATTAATAGAAACAAGCAACCAATTAAGAGTAGATTTGTAACTCCATATTTGGGATTGAGTGCCTTGTTGATTGAATGTGTTTTGGCGTTTATTGTGCAGAGAAGTGTCTTGGTTGCTAACTTGTACGAAACTGATTCGAATGCCAAGAAGAATAATGATTATGCAGCAAACATTTTGGCTAATATTGTTACAATTATTGTAAACACGATCAACCTGACAGCAATTTTGAGCTATTTGATCCAAGTAAGCAGATTCCAAATATTGAAATACCTCTACCATATTATGAGATCTCGTTCTGATCAGGAAATGGCAAAACAAATCAAGCATGTGAGAAGAATTTCATCCAACAAATTATTTGCAACAATTCTCTCAATCTTTGCCGTATTGAATGTTATTTATTGGACAGTGCTAGTTATTTTGTTAAGAACTGGAGTGTTGACTGCTGAAATTTACACCTACATTGTCTCAATTTCCTATTCTGCAATTATCATTCTTTTAGGAATTTGCATTAGTTCAGTAATTTTATTTGATGGAATTTCCTACATGTCCATTGAAAAGAAGAGAAGAAATTTGATCGATGCAGCAATGAGTAGAATTATGGGAAATTTGGGTTCAGAAAATGGTCAAAAAACCACCAGAGAATTCTTCCTTGTTAGACTAAAGAATTGGTTCACTAGTTTGGATGGTCCACTCTACTTTAGAGCTGAAATGATTTGTTTCTTGATTAGTTTCTTCTTCCTTTTGGCTAATCAAATTATTGGATTGTCAACACTTTCACTCAGAAATCTTTCGAATAGTTCACAGACAGCTATTACCAATATTTCCATTGATACTTCTTTAATTGTCACAGATTCCTTAATATTTGCCTTTGAAATTTTATATGCCATTTGGTATGTGTTAGTGTTTGGAGGTTTGGCTTCCTTTATTTTCACCAAGATGAATATTCGTGCTCTATTGGAAGGCAAACTAAACTCCAAGAAGAAACAAAATCAAGGAAATCAGGTTGCTCTTGAGGAGTCTTCAGAATTGGGAGAAGATATGAAACGTGTCTTTGACGACCAAGATGGATACAACTTGTTTGAAGTGTATTGTATTAAGGAAATGGCCTCGGAGAATTTATATCTCTTCAAGGAATTACAATCTTCAGTCAGCTTAACCAGATCAGCAACCATTTCAGTACCAGACTTGTATGATCTCTTAACCAATGTCAGGAAAGTTTATATTGCTTCTGGAGCCACTTGCGAAGTTAATATTTCTGCAAAATGTAGAAAGGAATTTGAAGCATTCTATTTTAGAGTTGAAAGAATGAAGAAATCAGAAATTCATGAAATTTTCAACTCAAATTCTTCAACTCCTCCAAAATCTGCAAACAATAAGAAGTATGTTCTCACATCATGGATCCACAAATCTCCAAGAGAAACTCATCATTCCATAAGTTCAGAAACTGCTCTTGTTAATGGTCCTCCATCACCAAAGAGTACTGACTCAATTGATACACTCAAGGAAGGTGAGATGTTGACAAGTAGACAAGTGACTGAAGGTATTGAAACATTGAAACAGGAGGTGATTATTAATCTTGGAGATACCTTCTCTCGTTTCATTTTCACAAAGGAGTATAAGTTGCTTCAACAAACTTCCTTACAAAAAACTCAATTATTAGAAACAACAAACTTGGTTTAAATACCAAATATACGAATAATAAATAATTACAATATTTACAAGTTAGTCTCTCAAACGTTTTACATTCTCGTGGAACCATTCCAAATCTAATGAATTGATTGAAGTTTTCCAAACATCTGCCCAATCCTCTCCAGTTAACATATCACTAATTTCAATTTTCAAATTAAATAGAGAATCAAAGCTAAAGCTTTCAGATCCAAGAATGTCAAAACTTCTAACCACGCCATCATAGATGAGGTTTTTGTGATTTTGATCCAGCACTATACCAGTTATGGACTCCAAGTATTTAGCCAGACTATCAATGTGAGTGTATTCCCCAGCACTGATTGCTTTTTTGAAAATTCCAACTCTTTCCAAATAATTATCTCTATATTCTTGTCCTGAAATTACTGGGAATAGAGTTTGATCGATACAGACCAGTGATTTGTGAGTTTTAGAGAAGAGAACATTACCAGCATTTCCAGTATGTTCCCAAACATCCTTCAATGGAATTCTGTCACAATTATTACATAATAAATCCAAAACAAGCATTCTTCCTAATTCTTTCAATACAGTCTCCGAAGTTAACAATTCTCTTGAGAGCTCTGGTTGACCCATCAAATCCTCCAAAGTAATAGCTCCTTCCACAAATTCCATTATTAAAAAGAAAGCTCTATCTAATTGTTTGTTCACTTTCATTTCAATAATTTGATGATTTTTTTCCTTTGCAATTCTAACCATATTATCTTTCATAGCCCACCATTCTCTATCTGAGTATGAAAATAGCTTGGACTTGTCTCGTTTCGGGCAATATTCAACTAATCTTGTTGCAGGAGCTTTCAATTCCAACAATTGTGCAATTCTAGATCCAAAAATCTCTGCTGCAATTGATGAGGTTGCCTTAACCACAATAACCTTTCCAGATTCCTGTGTTTCCACAAAGAAAACTCCACTCGAAGTATTTTCACTAATTCCAATATTCCTTACACTATTCCAATCAATTTTCTCATCTAATGGCCAAGCCTTAGCATTTGCCATATCAATTTTTTCCTCAGTTTCAACAGTCCACTTTTTCTTGACCCTTCCCGATGCTGGTGGTTGTTGAATTATATGATTACCTCCTGGAGGAGGTGGAGGAACAGAAACACTCGAAGGTGGAGGAGGTGGTGGAACATTCTTCCTATTTATACAAGCAGCAATCATCGATGACGATGGAGGAAGAGGAACAGTCGATCCCGAAGGTGGTGGTGGAACATTGGTAGGTTCGTTTGGAGGTGGTGGCGGAATCATCAAGTATTTATATTCTTATTTTTTTTAATATTTGTTATTTAATTTTGGATGAACTTGGCAAATATTTGTAAATTACTATCATGTTCCAAGTTCTTTCTAACACGAATTGGCTCACCTTTATAATTTGGTGTTCTTATTAATTTTTTGTTCAATAAGCATTGAGGTGTATCGATCTTTCTTGGAGGTGCAATTTCAAATTATGAAATGTTGCAGAAAGTTTACAAAAAAAATGAGAGAAGTGGGGCTGGCAAATCTTCCTTCAGAAATTCATCACGAAATTTTATCGTGGCTTGATTATGTTCGGGATATTTGTGCTCATCCCTTGTTATTCGTTCCTAATTATCCAAGAATATCATCGAGTGAAGAATTGGAAAAATTGATGGATTCTGATGAATATTTAGAATTTGATCTTCCGAGTCGTCCTCTCTTTCTTGTATGCAAATCTTTTTTAGAGTCTTTTAAGAGTTACAAGCCATCAGTAATTAATATAACTTATTTTGAAACAAGCAATGAAGCCTATCGTTCAATGTTTACTCTGGATTTGAAATATTCTTATAAGATTGTAAGATATCCTTGGGTTGAGTTGCCCAAAGCTAGAATGCACAAATATTGGAAACAAGATTCAATGGAAGTATTCTTTGATTTTTCAAAGAAGATGAAGAGATTGTGTAGATGTAATCCCTTTAATCGAGTAGAGCTGGTGTCATTTTCCAAACATTTTGGTAAAAACTATTACATTGATTGTTTGGGTATTGGATTTACAATGAGTTTGCCTAAATTAAGGCGTATAATGCCGAGCGTAAAATATTATCACACAAATTTTAGAACAGGAATGAAACCTGTCATGTTAAGTAATGAATTCATGACTAATGTTTACGATAGTTTTCCTCATAAGCCACAACCAGCAAGAAATGAAAATGTTTTTTGGATATCTACCCAATATGAAAATCCAGCCAACAAGATTTCTATGGAAAGTTTTATTACTTCTTTACCTAAAATTTTCCTAAGAAACATTGAATTATTGCTATTTTGTTATATAGCTAATGGTAATGTAAACGATTGTAAGATGATTATTGAAAATTTCCATTTTGATATAGATTATTTTTCTCACATATGGCATGAAAATATCTCTCAGAACCATATGTTCAAGTATGTCAGTATTTCAGTAACTACTGATATGCTCAAGTGCATTTATGAAAAGTATCCAAACTTTAAGATTTTCAAATTTCCTATTCATAGTGTAGCTTGTTTGAAAATTATTGAAAAACTTCCATTTATACACATTAACGTAGCAAGGAACATAACAACCGAATTCATAGAATGCTCTCTTGAAAAGAATGACATTGCTTCGTTTTGTACACAGCACAGCATAGACTTATCAGGGTTGGGAAAGTACAAATTTTCTGCTGCAAGTTTTGATAGAGATACTTTTCAGAAATGCAAGTTGGCATCCATTTCTCTCGACTTTAATATTGGAGATTTGATGGGTATTACACCATGCATGATTCATGTTGATGATTATTCCAAAGCTAAATGTAATATAGACACGCGAGACGTATACGGAAATAATATCTTACATTACTATCTTAGCAATAGCTATACTTATAATCGCTGGATGGATTCTCCTTATCACACAATTCCTTGTCTGTCTCATAACTCAGAAAAAGAATTGTCTAATTTATTAGATGAAGAAAATGTATTCGGTTTTACACCAAAAGAAATTGGCTTTTCAAAATGTTGTAATAGAGTATTTGAAAATTCTGAAAAGAAACTATTCAATTATTACAATTTTGCTAGAACGTGTGTTGAGGATGCTAAATTGAGATTATTAGATGGACAACTGGTTGATTTAAGGATACTCTATGCCACAAGAAATGAATTACTGAAAAATTGTAGTTATGATGAATTCAAAGACATTAATTACCGAGATGAAAACGGCAAGCATTTAGTTCACTACCTAAGTAATTGTTTGACTAGTTTTTCTTCAAGTTTTCAATCCAAAATCAACAGTACCATAGTGGAAACAGTTCGAGAAGGATTAGGATTATCTTTGAAAGATATTGTATATTGCAAAGATATTAATGAAACAATGCCCATCCAAAAATGCTATTTACCATATTTTTCAATTCTTAAAGAATTGGCACCCTTAGGATTATTGAATATTAATTTCTTCTCCTACAGTGACAATTTTGGAATGTATAGATTTATGTATCTATTATTAAGTTATTCTAATTTGGACATCATTTTCAATGAATTGCATACAATTGCATTTGATTATTCACAAAAGAAACCTCAACTTATATCCTTGTGCTGTGAATCCGATAATGAATTTTTTTACTTTTCATTAGAACAAAGTGATTTGACTCAGTTAACAAATGTATCTTATTTAGGATCTTGTTATGGAGATGATTTTTCCCATTGGATTATAAGATATTGCCTATTCATAATTGAAAATGATTATTATTATTACAATAGTCTTTTAGATTCTTTATTGCATTCACTTATCAAAAAAGGATTAAGGTTTGATGTGGTAAGAAATTGTTTTGGAAAAACTGCTTTCGACATTTTGAACGAGTATTCATGTGCCAAAACAGTAGAAAATTTCGAATCCATCAAAGAACTCAAAGATATTTGTAGAAAGGGTCTGCAAAACAACTCAAAAGCTTTACCACATTTTATTCTCAAATATAACAAGTCTCAGAAACATTCAATCGTAGAAGAATCTGAAACTAAAATAATATCAACTGATTGTCCAAGAGTGAAAGTTGTAAGAGCACTCTACTTTCCAAAGCAGTAATTTAATTCAATTTGTATTAATATATAGAACAATTTATAGAAAATTAATTAACAAAGGGACAACCACTTGAAAACATTTCCCTCAATATTCAAACTACAACTACAAACATGCTGTCCTGTCAAATCATATGTAATACTTTCATAAATATTACCAGGAGATATGTGTTGAATAGGATGTAAGCATAACCAGGACCAACTGTTTCTGAAACCAATATTGGAGTTTAACACCGTATTGAGTATTAGCCACGTTCTCAGAACATTGTTGAATTGCTTCCATGTTGCATCTGCATCATGTCTGATAACTATGACTGTTGTAGTTCCGTAACGAAATTGTACCCACATGAATTTATATCCAACACTCACAATACTTTGGTCAATAGCAATTGTACCACTCCCGATTCCAAAAGGATGATGTGGTTACATAGAAGATTTTGACGAATGAAACAATTGTATTATTTAATTTTCTATTGTAAAGCATTTTGTAATAAAGTGCTCAGCAATGCTTGGTAATTTCCTTCTTCAGTTTCGTTCACACTTACCACATTCGCACTCCTACAATCTTCCATTAAGCAAACCAACCCATCATTGACTGTTTTGCTTCCCATTACTTCATTATCCATTGAAAATGCATCCTCTGGTTGTCCAAATTACACACTTCTTCAATAGTTCCGTTGTGCAAAGTTGAATATTTGCTGAAAATTAAATAAAAATGATGCAACCAACAAATCTATTGAAACCCATCTCGATAGTAGTGCTCATTGCTGCTTCCTTGCTGGTCTTGTGTGGAGTTTTCTTTTCTGTTCTGACAACTTTGTAAGTTTTTGTTGAACATTTTCATTTTGGACTTAATCCGAAAAAACAATGTTATTATTCGTTCACTTTTTTGTGTTCACAATTTTCATCAAATCACCATCTACAATGATGACAATGAAAATCACACAATACATTCGGAATTTTAATAATATTTAATTAAATTCAAAAAAAGAGATGTCGATGAACATCCCTATAATATAGCCAATAATTGTACCATTATTCATCCGACATTGTCATGTAAACAAGTGACCAATGTTGGGGATACCTGTTCGGCACTTGTTTGTTTATGGAATGTTAATGGTACTGTTGCTAACAATGTTTCGTCCACTTCTGAGGTTGTGGTATCAGTTGGAGAAATTCAATGTCCAAAGTCTAATTTGAGAACTGTTTTGGATTTTCCAAATGTTGATCCATATATTTCCTATTCATCAGGTGATAATGTCACTTGTTATACGAGTGATAATAATTCGTACTTTGTTTCGTATTTAGTTTATTATAAGTCAAATGGAGCTCCTTGGATGGTACTTTCTGGATTGAGTTGGGGAGCACTTGTTGGAATAATTGGACCAATTACAATTGTTGTCATAGTTTATTGGATTATGATTAGTTTTGGTGTGATAAAGAAGGATGTTTTCGTACAACAATTCGATAGCATTACTGAATCAAAACCAATTTCAAAACAACAATCAAATAATCATCATCACAATGGTCACATTCATTCCAAGAAATATGAAGGAGCTACTTATGAAGAAGAGCAAGATGAAGACGAAGTTGTCATTCAAATTTAATGTTATTGATATGATTTCAATACAATTTTGAATAAAATCAATTGTTGAACAACAATTTATCAGAAAATGCATTGCTACGAAATCGAACAATCTTTTCATCTTTCCTTTCTTGTTCCGCTCCTTCCATATTTATTCGCTTAAAGAAGATGACTATTCACTTTACAGTTTTCCTTAATATCCCACAACTTTCCCTTAATTCAATTATTCCTCTTTCAACAAATATCAACCAAATCTATTAATGAAATATCTCACTTTTCATTGTCCATCAAAACTTCCATCAATTCCCATCAAATTTAAATTTACCTCCAAAACAGTAGTCGGTTTTTTCCTTACTTTAAAAAAATGAGCAAACAATCAACGCCCCGAAGTGGTGGTGGCAGTAGTAGTAGTGGTTATAATTTAATTAATTCGGGTAACCCTAATCATTCAATATCGTCACCATCGTTAGCATCATCCTCATCAGCACTAAGGAGGAGTGGTGTGGAGAGTCCGGCAGGTTTGAGGTCACCTCCTGGTTCTGCCTTATCGAGAAAGAGTCGTTCGTCGACTGTTCATGTTTCTAGTAGTAGTAATGGAAGTTTTCAAGAAATGATGATGAATGGAAGTGTTGTTGGTTCCGGCAGTGGCAGTGTTGGACAAAAGAGTAAATTAACTGCATCTAATTTGAATGCTCATAATGAACAAATTGCTGAGGATGAAAAGATGCAATCAAGGACAAAGAAAACAAGTTCGATAATGTCCCCTGGTTCTGTTGCTCCATCGAGTAATAGCAACAGTAGTAACAATTCAAGAAATAGAACCAACTCGGTAATGTCCAATACAAATAGACATATTTATCATCCAATTCCTTTGGAATTGAGTTCTAGAAATCTTTTATATTACCTTTACAATACTCAAAATGAAGAAGAGAAGGAGTTGATGGAACAACATTTTATTGACTCGAAATATATTGTTGCCATTGGAGATTTACATGGACATTTGAGTGCATTGAAATTGTTAATGCTTAAATTGGAAGAAGCTCTAGGAAATGATTTACATCAAAAGTATCATTTAGTTTTTCTAGGAGATTATGTTGATAGAGGACCTAAGATTAAGGAGACAATTGAATATTTAATACAATTGGAAAAGAGTAGAAAACCTGGAACTACTCACTTTTTGATGGGAAATCATGACTTTGCAATGGCAATGTTTTTAGGACTGTTTGATGATCAAGTTAAAGAAGGAGAATCACTAGGATCAACCTGTAAGGGGTATTTCAAAAATTATGAGTTATGGAAAGGAAACGGATCTGAACATATGCATTTACAAGGAAGAAGATGGGGACCTGGATTTACCTATTCCTCATTTAACACATTTTACAGTTATTGTACAAAGGATGGACGCAAGGACAATGATGTTATTGGAGATCGAGACCTTCTCCTTAGAAGGATGCCAGAGTCTCACAAACAATTCTTTAGGAATATGCCTTGGATGCTGTACAATGAGAAGAATATCTTTGTTCATGGAGGGTTTCAAACATCTTCATCCCTCAAAGAGCAAATGTTGCCACTCATGAGAAGAGACATCATGGTTCCAAGGATTAAGCCAATCTCAGAAAGAAACTTTTCCAGTATGGATGGACATGAAGATTCAACTCGAAGAATTGTCTCTGGCCACATGCAAGTGGATAGAGTTAAAGTTAGTCAAAAGAGAGCTCTAGTTGATGTAAGTGGAGGACTTACTGGAGAATTAGCTTGCGTAGTTCTTCCATCCTGCAAGGTTATCACAACTCAACCGCCAGTTGCAGCTCATGAAGAAGAAGAAGAATTCGACAGATTATTAAATAGTGATTAGGTCATTATCAAAAATATTCAAATTTACTCGTTAACCTTTAAGAATCTCTTTCTCATTGTCTTGACCTTTTCAATCTTGGCAGACATTGAGTTCTTCTTATCATCCTTCTTCTTTGTGAATCTTTCTCTGACCTTTTCTCTTCTTTCTTCTGCTTCACGTTCCTTTTGCATTTCCTTTGATTGAGTCTTGATTCTGTGAGGTAAATGTCTGTGTGCGGCAATCTTTCTGACATCTTCAACATTCTTGTAACGTTCAATAAGCTTTTGGTTGTATTCAATTTGTGCTTGTTCCTTCTTTGATAAACCACCTCCTCTGAGTGGAGCACTTCTTTCATTCTTCCAAATACGAATAGATTGATCGTCACTTCCACTATAAATATATCTACCATCACCAGAATATTTAACAGTGAATACACGTTGCATTCTCTTTGTGTGATAAACTTCACGAGCCTTATAACTTGTACTATCTGTTTTGAAAATACGAACGGACTTATCATAACCAGCAGTTACAATTTCTGTACCTGAAGGATTATAGTCAACATCCAAAACTGCATTAATGTGACCAGAATGCATCATCAATGGTCCCTTTTCTAAAATTCTCATATCAAAAGTATATACATTACCATCTTCATTGGCAGCAGAGAAATGGAATGGATTCATTGGATTCCAACAAACCTTATTTGATTTAGTTTGCATTGTCACAGCACGAATCATTTGATTAGTTCTCATATCATATAAACCAACAGTTCTATCTCTGGCACAATAAGCAATCAAATTCTTTTCAACCTTATTAAATTTAACACTGTAAATAGTTTCAGTAGATGTTGAAAGTTCATATTCTTGTTTACAGATCAATCTCGATGTACCTCCAGGAATTAAACTAGATGAAGAATGTCCAGAACAATCCCAAATGTGAATATATTCGTGACCACTAGTAACTACAATAGGATCAGAATAGTGATGGTCAATACAGAGTAAAGCATTATGTGCCACAACATCTTGTAAAGGCGTTGCATATGATGGTAATTTCACACCACTATTTGATTTTCCAATATAATCAGCTGTTGTGTATCCAATACTTCCTAATTGTGTACTTGCTTGGAAAGCATTTACATTAGCAACTTTCAAATTCAATTCCCATCGTTTCAAATGTTTATCAGTTCCTACAGAGAAATAATATGAATTTTCTGATGAATCAGATGAATGTCTATATGGTGGAATAACAATTCCATTAACAAATCCATTGTGAGCTCTATCAATTGCATAAATTGTTTTACGTTCAGTCAAATCCCAAACACGAATTTGCCCATCACAACTTCCCGAAAGAATGTGAATAAGTGAATTAGGATCTGTACAAATAGTTGTTGGTGTATCAGCATGTCCAGATAAATCTGCAAGAAAAGGTTTAGCATAAATATTATCAATCTTGGCAGCATTCATAGCTCTCATATATTCTCTTGGTTTTTCAAAACGATGAATAAGTTCCGGATTTGGATCGGAAAAGTGTCTTGTAGTTTCATAACTTGTCTGACGAGTGTGAGTATCGTCATCTCTTGATATTGTCTTTATTTTGACCATTTCAATTAAAGAGTTGTTGAATGGGAAAAGTTCTTGTTGTTATTGTGCTATTTTTTTAGCTTTTGGTTTTTTTGTTGTTTTAGCAAATAATTTCAATATTTTTGATGAAAGCTTTTTTGTCATCACCACAGGATTTTGAATTAATAATTAAATTATTTTCTAATTGAGAGTGATCATTCTTATTGTGAGTACTAAGGATTGGTGAGCAATTGTGTTTTTCTTCTGGATGTGAGGAGGCAAGCGGTATATGGAGATCTGTCTGTTCCGAAAATTATATAATATTTGTAAAAAGTCTTTGGATGTTTAAAGCAACAAATAAACTACAAGTTGGAATAACGTTCATTGCTATGGGTGGATTCCTGCAAAATAGACTGATGTAATTCTACAAAGTACCAATTGTCAGCAAAGAATTCATCATCCAACTTGTTTGTATTTCTATTGGGATTCGATGATGCTGAAGAAGAAGGATTTGAAGAGTTTCCATGATTGCGTAGATAGATATCCTTCGCAGAGGCTGGCAATGGATTCAACAAATCAGCCCCAGCACTCTTATAATCATAATTTGGAGTGGAAGGCATTACTATAAGAGAGGCATTGCCGTTCACTTTGCAAATACCATTCTCTACCAAGAGACCCAAGCTTGCTCTCATATCACCAGATAGTTTGGCAAATTCGGAGAGTCCTATCTGTGGCATGAATTTTCCTCCATTGTTGTTATTATTCATTGCACTACTTCCGTTATTGCTTGTTGTTGTGCTTCTTCTGTTGGTGTTTGATGATGGTGAAAAGCCTTGTTGTTGCATTTTTCGACCGTTACATATTTTAATTGTTTTTTAAATTATTAAATATTATTTTAATAATTTAATAGTTTGGTTTTTAATTGTTGTTATTTATCGTTCTTCTTCTTGACTGGATGATGATTTACTCTTGGACATGGACTCGAGAGCTTTCTTTCTCAGTGTTTCCGAAGTGGAATTTTCATTGGATTTTCTTCTTGAACTAATATAATTGTGACCATCAGAGTCAGAGTCATCGGATGATGAAGGAGGTGGTGTCGGCTCTGATCTCTCAGATGATGGTTTCCTAGAGTTGTAAGAATATTTAGAGTGCTTTCTTGGTGGTGATCTGTTTCTATCAGATGAATAGTATTGACGGTCGGAAGAGTTATAATAATCATCATAGGAGGATGATTTACCAGAGGAACGATCATTGTATCTGCTGCTGTTATTGGTAGGGCTTGGATAAGATCTCTTTGAATAGTCCTTAGAGTAGTCCTTTCTGTAGGATTGATTAGATGATGATCCTCTAGAATCATAGGAAGAGGATGGTTTGTTCGTACTGATCTGGCTACTTGTAGAGGAACCTCTGCTACTGTTGTTATAATCAGATCCATTTCTTCCACTATTATTATTATCATTGTCACTTCTCTTGTTAAATCTTCTCTCTGATTTATCATCTTCATAGGATTTAAAAGACTCAATTCCTCTTCTTTCTCCACTATTAGTTGATGATGAAGATTCAGAATTATGCTTAGGGTAGGATTGTTTGTTGTAATTTCTGTTATTATTATTATTACTATAATTATCATTGGAATAGTCACGGCCATTATTATTACGAGAATAATATCTGTTATTGCCGTGTTGATTTGGAATAATCTTTTCATTGATTTTTCTTCCGATTTTCTCTTGTTCTTCCTCTTGTTTCTTTCTAATCTCCATTTCAATTTCTAACAATCCCTCTGGTACACCACTTGTAGTGGATTGTGCTTCAACTAGTAATTTCCACAGCTCCTTCATAAAGATGGCCGATTTATCAATAGTCATAAACCCAGCCAACTGTATTTGCATTTGCTTCGGATCACAATCCTTCTCCATCAAAAGGCTATTTGCATATTCAGCAATCATGTCATCATCTGTTCCAGTCAATTCTTCAATTGTTTTATGAATCCATAATGTAAAAACTTCTAGATTTACCTTGCTTATATCGACTTTGATATCGAAGCCTTTAGGAAATTTTGTTGATTGAACGAGAAGTTTGTCCTTGTTGGCAAATCGGACATCTTGCTCCAGCGAAGCTGTTCCTCTCATTTTTTTTGATTTTAAAAAATAAATTTAAATATTCAAAATAACTATTAAAATTGAAATTGAATCGAATTGAAAGAGAGTAACCACAAGATGATAGATATAACCCAATATTTACACTACTAGTATTAAATCTGATAATAGACAATTTTAAAACCTGATCACAAGTTGAGGTGGCCGAGTGGTTAAGGCGCCAGCCTGCTAAGTTGGTGGAGTAATCCGCGTGGGTTCGAATCCCATCCTCAACGTTTTGTCTTGTTAACTTTTTCATTAATACACTAAATTATCAGAATTTTGCTTGAAAATCTGGTCTCTGGGATACATGTCTATTCCAAATATTAAAATAGTAAGATACCTGATAACCGTTCAATTGTCAGAAATCAAAAAAAATGTCTCAACTCTCAACCACTGTTGTCTACACAGTCATCACCTTTATTGTATTATGCCCTCCGCTTGCCATTTTGCTCATGAGATTCTACCCAAAGGATCACTATGATGATTTGAAGAGTTTCAATCTACACATCCTAATTAGTTTTGTTTTATTGACAATTTGTTATTTTATTCCGGAAATTGATGGTGGATTCAGAACACAACTGAAACAATTTTACTTTTATCTCTTTCTGAAAGGGATTGTTTATATTCCTGCAATATTACATGCATCATTCATGTTCTTTGCTTGGGGACTCACTGTTGAGAATCACAAGTGATAACAAGAAGTTTTAATTTTAATTAATTTAATTTTGGGTTGGCAATGTGAATTTACATTGCTTTGAGAATAATGGTTGGTTGAGTAGCAAGGGTGAAATAATTTGTGGAGATCGATGGGCACAGCGGAAGTGAGATTTACTTGTTCTAGAGCTATCAATATGCTTATCTTGGATCTGAACTTGATTCTCAAATTCATGTAGAAAGTGAAACGTTACTAAAGGAATACGTTATAGGCTAAGAATTCTGTAATGTTGAGACCATGAGGAACGTGTTTCGCCATTTTTTTTAACATGTTCGATAATTGACAGGATGGTATTACTTGTTAATAGTAGAATAGGTATTTTTAATAATTTAATGTTGGATGAAAATTTACAAAGAATTGTGGCTGTTTTGTGACTCTATATTGCTTTGAAAATAACGACTGGTTGAGGAATGGTTGAATAATTTGTAGAGGATGACTTTCTTTTCATTAATTTGGAGAATGAATAATTGACAAACTTGGTGAAACAATTTGCAAACAAGTTGACCATTCTTCTTGGGATACTAATTTGTTCCAACATGCTGACATCTCTCTTTGGGAAAATATGATGATTGTCATGCTCATTGACATGATGAACGTGATATCCAATCAAAATTTCAAGAACAAGATTAATATCCACAGTTTGTTGGAAAGGATAAAAGTTGTCAACCAATGAATCGAACCATCCTTCTTCATGAGCTAATGTTGTGAAAACCATAAAAATTACAGTCATGACAAGTCTACACATTACCAAGTGAATTAAATAAGCAATAGGATTCATTAACAAGAATGGAGCCAAGAGCAAAACCAATCTAGCAAAGGTCATTGGAGCATGCTTCCACTTCATGTCTCTCTTCTTCTTCAAATAAAAGCTGATATAATTAAAATCAAAGAGTGAACTTCTCATGAATAATACCCAACGATTTGGTGATGATTTACACCAATAATCAGCATCTCTTTGCATGATTTGCTTATGTCTGTAGAGAATATCTGATGGTGTCAAGTAATCTTGTGCAATGTCCATTGAGTACTTTCTGCTATCTTGGCCATAATTGAAATGATGATGAGAATCGTGGCCAATTTTTCCTGGCTTGAAGGTTAACAAGTGACCGAAACCAACTCCAAGCAAGAGGTCAACAATTGGATTCAATGACTTTTCTTGGTGAAGTAAATTGTGATAGCACAATGTCCATCTTCCACCACAAATAAGATAGACTAGTGGTAAGATCAACATTTGAGCAGGAATGTTAACATTAAAGTGGCTCATTGCGAGCATGGTACCAAGAGGGATGAATTGAGTGATCATGTTGAAAAAGAGGGAGGCATATTTGCTGTAAGGAACTTCGGTTCCATGGACTGGATGTCTTCCGTGAATCAATTGTCTGGTCATTTGTAGTTTTGATGTTGTTGTTTGTTTTTTTTTGTTGTGGAAAAGAAAAACATTTTACCAGCGAGCTAAATACTGTTTGCAAAGCAGAATTTTTTGCAGCAGCTATTTTTATTTTTTGTTGCAACAAAACTTGTTTTGCACAGAAACAAACAGATTTGCTCTAAAACAAACGGAACCAACCGTATTGTAGATCCAGGTTTTGTAATAGGTTAGAAAATACTTTACAGTTTTCAAGGAATGATGAAGCGAATGAGAAAATTCATTATTTTACCATGTTTTAAATAAAAAAAATCAAATTTCACAACTATTTCCAACATTATATATTTTGATAATGCAAAATCACTGAATGAAATAATACTATTCGTTCGCACAATATTTAAACACAATCCAATAATTGGATATTAATAATTATTTGTAAAAAAATCTTAAAGAATGAAGTTGTTGAAAAAAAAAGTAAAAAATGATAAATAGGAGGAAGATCATCATCTTTGGAGGAGCTGTTGTTTTATTTATTTTAATGACCACGTTTTTGTATTATTCCGTATTTTCCACACCACATAAATACGAAACATATCAACTTGAAAAACGAAACCAAACTAAACATAATAGTTCGGAGAAGGATCTTTTCATCATCAATTTACCAAAAGATGTCAATTTAGTACCTGTCAAACCTGTAGGCCAAATCACTTTCAACACCATGCAAAATATGCAAAATAGTCAATGTAGTGCAACACGTGGAAATTTGAATCCTCCGAGAAGTTTCATTACGAAACCAGAAAATAGTCCATGGCCAAACTTCTCACCTTCAACATTTTCCATAGAAACTGATTTTATTCAGTGGAAAAATAATAATTCTGATTATTGGAATCGTATTTCTCGTGGATTGGATGGAGAAGCATTAAATAGTGAAAAATTAAAGATGAACGAAATGGGATTGACATTGAATTTACATTTGAAACCAAAGGAAGGGCATTTACCCATCTGGCTAAAAACATTCAAGAGAAGAACTCCTCTTGATATTGTTCTGGATGCAGTATGTAGAATTGATGACATTTCACACACGATTTTATATGTTACCATTGATGGTGGAGATTTTGATCAAGTGGTAGAGGAATTAATCAAAGTCAAGTGTGTGAAAGTTAAAATTTATTTCCATCCAATTCTTAGTGATTTGAGAAATTTAGGTTTAGACAAGAGAAATTTAGATACTGGATTGGTTTTAAATTCTCATTATGTGTATGGATTGTATTTGCTGACTCACAAATTGGATTATCCCTATGTTATTACATTGGAGGACGATTTGGAACCAACTCCTGATTTTTATAGATTCCACTATAGTTTATATCATTTTGTGTTTGGGAAACAAGCATCTTATTACAATAGTAAGAAAATATTTGCAATTGGTGCATTTTCTCATGGTCCAATTGTTGATTGCATTTCATTGGCTGCCAAATTATCAAACGATGAAACACATAAATGTGGAAATAAGGCAGTCCATCAACTTGTGGAAGAAGATTATTTCCCTGGATGGGGCAGTGGTATTCCAAAGGAAAGCTTTTTAGAATATTGGGGTGATTGGAAGAGTAATAGACATATTTATGATTATGGAATGAGTATGCTTAGATCTGGAGAAAATCGATACACTCTCGTTCCATGTTCTCCTAGAGTTAGAACTGTTGCAAATGCTGGCATTAATGGTCAAAATTCTGGTAGATGGGATCATTACATTAGTCAATTTGCTCAGTGGAATGAAAAACCACTGAATAGAATTTATTATGTTGATAGAAGAGATGGCGTTGTGAAGGCAGACGAAAAGGGAAAATTTTTATACAACAAGTTGACTTGATTAATGAGGGTAAACTTCCACCATCAAACAACAAGCAAGAAGCTTCTCAGGATGCTGATGATTGTTTCCATTTTTCAAACTCTCAAGTTCGAATGCTGACTGGAGGGCATGGTTCTGAGCGGTTGCTGTAACTATTGAAACAACACCCTTAATAAAAGTAGAACAAAAAAATGACCAAAAATCATGACCGTTTCAACGATCTCATGTTTGAAAGTATAGAGATTACATTGCGTGAAGATTTAGTTATGGATGACGAAGCCAAAGTATCTTTTGGAAAATCTTCAAGTATTCCTTATTTCCACGCTTTTAATGGAAGAATTATTTGTCATGCTACTCCAAAAGAACCATTAAAGTTATACCCCAAATATGATTGGGCAATCGTTGAGCTAGACATCACAAGTAGAGAACTCGACTCATTATTCGCAGAGAGTTGTCACTTTCCACCAATCCCCAAGTTTATCATTCCAACACCTTCCAAAGTTGAAACATCCATTCAATCTGATATATATAAATATTTTTCGGTACTTTGGTTTACAATTATTGAAGAATGAAGTTTTGATATTTAAGTTTCCAAAAACATTAAAATTCCGAAACGTGATAGAGTGTAAAAATAATAAATGTAACAGTTCACACAATCAAGCACAAGTCAAAAAAAATGTCAAATTCAAATCTGCTTTCAGAATTCAAAACCAAAGTTATTGTTGACAAGATTGCTCATATTTTTCTTGTAGGACCTCCTCCTCACTCCAGAAGTTGGGGATTTCCAGCCATTCTATTGATGAATGAGCAAATAATGGCATCTATTCTCAAAGATTCGTATGAACCCTATTCTAAAATGAATAACCAAGAGAAGAAGGAGGCAAGAGATTGGTATGAAACATGTGGAGCTATTGTCAATAAAATGATTGGTATGATCGATTGGGAGGATTGGGATGGTCATTCTGCTGTTGAATGTGATGTCTTATCCTTTGAAATTGACCATCCACATCTGTATCAACTCGTTGTTGATGATATGATCAAAAAAGCATTTTCCAGTCAGAGTGAGGAAGAAAGAGAAGTTGTTAAGAGTACAGTCTTTTCAGATCCACCAACTTTTGCCTATTACTTGTCTCAGAATTTACCTACTCTCATTGTAAAGCATGTTCCCACAAATTAGTAAAAGATCAAGTTGTGGCCATATCTCAACGACAATATAAATAGATCCATTTTGTAATTTTTGGTCTAAATATTCTCAATTCTTGTTTTTCCTTTTCAGTGTTCAAAACTGGAATACTATCATCAATGAAATCGTCCCTGTCTGCAATGGTGTAGCTGCACTAATAGAGTTGTAAAGTAGTTCAATCAATATATAGTTCAAATGTAACTATAGTCCTTTACTTGTTTCGATGTAAATGTCTCCTCTCCAAACATGTTTACCAAATACATTACTTTCCAAAGTTTTAAATAGTGTAATAGTTTTGCGTAATAGGATTGATTCAATATCTATATCCATTTCCTGAGCTGCCTCTTCGCATTTTTCATCCACAAGTGCACCATTATAAAGTAAACATTCAATTATCTCAATATAATTTCCCATAATTGCAGCGTAGAGAGGAGAAACCTCCCCTTCATTGACACTAATATTTCTGAATTGCAATAATAATTTGACAATTTCCAAATATCCTCTTTTGCATGCTGCATAAAGTGGCGTAGTTAAATAAGGATAATCACTACTATCGTGCTCTAAAGTACTATAAACATATTCATTATTCGTTGGTTCCTGACACAATGAAAAAATTACTAAAAAGGAACTATCCACTTACATCATAATTGAAAATAGCTCTGTTAACTTCAATATCCTCAAATTTCAATAACCATTTAACCATTTCATAATCACCTATTTTACAAGCATAATACAGTGGAAAATCTTGTTTATCATAATGTTGAAATGAAGTACTCATTAGATAACAACCATCATTAACATTTATGCCATCAATTGTTAATAATAACTTTACAATATCTCTAAAACCCCGCGTATAGGCAGCAAATAGATTTGAACAATAATCTGTATAGCAGTGCACTCCCTTGTTGATATTGACTCGTCGTCCCGTAGCTAATAATAATTCAACAATTGCAATATTTCCGAGTTTACAAGCAGCATATAATGGAGAGGAATAGGAATATTGATCATTAATATCAACTACTTCATCACCTGATAATATTAATTGAACTTGCGAAACATCACCATTCATACAGGCTTTGTTGAGAGACATTTTTTTAATTAGTAATTTTACTGCAAATTTGAGACTTAACACTCGATAACTGAACCTTTAGTTTGGGTTTTTTGTACTTGTGGCACTAACAAGTTCAGCATTGACTGGTTTTGTTTTGCTTGAACTTAACATACATTAATTTATTAAGAACTAATAGAATTACTGAATAAGATGCCGACATAGCTCAGTTGGGAGAGCGTAAGACTGAAGATCTTAAGGTCCCTGGTTCGATCCCTGGTGTCGGCAAATTTTAGTGTCTTTGATAACAGGATTCAATTTGCAATAAATCAAATCTGAAATGAAAAGTTGAATATTTATTAATTTTTAAAAAAATAGCACGATGAGTCCTTGCTTGTTAACCGATAACGAATTGATGTGTTCCGATACATTGATGCACTCATTTCTATTTCTTGATTTATCAACCATGATTGCTTCATGCTCTCTAGTTTCCAAACAATTCAATCGAGTGGCAAAGAGCAATCCAATATGGCAAATATTATATGACAAGTGGATGTTTGATAATATGAATGAATTTTACTGGACTTTTAATCATGAGGAATTTATTAATTGTTTTAAATTATCAAGTGATCAGGAAAATCGGGAAAATCTAGAAGATTGGACTGAACCAAATGACATGGGCCCTTTTTATTGGTTTCGTAAATGTATGGAAATATTAGAATGTTTGCCAAGATTGGATTTGAAAGATGAGGAAGGTGAATATGAAACATTTTACTACCAACTGAATAATCGTAATGCAGCAACTGAATCCCACTTAAAGTTGGCTACCATTTTGGCAATAATTTATGGTGACTATTCTTTTTCACTTCTTTCAGATTCTGTTGTGATTGCATTGAGAGGTTATTTGACAGAGAGTGAACAGGAGATTGTTTGTCCTCTTGCGACCTTTTGCATTATGATTTTGAAATCGTCCTATCTGGATTGCTTGGAACTACGAGAAACAGAGAATACTAATCTTTGTGTGGCTCCATTTGTGAGTGGAATGTGGATGAATGGATTGATTGATGTTAAGGAATGTTGTTTCTTCAATGTTATGGACGCATGTGGCTATTATAATCCATTAAATGGAGAGCTTTCCTATACAAATGAATCAGATGAAGGAGGATTTTCATGGTGTCCCAGATTCTTCAATGCAGGTGGTAGATATTATATCAACACGATTTGTGCATCCAATATTGGACCTAGTTCTATTAAAGTGGAGAAATCAGAACGTTTCGACTATTACTAGATATGGATGCACCAATATTTGAAGATCTTTGAAAATTGAGTTCTGCATCAAGTAACAGATCCTTTCATTAGATTAAATTCACATTTATTTGAAAAATTAGTTTACAATGAACTTTAGGAGAGAACTCTATCGGAAGAATTTGTCATCATTACCGATAATAGAACGATACGATTCGAGTCGAATATTAAAAATTTATGTAATTTTGAATTAATTTCCAAGCAATTAAAGGTTCGGGAATATTTGGAGAAGTATTGGAAGATGGTCTTGTATCAATTTATTCATATTAGATTGGAAATTAATGAGGATGGAAAGGAGATGATTCAACCAATCAATCCTTGGGATGTTTGGAAGAAAAAGGATCAAACATTACAGGAATTTGTGGAGAGGAAGAGGTCGTTTAAGAGAAGTTTTGCAATTTTGAATGAAATGGAAAGGAGAAACTATTTGAATACCAATAAGGCTAATTTTAAACTTTGCATAACTGGACCTGGTGGATCAGGAATTCATAGTTTCATTCATAGATATTTAAATGATGTATTTTATGATCAATATGATTATTCAATAGATGACATATTTTACAAAACTATCCTATTTAATGAGAGAAAAGTTGAATTAGAAATTTGGGAGACTGGTTTTAGGAGTTCTGATTATTACTTGTTCCTGGAATGTAAGTTTCTATAATGTTGTGCAGTATTTACATGAATTAGCAAAACTAAAAGGAGCAAGGGGATATATTGTGCTTTTACCGATACATGCAGATGTTGACAAGTATGGGGTTTTTGAAAGAATTATTAAATCTATTGTATACATGCATGATGACGAATCAGTACCTTTATTAATAGGTATCACTCAAATTGATAAGTTGGAGACCAATAGCTCACTAAATTTGGATCAAGTTAAACAAAAAGTTACTGATATAATGAATATGTACTCGTGTTTGGATTTTGAAATTATTGAAACAAGTTCCAAGAGTAATATTAATATTCGTACAGTCATAGAAAAAGCCCTTCTAAAAGGATATTTCTTCGAAGGATCCAAATATTGCAATAGAAGATTATTATTGGAGAGGGTTATTAAATTAGATACCAAAGTATTCAATTCAAAAAAATGTTTAATTTCGTGATTATACTCCAATACCAGCTCTATAATTATTAATTCAGACTGTTGTTTCTAAAATTGAATTGAAATATCAGAAAAATAAATGTCACCCAACTTATTTCTGAATGCATAGGATGGCACACTGTAATCCAATTTCAAGATAAACAAGACATCATTGTTGGTAATATATACTATTTGATTTTCGTCCTTTCTTGTCTTGAAGAAGGCCATGAATGGAGGAAATAATTTGTGATGTTTCATTATAATTGCAGATTTCGAACATTTCAATAATTTTGTCTTTCTATCAACAATATTGCACTTGTAAAACGAACCAGATGTGGAAACTAATAGTTGTTGCTTTGATTTGAATTCCCTCAAATGAGGTGGAATTTCCAAAATGTATGAATTTTCTGGATATTCAAATTGAATAAACTGTCTCTTGTCAATATTTTCTGCAAAATCCATAATGTGAATCTTTTGACAATCGTAAAATGTCGAACCATAAAGAGCTACCTTATTTCCATCTGAAATAGGAGCTGCCATTTTTGACTGAATCTCACTATTTTCCACTAGAATAGGTTCCTCAATACTGATCAAGCCCACTCTCACCTCTTCATCCATGAACATATTTTCCAAATCTCTAAAACTGCACAATGAAATATAGAATGGTCCATAGTATTGAGAGGCAGAATGGCAAATTAGAAATTGATCATCATTTTGAGAAATTGCAAATTTCACTTGATCGTAATGATGATTGATGGAAACATCTTTCATTTTCCAAGAAAGAGTTTTTAAACTTAGACTGGCAACCCATGATTTGGACCATCCTCTTCCAAAAACATAGATTGCTTGGTTTCGTTTAGAATAGATCATATTTCCAAATATGCATGTGAAATTTTCCTTCTCAAAAACTTGATTATTTGTTGTCTGAATCGGTTTCCAATCATATTCAAAACTTGTATCTAATCCTCCATCTTTTGAATATTTGGTGGCAGGATCCAAGTCAAGCATTAACAATGTTTTCTGATATCCCAATTCGAAACTCGATCCACCAAACGAAACTAATGTAGGACTCTTTGTAAGAATGTTTTCTCTGTCCAATAACGTCAAAACTGTCAAATTTCTATTCAATCCGTAATGAATATATGGAACTAGGAGCATATCATTGGCAAGACTCATCAACGGAGGTTTTGGAATGAAAGGATTATTATACGAATCTTGATCCGATTGTTGCGAAGATTCAACAGGAGCCAATTCGAATCTTTTCTTTCGTTTACGTTGTTCAGACAATGTGATAGAGGCCTGTGGGGGAGGTGGTGGAATCATTTTTTTTAATATTTTCAAAGTTCTTTAGTTCATTTACTTTCAATGGTTGACTTTTGACGTGTGTTTTATTACAAATTTAATGGCCAAACATTTACAAAGAAACCTGTGGGATGCATCAATTAATCACTAGTCGATGCACTTGCAACAATGAAAACTTCCTTATCATAATTATAACTAGTCATTGCATGACAGCCCCAAAATTCCATTCCTGTACACCAATATCTCGACCATGTTTCATCACCATTTTGTAAGTAATGATTCCATGAATAGTGTTCTGAATTATTTCCATACAAGTATTCTATTAAATTTTGAGTTTCTTTGGATGCATCTTGCATTCCATAAGGTGGTGATGAACAATCTTTGAAAATGTTTTCCCATCCTTCTTCTGGTTCAGCATTTTGTAAAGTTTCATTAAATGAAATTACAATTTCATTGTTGAATGATAATGAAACATATTTTGGCAATTTCCGATTTGAAGTTAGTTGTTTAAAGTTATTTAACATGGATAGAAATGCATTTCCAATATTCATCCTTTTTGAATGTCTAAAATCAGAAATTTTGTAAACAATTGTTGATTTCCAATCGAAAGAAACCTCTGATTTGGAAAGTAAAATCAAAACTTGACTAGCATCATAATAATTATATGGATTACCAAGTTGTGAACAGACGTGTTTCATTAGCATGAATTTGTGTAAGGAAATTATCAAATTTTCCTTCACAATTCCTTTCTCATTATTACAATGATAGAATTTCAATAATTTTTTCAATAGCTCACATGGAGAATAAAGTGAAATTCCAACAACACCTCCCTTTTCAGAATATTTAGTATAATCTTCATGAATAAATTCCTCCTCACTCAATAATTTCAATACAAAATCCTTCATTAATGCTTTACAATGAGTCTCATTATTTTTTGAACAATTGTCGTAAATTAGTGAATTGAATAATTCATCATCACCAGCACGATCGGAAGGAAAATTCAATAAATTATTTAAAAATTGTTTAAAGTGATAAGAAAATAATAATTTATCCAATTTTGGATTTGTTACTAGTTCATTAAAGGTTCTACACGTCAACGGAATGGAATTTAGCAATGATCTTAAATCTAGATATGAAAATATAAGAATAAATAGGTCGGCATTCAAGTTGTTATAAAGCGATGGCGACATTTTTTTAAAGATCAGATTTGTTCTGAAAATGCACGAATAAAAATTTCATGGCTCGCCACGTTTACCGTCTCGGGAGGAATCGAACCTCCGTCAATGGATTCAAAGTCCACTATGCTACCATTACACCACGAGACGAGCTCATTGATCTGAAATTGTATGTTATGAAAAATACTTTACCATAGCTGGAATAAAAATATATTTGTTTGTTTTCTCTTTTATCTTGTTTCAATATGATTTGTTACCACTCAAGAGAAAGGTCAATCAACTGTGGCATACTTTCGAATAATTGATAATCATCTTCTATTAGCTGATTATCCCTAATTTCAAGCGTTGCTAAATGACTCAAATTAGCAGAGCATAATGATTTGACACCCTCAACTCCAATATTATTCTCTTCCAAATGCAAACTAGTCAATGATTTCAATTCACACAAATACTTTACACCCTCATCTCCAATATCATTTTCATTAATCCACAACTCTTTCAACTGCTTCATTCCACTAACAATCTTACAACCTTCAACACCAAATAAATTAGTATTGACGTTGAGCTTTGTTAATTGTTTCAATTCTGTTAAGTATGAAAGCCCTTCAATATCTAAATAAATTTCGTATACTTCAAGTGCCGTCAACTGTTTCATTTCAGATAAATACTTTGCACCTTCGTTTCTAATATCATTATACGATATATTGAGATACGTCAATTTAGGTAACTCGTTAGAAATCAATTCTGCACTTTTTTTTGTTATTCCAGTATTCCGCAAGTCAAGATGGGTTAACTGTTTCATTTTACATAAATGAACTAAGCCTTCATCAGTAATTATATTATTACTAATGCACAACAATGTTAAATTTTTCAATTTGGTTAGTGAGATACCACCTTCAACTGTCAAATTGTTGTTTTGTATGTGTAATTCTCTTAAATTATCCAATTCACTAATAATTTTAGCTCCTTCATTTCCAATTTAATTGTAACCAACTTCGAGTGTTGTTAATTTTTTCAAATTTCCTAAATATCTAGCTCCTTCAAGACCTATATCAGGGCCATGGAATACATAGTGCTCATTATAATGCAAATCTAGAAACGCTAATGTATCTTACTCCTTCACCTCGAATATTATTCCCAGAAATATCAAGATAGGTCAATTGATCCATTTTCCCAATAAATACAGCTCCTTCAGCTCCAATATTATTGAAATCAATATCAAGCTTGGTTAAATGTTTCAATTGACTAATGAATCTAGCACCTGCAGTACCAATTTCACTACTTGTAATATCCAAACTTTTCAACTGTTCAAATTGAGTAATATTTGTTAATTCCGTAATATTCTTATAATCAATTTTCAAATCTACGACACAATTCTTAAATTTACTCTTGCTCATCAAGTGCAATTTTTGATCATTGAATTGTATTTTGTTAAAATCGATTGATAATTTTATCATGTCAATAATCAATTCGTTCCACTCCTTGGAAATTAATGAACATTTAGAAATAATGATATGTGAATCGAGGAAGGACATGATTTCACATACATATCATTTGGCAATCGGAGAGGTGGTAGTGTATTCATCATTATTTTTTTTAAATTTTTAAAAATTATAATTTTTTAAAAAATACTGGATTAAATTCTTCCTCCGATTCAATATGATGTTGAGACAAATGAGGTGATGAACCTCCATTCACCTGTTAGTTATTGTAAGGAATGAGGTTGCGGACTAGATTCTTGTAGAGATGAGGTGCTGTCATCATTGAATTGTTTATGGATAAATACCATCAAAATCTTTTAGCCTGATTCCTGGCCAATTTTGTGGTTTCTGTACGGATTCGGAAGTAGCTGTTGTTGATAAAGTTGTCTCCCATTTTCCAGCTCTACAAGGCAACTTGCATTTTCTGAACACGTTTGGGGTAATTACCAATCTACTAATTGCTAATGTGCCAAAGACTTTAGGCTAATTGAGAGGACTATTTATTTTGTTGGCTTGGACCACACGATAATGTGTATGAATCACTCACTTTGTGTGTTGTAAATAATGAAAAAACAAACAAATTTACTTTATAGAAATGTCAAACAAGTTTATAAGAGATTGGTTGGCTTGTGTGGTGATTCTATTCCTTCTTTGTTCTGTTTCAAATGCTGGTAGCTTGGCAATTGTTTGTATTCCTGGCGAGTACATTAGTGGTAGTGCTTGTCTAGATTGTCCAGGAGGCACCTATTCAAGTGGCATGACGACATCTTGCTCTGATTGTTCAGCTGGTTATTATTCTGAAGTAGGCTCAACAAGTTCTGACTGCTCTATATGTGCTGCTGGAACTTACTCAAATAATAGAGCCTCAAGTTGTACTAACTGTGCAGGTGGAACATATTCAGCTGGTGGAGCTTCGAGTTGTACCAGTTGCTCAGCAGGTTATTATTCAAGTGCTGGCTCGTCATCATGTTATCAATGTGGAGCTGGAACTTATTCAACTGGTGGAGCTTCAAGTTGTACTAACTGTGCAGCTGGTTATTATTCATCGACTGTTGGAGCAACAAGTTCCTCAGTTTGTTTGATGTGCAGTGCAGGAACATATTCCACAATATCAGTTGCTGGTGGAGCTTCGAGTTGTACTAGTTGCTCAGCTGGTTACTATTCAAGTGCTGGAGCATCATCATGTTCTCAATGTGGAGCTGGTACTTATTCAGCTGTTAGCTCATCAAGTTGTACCAATTGTGCAGCTGGTTCATATTCAAGTGCTGGCTCATCCAGCTGTACTAGTTGTTCAGCTGGTTATCGTTCAAGTGCTGGGTCTTCTTCTTGCTCCCAATGTGGTGCTGGTACTTACTCAGCTGGTGGAGCTTCGAGTTGTACCAGTTGTTCAGCAGGTTATTATTCAAGTGCTGGCTCGTCATCATGTTCTCAATGTGGAGCTGGAACATACTCAGCTGGTGGAGCTTCAAGTTGCACTAATTGTGGAGCAGGTACTTATTCTTCGACAGTTGGAGGAACAAGCTCCTCAGTTTGCTTAAATTGTGTAGCTGGTACTTATTCCACAATTTCAGGAGCAACTAGTGCCACAGTGTGTCAAAATTGTAATGCAGGAAGTTTTTCAACTGGTGGCTCATCCAGTTGTACCAATTGTGCAGCAGGTTATTATTCAGCTTCAGGTTCCTCATCATGTTCTCAATGTGGAGCTGGAACATATTCAACTGGTGGTTCATCAAGTTGTGCAAGTTGTGCAGCTGGTTCATATTCAAGTGCTGGTTCTTCCAGCTGCACTAGTTGTTCAGCAGGTTACTATTCAAATCCTGGTTCGTCATCATGTTCCCAATGTGGAGCTGGTACTTATTCAAGTACTGGCTCATCTAGTTGTACTAGTTGCTCAGCAGGTTATTATTCAAACTCAGGTTCTTCATCATGTTCTCAATGCGGAGCTGGAACATATTCGACTGGAGGGTCCTCAGGTTGTACCAGTTGCTCTGCAGGTTATTATTCAAGCGCTGGTTCTTCTTCTTGCTCTCAATGTGGAGCTGGTACTTATTCAACTGGTGGAGCTTCCAGCTGTACTAGTTGCTTAGCTGGTTATTATTCAAGTGCTGGCTCTTCCTCTTGCTCCCAATGTGGAGCTGGAACTTACTCAACTGGTGGCTCATCCAGTTGCACTAATTGTGGAGCAGGTACTTATTCATCAACACCTGGCGCCACAAACGCTGGAGTTTGCTTGACATGTTCTGCTGGTTACTATTCAAGCGTTGGTGCCTCGTCTTGCTCTAAATGTTCTGCTGGTACTTATTCAAGTAGTGGCTCATCAAGTTGTACTAATTGTGCAGCTGGATATTATTCAACCTCAGGTTCTTCATCATGTTCTCAATGTGGGGCAGGAACATATTCGACTGGAGGGTCCTCAAGTTGTACCAGTTGCTCAGCTGGTTATTATTCAAGTGCTGGCTCGTCATCATGTTCTCAATGTGGAGCTGGTACTTATTCAAGTACTGGCTCATCTAGTTGTACTAGTTGCTCAGCAGGTTATTATTCAACTTCAGGTTCTTCATCATGTTCTCAATGCGGAGCTGGAACATATTCGACTGGAGGGTCCTCGAGTTGTACCATTTGCTCAGCTGGTTATCGTTCAAGTGCTGGGTCTTCTTCTTGCTCTCAATGTGGAGCTGGAACATTTTCGACTGGTGGCTCTTCAAGTTGTGCAAATTGTACAGCTGGTTCATATTCAAGTGTGGGCTCTTCCAACTGTACTAGCTGCTTAGCAGGTTATTATTCAAGCACTGGTTCGTCATCATGTTCTCAATGTGGAGCTGGTACTTATTCAACTAGTGCCTCATCAAACTGTTCCAGTTGTGGAGCTGGTTCATATTCGAGTGCTGGAGCATCATCATGTTCTCAATGTGGAGCTGGAACATACTCAGCTGGTGGAGCTTCAAGTTGCACTAATTGTGGAGCAGGTACTTATTCTTCGACAGTTGGAGGAACAAATTCCTCAGTTTGCTTGAATTGTGTAGCTGGTACTTATTCATTCGAGACAGGAGCTGCAAGTGCTAATGTTTGCCAAAGTTGTAGAGCTGGAACTTATTCGTCGATGGGCTCTTCTAATTGCACCAATTGCACACCTGGTTTCTATTCAACCACTGTAAATGCAACCAGTTCAGCTACCTGCATACCTTGTTCTGCAGGTACCTTTAGTAATTCAACTGGTGCATCTTATTGCTTTCAATGTCCTGAAGGTACTAACAGTGCTTCAGGATCTTCTTTATGCAACTCATTTTCTTGTTTCCAATATAATAATTGCTCTGGAAACGGTGTTTGTGTTTCGAATAACACTTGCTCCTGTTTTGAAGGATTTGACGGATTGAATTGCAATATCTCTCTACCGTTCTCGATTAATCTTAACTCCTCATATGTTACCTTATCCACTACAAAAATATTCACAGTACTAGTTGTTGGAAATTATTCAGATATTATCAGATATGATGTCTTTTGTATGAATTGTTCTTTTCTCAATTTCACAACATCGAATAATTTGATAACTATTGACATGACTGGACAAAATATTGGAAAATTTACATTGATGGTTGTGGCTACAATGAATAATAGTAGAATATCAGCTCCTAGTTCTTTGATTGTAGAAATAGTTCCCCTTATCAATCCACCAAGTACAGGGAAATTTGGATTTTTGAGCATTCCCAAGATTGTGGAGAGGAATAACCCAAAACTTGATGTCATCATCTCGAATTTAACAGATGTAGATGAATCCTTTGTTGGAAACTGTGGGTTGCAAACAATGTGTTCTTTTAAGTTGACAACTTATTTAGTGGAACAAACTGAAAGTTCCAGCTTGACCCTTTGGACTCAATCGCAAGTAGTTGTTGGATCCAACAAGTATACAACTATATTCTTTACTCCACTTGTTTCTTTAAATCCATCGCTTACCTTTACAACTGTAAATTCTACAACATTACTTCTTTATATGACACTTGAGTCTTCAAATGGAAACAATAGTTATAGTACTGCCATTCCTATTGTTGATTCGGCATTTGCACCAACAAACATCAATTTCACTAGTATGCCTCAGTCAGGTCCAGCAATCCAACAGATTTTCTCAATTAGTTCGTCACCTTGGAATGCACCATTACAAATTCAACCTTTGTTCTATTCCTATGGTATCTACCTTAGTGATACACAACAATATATTCAACTTTCTCCATTCACTCAATCAACTCAAGCATACATTCCTTTACCCTATTTGTCAGATGGCCCAGTTTCGGTTGCCATTTTTGTTAAGAATTCTTTAGGAAATATAATATCAAAAGTTCTTGGGCAAGTAACAGTCATTAAGTCAATTGGAAATGTGGACTACTTGAATCTTACTGATACGCAATTAGCAGTATCAGTGTTTGATCAATCTAGTCAACTCACCACTTCAGATATTTCAACAATTATTAGAAGAATTGATATTGGCTCTAATCCGGACTCACCCTTACTTTATTTAAATACATTGGTACTCAATAATATCTTGGATGGTTCACAATTAGGTCTATTATCAAACAAACTTTATCATTTCCTTAATAACTCTGCAGCTTCCTACGAACAAGAAATGGTAAACTTTGGATTTGTCAAGAGCAAACTCTCAGAAGAGGCCCTGAATTCAACATTTTCTATTATTTCAACTATTATAAGCAACTCAACCTTTGATGGATTATTAACTTCATTCTCTCAACTTGTTATTCAAAGCTCAATTCCTAAAGTCGTCTCTGATTCAGATATGACTTTTATTTCATACTCTTCAAATTTTGCTAAAGCTTCACTTGTATCTTTTGTGTTGCCATCTACCAATTATGGATACAATTCAAACAGTTATTTTGTCAGCCCCACAGGAATGAATTTTTCTGTAACCCTGAATTTTACAGAAATTACATCTATCGGAGAGGCCAACACCCACGGATTGTCCATAATAACATTTTCTAATAATTCTAAATTGGATAACTATTCTATCAGCAATCAAATGCTGTCTAATGTGGCAGATTTTAAATATTTCCTGAATAATTCTTATGTGAAATTGAGAAATCTTAACAATCCTATTATTCTGAAATTTGATGTACAATCTGAAGTAATTGGAAATATCTCAAATCCATCTCTGATATCTTGTATGTATTGGGATGAAACATTCTCAATTTGGAGCACTGAAGGCTGCACTCTGGTTGGCTGGTCTAACAGTTCTGTTTTCTGTGGTTGTAATCACACCACTTCATTTGCAACCTTTATTGATTACAACCTATCTTCCATTGCAACAATAGGGGAAAAGACACAAGTTTCTGGACTATTTATCGCACAAATATTTTTTGGTTGTTTATTTGCTGTCATTTCCTTTGTCATGTTAATTCTGTTAGTCATATTTAGAAAACATCAACCTGTTTCAAGTAGGTTAATAACTCCTTACATGGGGATGATAGCACTACTTGTGGAATGTATCAGTATTTTCATTATTCAGAGAAGTGTACTTGTTGACTATTTATGGAATAATAACATTGATTGGAGTTCAGGAACTAATGCTCCAAATGTAATCGCCAATATTACATTGATAATTGTGAATAGCTTGAATATTACTGCAATATTTTGTTACGTTTGGCAAACCATCAGATATGAAGTAATGAAGTATTTGTATGATTTGATTTCCAAAAGAACTGACAATCACCCAACAGGAATGAAAGTATTAAGAAGATTTGTCTCACAAACTCTATTTATTTCATTAACAGCTATATGTCTTACTCTAAATATTGCATATTGGCTATTGTGGGTTATCTTGAGAAGAACAGAAGCCATTTCAGCAACTGCCTTCACCCAAATTACTTCAATCTCATACACTGTTATTATTTTCGTATTCAGTGCCATTATTTCAGTTACTACAATTGTAGATGTCATTGCAGCATTGATTGGACAGGATATTTACTTCAAAAGAAAAGTGCATTCCAATAACAAAATATTGAAAGAAAGTACTTCCTCTTTGGAAATGCAACTCGCATTAGCTCCACATCCTAAAAACAAGTTTTTCCACACTGATGCTCCGCTCTATTTTAGAACTGAGATGATTGCTTATGTGATTTGTTTTGCATTAATGATCGTTCAACAAGTAACAGGTTTAAGTGTTTATTCCAACTCAGATGCAATTGTAAATATTGAAATTGTCAATTTGGTCTTTCAATTACTGTACTATATTTCATTCATTGGAGTGTTTGGAGGTTTTTCATTGACAGTTTTGTTAATTTATAGAAAAAAATCAAAGAAATCATCCCACGATGCCTCTGAACTGAATGAAATTATCAATGAGGTTATTGGATTACAATTATTCGAAGTGTTTTGTGAATCAGAATTTTCCACTGAAAATCTTTACTTGTATCAATTACTGAAAGAAAATGAGAATATAAATTCAGAAGCAAATATCATGAAATTATCAACTTTCGTAAGAACTATTTTCGAATTGTTCATTCAAAGAAATTCCAAGTACGAGGTTAACATTCCATCAAGTGTTTCAACAAATTTCAAACATTTGATAAACATATTAGAAAGTACAAACATTGAACTGCAACAAGATGAAACCAATTCACCTTTGAAACTAAAGTCAAAGGAGGTATTTAGTGACCTTTTGGATCAAATTTTATTGAACTTGGAGGATACCTTTTCAAGGTTTGTAACATTGGACGTTTATGAAAGATACAAAGAAAAGAAAGATTGGAAGACAAACATGTTAGCACAATCAAATATAAGCGTTCAATAAATTATTACCTAGGTTTAGAATCAATATTCGAGATTACTTCTTCAATATTCCATTTTGTTAGATTCCAAACACATAGAGTTATTCAAAACTAAACGAAATTATGGTCAACCGTGCAATAGTTCACCAAGTTCTCCATTTGAAATGCAATGAAACATTAGAGGCAATTCAAATTGTTAGTGATAAAACAATGTTTTCATGAACATAAAGATTTCAAGTTCACAGTTCCAAACCAACGAAAATCTTCAAATACCAAAAGAATGCAAATTTTAAAAATAAATCACAACGAAAAAAAACAACTCAAAAACTCGCAGCAGCGAAAAATCATAAACGAAAAAGTGAAGAAAATGAACAGCGATAATTTTTTCTTTGAAGAAAGCCTTTTGCAAGAATTGTCCAACAATTTGATGGAAAGCTTTGATCAGGCTGCCTACTCTGCTTGTTCATCATCCGATACTTGTTCATCCACTAATACTGATGATGAATCTATTTTACAATTCTTTAATTTTAATAATCAATTGATGACATCGATATCATGTCAATGCGAAGGTGGTTTTGAATTGAATAATAATACTAAAGTTTCAAGACCAAGAGGAGCTCCATTTTCTATCTACGTTAACGACAAGTTGAACGTTACCATTTCTACTCAATTTTTGAGTGAAAATAATTTAAATCAATCATCAGTGACAATTTCCTTGAAGACCTTCTTGTTTGAAGATGTCTCATCACTCGATAGTTTAGAAGAATATACTATCAATTTGAACCAAGCTAAAATGGTCAATAATCAATTACAAATAACAATTCCTATCAGAAGAGATAACACCACTAGAAGAAAGACTAGAAAGTCAACTGCCAAGTCAATCAAGGGTGAAGAAACTGCTGAAGATTTGGAAAGAAAGAAAAAGATGAGAAGAAGCTTGAATCAAGAAGCTACCAAGAAGGTTTCCTATATTCAAGTTATTGCTAATCAACAAGTTTTAGCCACTTCTCAAAATATGTGGTGTAGATCCAAGACAAGATCCGAAATGGAAAAGAAGAAGGGTCGTAAAACTTCTACTCCAAAGAAGAATCCAAGCACCAAGAGAAAGTCATCTGATTTGATTCCTTTGGAAATTGATGCACAAATGATTAATACTCATTTGAAGTCTGCCAAACGTGTCAAGCAAACTGCTCCTACTGTTGTTGTTGAAACTCAACCAATTTCAATGGTGGAAGAAGAAATTCCAGAATACATGATGCAAATGATTCCAACCAATTGGCAAGAAGTTTGTGGTGTTACAACTGTTGATGGTGCCAAACAAGTGCAAACTGTCACAGTCAACAATGATGAAGATGATGTCTTTGCCTTATTCGATAATGATTTCATGTTCCAAGAACCAATGCCATCTCCATCATCTGCTATTCCTTCAATGGGTATTAATTTGGATTTGGATGATTTGTTCCCACTCGAAAGTATCCAACAACCAGCATCTGCTATTAATGGTCACATGATGTTCGCCAAGCCAGTTTGTCTTGATGATTTGGATTTCGATACCTTCTTAACTGAACAAGAAATAAACATGTAAATAATCCAAATGAATGAAAATATGAATTGCAAATTTTGTAACTAGTTCAATTCTAGAAAAACAATATCAAAAAAAAATGTCTAAAAATCCACCTTCATCTTCACCAACACAACAACTCCAACCCTATGCCCAATCCAAATTGGATATCTCTGGTTCATGTGTTGTTTGTTCAATAGCCTACACAATCAATTCAAAACTCTCACAAGAAAAAAAACCACAAGTACCCATCGAAAAATTTCTTCAAACAGCAATCAAACATAAATTCTTCTCTACCAAAGGACATGGCATTCACTCGAAAGGAAGTGCAAATCTTGGAAGGTTATTTGGAAAAGTAGAGTGGGGATTCTTTGGAAATTCTCAAGAGGAAGACGAATTTTCAGATGACGACGATGAAATAGATCCACAATGTAGGAAGAGACAATTCTTTGATTGTGAAAAGGATTCGTATAGAGATGGACCTGAACTGATTAGAGAAAAATTGAGAGAGGCAGGAGGTTATGTTGTGGTTGGTGTGAGATCGTGCATGAGTTCGATGAGTAGGGCAACCACTCATGCAGTAGTTGTGCTTGGAATTGATGATTCGAATAGAGTAACTATTGCAGATTCTTATTCACATTTTACAAAAAGAAATGAACCTAATGCAATGTTTCCTTATGGAAAACCAAATTGGGAATTTTCACCTGGAATTTATACAGTTGAGTGGAGTGAATTTGATGCATCTTGGAATTCAAGAGATGATTATGCAGGAGAGGATGATTTGGAAAATGATGAAGCATTTTCAGATTTTAATGTTAAAGAGGAAGGATTCAGATTTTGGATGATTATTAAACATGACCACAAGTTAATTTCCAAAAATTGTAAATAAAAAGTTTATGGAATAATTTATTAAGGTTGTAAACTCTATAATACCCAGGTTGACCTATCGAATATGTTTCTAAAGTCAATGAACTGTGAACTTACCATAGTTCATAGTTAGTTTTACAACACAATTCAATAATAAAAATTCAAAAATTCAAAAAAAAAAATGGATCTAAACTACTACGATCACTACATCAACAAGGAGAATGGTTCCTATGTGGTCTGGCGAGATTTGACCTTCAATAACCAATCCACCTTTGACATTATCAATTTCGGCCTCTCGGAAAAGAAGTTACAATTATCTGATGATACAACTCATCAATTCCGAAGAAATTTAAATGAATTTTCTCTCTCTGCAGCCTTTAATAAGGTTCCCCAACGTACGAATCCGATAGTTAATGGAGAATCCGATCAGAAGAGAGTTTCTCTCTATATTGAAAATTGCCACTATCAAATATTCGATTTTTCCAAACAATATTTCAAGAGAATTGTTTTTGAAAATTGTTCAAATTGTGAAATTTATTTAGGAAAAACATTTGGTGGATATGAATTCAGTAATTGTTCCAATCTTACTATTCAATTTACTAAAAATGTTGAGAATTTGAGTACTATTCTAGAGGATTCTAAATTCATTTCCATTATTTTCCATTTTAAATTATCAGAAATGAATGAAATGAGAATAGTTTCGACTAATTTATTTGGAGTCAAAGTCATGTATCAGAGTGATCCCTCATCAAAGAGAAAAAACGATTCAATTGTAAATATTAATCATTCAACTTATGAATTTGTAAATTTGGATCAAATTGGAATTTCCAATCGATTTGTAGAGATTACAAAAAAACAATTACAATCAAATTTACAATCAAATACTTTTCATAGAAAATTCTTTCACGATTCATTGAATGATATTAACATTATTACACAATTCTCACATGACTCTGATGAATAATTCCCTTTCAATACCGTTCAGTACTATTTAACCTTTACAAAAAAATGTATTTAAATATTTAAATGTTTGTATTTTAAAAAAAAATGTAAATAATTCAATGCTAGAATTTACCTCAATTTCCAAACCAACAACCTTCAAGTGTTCAATATTCAATATTTAATTAATTCAATTTATTAAAAAATGTTTCCACTCATAAAAAGCCTTTCCGATATTCAAGCTTGTTTTTCTTCGGCAATTAACCAACAAGAAGATGTCCATCATCTTCATACAAAATCAAACTCTATTATCGGAGGCTTTTCTAACAATAATTTAATGGATCAATTCAAGATTGAACGTGATGGTGGTTACATCTTTATCAAATATAAACATGCTATATCGATGAAAGATACTTTTCCTGATCCGAATGATGAATTTCTATCTGCAGAGGAACGTTTGAATTATCAACTCAGAAGGGAATGTAGAGGAATTGTATTTCGGAATGATCAAGATGATGATGAAGTAAATATTCAGCAGGAAAATATACAAAATGATGAAAAGAAGGTGAAAGGAAGAATCATTTCGAGAAAGTTTCACAAGTTTTTCAATATTAATGAGAGGGAGGAGAGTAATGTGGAGAGTATAAATTGGAGAAGAGGTTTTATTGTGATGGAAAAGATGGATGGATCATTGGTTTCGCCACTGAGGATTATTCGAAACGATGATTTGAATGATGGGATAGAAGATTCGAATAGAGTGTGGACATTTACTTCAATGTTGGGATTTACAGAAACTGGACAAGCTGTGGATGAGTTCATCTATCAAGAAATGGAGGGAAGAAAGAGAGACAAATTATTCGAATTGTGTGAATATTGTGAAGAGAGTGGAATAACTCCATTATTTGAATTTTGTTCAAAGGAAAACAAGGTTGTTATTGAACATGAAAAGACAAGTTTAATCCTTTTGGCATTTAGAAATATAGAATCTGGAGAATATATGTCCTTCAAAGATACTGTTAACACTCTCAACAAGTTCAATAACCCGGTTCCTATTGTAAAACTGTGGAAGGAATATCCTAATGGATTGAAAGGAGTAGAGGATGCAAACAAGCTCTTGAAGGAAATTTATGCCCAAAAGAATGTTGAAGGATATGTCATTAGATTTTATGAAGGTGACATGTATAAGGTAAAGACCACATGGTACACAAGCTTGCATGGATTGGAAACTACAGGAAAGTTTATTAGAGATCGACACGTTATTAAGGGAATTTTGGAGAATAATGTTGATGATATCATTTCTAGTTCCTTCTTTAACGGAGAGGAAAAGAAGAGGAAAGCTCTTCAATTATTCAGAGATGAAGTTGAAAGAAGGATACTCCTTAAAATTGCTGAAACCACAAAGGAATTGAAGGAGAAATCAATTGATGACATTTCACCAGATTCAATCACTGGTAAATTTTACTATTATCTCACTTCAGAGCATCCACAAGAAGCTATCAACAATTCAGATCTCATAACATCCGTATACTATTCATTCCTCATTGAATATTTTAAGCTTAATGGAAGAGAATTCGATAGACACCGAAAATTATTCTACAAGTATCTCTCTATTGATTTCTCAGTCATGAAACCTTACCATTTCACACATGAAGGAATTTTATCAGAACCAAGCAGCAGCAGCACTCCACCTAAAAAACAAGCACAACCACCAAGATATGCCGCTTCCAAAAACGATTCCACAAACCAATCATCAAACTCTGCAAAACCATCAGTTGACAAGAAGAAACGCAAGTAATGAACTCCCATTGTAAACACTTTAAAAAAAAATGCACCATCACAAACCACTGTTCCCACTCGAAAACCTTCCCTCACAAGTTGTATCACACTTCCTGATGAATAATAAAAAGTTACAAGAGGAGAGAATCGAGTGGATAGAATCAGAGACGAGAAAAATTGATGAATTTACAGAAAAAATTACAAAACACACTTTACTTATCCCGACTACGAATGGTGATGATCAAAAAGCACAAGAAAAGATTATTAAATTAAATGTTGGTGGAAGTGTTTTCACTACCAATTTGAAAACATTGCTGAATGAAAAGGATACATTCTTTAGTGGATTTTTTAGTGATCGATTCTTACCACAAATACAAAAGGTGGAAAGTGAAAGTGGAGTAGAGGATGTCTATTTCATTGACAGGAATGGAAAGAATTTTTCATTAATTTTGGATCATTTGCGAGGACATAAAATTGGACCAAAGATTCAAAATTTGACTGGAATTGAATTATTTGAATTTGTGGAAGATGTTGCTTTCTATCAAGTTCGCTCTATTTATCCTTTATTGAATGATGAATCTAAGGAAATGTTAAGGGAACATTTTTCAATTGAGTTGGAGGAAGCACCTAAAGTGAAAGAAACAATACCAATTGCAAATAATAGACTAAAGCTTACATCACATGCTTTAGCGAATATTCCTCAAGAGTATAAGAGAATGGTGTTGGGCGAAACTTTACATCCTTTTGTTCTCGAATTGGAACCTACAAACGCCGGCAAGATTACAGGAATGCTTCTAGAAATGGAAACAAACATGATCTTGAATTGGATTGAGAATGATGATGAATTGAAGAAGATTGTTGAACAAGCAGTTACAGTTTTAAAAGGGAGTTCTTTATATAATTAATTATTTATCATATACTTGAATAAACTTTATTTTTTATCATAAACTTGCACAAACTCAGTCTTACTTCTTCCAAAGCATTCAGGAGAATACATTTCTTCCATATAGGTTGAAGGTGCTACAAACGAACCTAAAGTAGTAGCTCTGCAAATATAGCTGTAAACATGTGTGCCTTCATATAAAATTCTTGCAAATGCTTCAACTCTTTCATCTCTAATATTTTGATTTTCGAACCATTTGAAATAATGGTTATTTGCCAATTCATTTTCGTTACCCCCATTTCCAAAATTAGTGAGCTGTGTATCGATTTCTGGATTGACAACTTCTAAACCTGCTGGCAGTTTATCAACAAGAGCAACATTATATCTTCTAGTAGGATTACATATTGTAATATTAACTCTGACCAATTCGCCTGACTTCACCTTCCATGTCTTGGTATTCTTATCAAACTTGACATCGTCAGGATTGGTGATTGCTTCATATACTCTAGAAATTGAGAATCCTCTATCTAAAGATTTGAGAGTAAATTCTTGAGGAGTGTAAGATAGAGCAATTCTATAATAAAGTCTTCCAGTACCATTCTTTGTCAAGAGGAATGATTTCTTTGAGTCATTTTCATCTGGATTGATGACTTCCTTATTAATATCAGCTCTTGGAACAAAAGCAGTTACCGGTAATGATGTAATCTTCTTTTCTCTACTTCTTCCTTTCCAAGATTGATTGCCCATAAAGAAAGTCTCCTCTGGCCTTGTAGAATCAACAAGCCATGTATTAACATTCATATCTGGAACTTCCTTCTCGAATATCTTGAAATAATCGGTGAGGGAAATGAGACAGATAGAGTTTTCTTGAGTATTATACCAACGACCATATCTATTTGCATTTCTGGCAGCCAACAGGCTTCTTACCAATTTTTGGATAATATCACTACTATCTTCTCTATCAATTTCCATTAAACATCCCAAAACAACAGCATCAGTTCTTGTATTTGAATGCAGCATGACCATTTGTGCAAGTTCATTATCTTCATATCTAGTGATAAAGTGTGCATAGATACCAGAGTCAATTGTGACATTTTCCTTAAAGTATGACTTGATGGCTTCCAACCATTGATAAACTGAAATCTTTTCATTGATGAATTTTGCAAAGAAACCCTTCTTCTCTTCAACTTGTTCCTTCTTACATCTGTGAATAGACATTGCAAGATAAGCAGCAGATTCTGGATTCAATTCTTGAGTCAACTCTGTTAGGGTATTGTAGTGGTCAAGAATACCTTCACACAAGGAAATTACCTGTTCCTTGTCAGTTTCACTATCAGCTAACAATGAGAGAATATAAAAAGCGTATGCTTTGATAGTGTCTTTAACAGATCTTGGCCAAATAAATCCAAAGAAGAATAAACTTGAAATATTCTTCAAAATGGATTTTGTTCTGGACAGTATTTGATCTGGAATTTTGTATCCTTCAGATTTACATTTGGCAAAACAAAAAGCAACATGGCATGTCAAGAATGGATCTCCAATCAAATTATTACTCCAATAAGAGAAGGCACCATCATATCTTTGACGCTCAAATAATCTGGCAAGATTGGTATCAATGAAAGTGTCAATCTCTTCTCTTCCAGAAATGTCCATCAATTTTTTGAGTTCCTCAGGTGTGTAGAATTGCAAAATCATTTCCTTCATGGAAACAATACCTAAAAGCTTTGAGGCAATTTGTTCATTACATTCATATGGATATGAGTAGAGATAAATGAGAGAATCAGTCAATGTTGAAAGGGCTGTTGTGGAGGTACTAACACTAAATTCACCGAAATGAGCCAAGATATTCTTTGATGGAAGTGAAATTGGTTGTAATACATTATCATTAGTTTCACTAACATCTCCATAAGTTGCAAAAGCCTCATTAGTTGCTGGAGTGAAAATTTTAAAGTCATTCTTTACAGCATCAGACCATCCAACCATTTCGTCAGCAATGCCTTGTTTTTCAGGATTCTTAGCAACAGCTCTAACTACTCTAACTCCAATATTGATAAGAGCCTTACCACATTTGAGAACTTGAACTGGAATTCTAACTTCTTTTCTTCCTTGAGCTGGAATAACCACTGAAAATCCCTTCTTTCGTTGATTCTTGTTCTTTCCATTGAAAATTCTGAGATTTGTTACTTGGCAAACGAGTGATAGTGTCAAATCTGAATCTGTTTGATTTTGTAGAATATATGTCAAATCACACAAATCGCCATAATTCAAAAATCTTGGAAGGGATGGTCTTACGGCAATAGGTAAATTGGTTGTAATTGCAGAACTACCAATACCAATTAAATCTTCTTTGGCATTCACTACAGCAGTTACTTTGAATTTGGTGAGTGCATCAGTCAATTTGAAATCAAGTGTTATAGATCCATTTTCATCCGTTTGAGCGAATCCAATAAATGCAGCATCTGGTTTGAAATTATTTCTTATTTGGAATACATCTTTTCTGTCATTCATTGATGGCATTGCACAACCACGACAACCACCACATATAGCACTGCTACTACTGCTACAAGTACATTCACATTCATTACAACTATGTTTTCTACAACAAGAAAACGAAGGAAGGAATAAACAAGCTGCCTTCTTATGAAATCTGACGCTTTGACAAGACATGTCACAACATTGATTTTCCAAATCATCTAAAACTTGAATTTGTCGCCCGGACCCGTCATACCCTGCCCTATTTGATAATCTGAGTGATGTTTGAGTTTGCTCCATGATTTCTGCATCTCGTTGGTTCTTTCTAGGGTAAAGCCAGTATCTCACGCTCTCCCTGATTGAATCACAATTGAAACTGCACGAATTATTAATTACAAATAATGAGAGCGGGTCTTCAATCGAATGATTTGCCATATCCAATACAGCTTGATCACAAACAATCAAACAAACCTCAGAATTTGGTACAGTATTTCCTTGCTTATCTTTCACAAGAACAGTGACTGATGTCTCTTTTCCAGGGCTAAGTATAGTATCCTTTGGAGTGACAGTAACATCAAGCTCGTGGGAGCTCTTAGAAATTTGAATATCAATAGATCCAGAAGCCTGAGTTGGATTAACTCTTGTCATGTCATCAATATCAACATAGTTCTCCTTACCAACCAATTGTACCTTAACTTGTATATTTGGTCTATATTCCTTCTTGATTGGAATTGTCAACTCGTACATTCCTACATCACTACTAATATCAAATGTTTCCTGTTTGATTAGCCTATTACATAAAATCCAAGCGACTCCTGTACAATCACCACTAAAAGGAGAGACAATATAGACTTTGGCATCCTCTCCAGGTTGGTATTCATCATTTTCAAATTTGTTGGTAATTAGTTCGATACCAGATGTATTCAGAGATGCATAACCCTTTGATGTTAAATGTTCCCTATAGCCCAATTTACGAATAGGAATACTGCATCTGTTAATACCTGATCTGTGCTTTGGTGTTTCATCTTCTTTTACTTCGCACAAAATGGCATACTCTCCATAAGCAGTGTCCTTGTTTTCCTCACTAAGCTTAAATGTATGTAAAAGTGGTTGATCTTGTGAAGTGAGTTTGATTTCCTTGATTGGATTTGTGGTTTCCCATTTTTCATAACCCTTCGAATCGTAACCAAACTGAACTAATTTTACAGATATTGGAACGTCCTTCACCACCTTACCCTTGATATCTGTAACAACAAAGAAACAGTCGATATTTTCATCAGATTTCATAACTACTCTTTTAGTGCAACGAACTCCAATGTAATATTTGCAAGAGTGGAGAATAACCTCACTAGATGTTCTTTGTGTTTGTCTATTGATGTCCTGAACATTGGCATTGCAACTGACACTAATAGGACTAGTTACCAACTTTTCTGGATCCCATAATATTATTGACAGATGATCATCACCATTGGAATCAGTTGTCCCATTAATATTACTGTAAAGTCTGGTTTTTGATTTTACACTATTTAAAAGTCTATCCAGTTTGTAATTATTTCTAAGATCTGTTTCTTGGAAAATGTAATTACTCCATCCTTCTGGGGTGAAATTTTTAGAAGTGGTATTGAGAGAATAGTTCACAGTTGAATTAGAGAGGCCTCCTCCACTATAATATTTGGCACTGACCTTATTGATGAACTTTTCACCAACAAACAAATCAACCTTTTCTGATGAAGGAATAATACTGCTACTGACAGTATATTCTCTAGTTCTAAACTCTTCAACTTTAAAAGTATGATTCCAGCATACTGTTTGCTGGAATCGTTGACCGTCAAAACTAAATGTGACTGAGTGAGAACCTAAATTAACATTATCTGGTATAACCAAATCCAAAACAAAAGATCCATTCGCACTCAATTCAACTTTACCATCCAAGTATTTAACTCTGCTATTGTCGAAAACTTCATAAGTTACCTCTTTCTTACTTATTTGAGTGGTGATTGCATAGGTACCATAATTCTCAGAATCCTTGTTAGTGTCGTATATCAAGTTTCTGATGAAACCCTTAATATGTACAGTTTCATTTGGCTTGTATAACCCACGATCATTAAAAATGTGAGCAATATTAGTGTCTTGACGAGTTGAGTGAACATAAACGCTTGGATTAGTGTAGACAACTTGATCTGTGTCTTTAGATACAGCAATGGAAACGTGATGATAACCCTGTATGCATGTAAAATAGGCCATACCCCTTTCATTTGTTTTTTCAGTAACTGATCTAACGTCCATTGTTCTAGTCTCCTTATCAGGATAATAGTTCTTGGTGTCAAACATTGTTACTTCAGCATTGTCAACAGGTTTTCCCGTTGAGAAATCAGTTACAAATACACCTAATTTTTCTCCAGCGATACTCACAACATCGACACACAAATTTGAAACTTGCACCCATCTAGCTTGATATCCAGAAAATAATGAGTATAAAATTGATCTTTTTGGTTTGAAATGTACCAATACACTGCCTGTTTTTCCATTTTGAAGAAATTCTGGCAACATAATCTTGGTAGAAACAGTTCTGTCCTTTACAAAGTTTTCAGTTTGTACTTTTTGATCAAAAACTTGCTTTCCAAAACTATGAGGTTTTCTTGGGTTCCAATCAAAATGTGCATAATTATCATAGGAATTAAAGAATGTTTTTGGAGCAAACTTTGGGTATACACATTCTTTGTACATTTCTATAGGATCAACTTGATTGATAATAACATGAGTTTCTTGAATATTTACAGAATCAAAGTAAAGAAATGGTTCATTGTTATCAAAAAGGCATGGTGGCATGACACTAAAGGTAGGGAGTGTCATGTTGAATTCCCTATCCTCACCTGAGACTTCGAAAGTGGCTGAATAATCACTTTCCATGATTTGGTTATAAATATCTGGAACTCCTTTTAAAATTTTAACACTATATTTCTCCCTAGCGAGAGTATCACCTGCGATTATAATAGTATTACCATCAGCTTTTACCTTGTAATTATTAAGGACTGGTTCAAGTTGAACAAATTTTTCAATGCTGTCTACCTTTTCCAAATCAATAGGATTGTTGAATCTGAATGTAAATGAGCAACCTGGATAAATTTCATTAAAGAAAAAATGTTTCTTTGGATAATGATCAGAAACTACCATTTTGGAATAGCCACGCACACCAGTGGATGTTTCATGAGTAGATACAAGTGGACCTTCCAAACTCTTGAATCCTGGTCTCAACCAAACACTCAAATATTCTCCTAATCCAATTTTACGATAATTCTTTCCAGCATGTAAAGTATCGTTTGCAACAAGTAACTTGATCCACATACATCTCTTTGGATCATGAACATTTTTGAGACTTCTGTAATACAAGTTATAAACATATGGGAACTTTTTGGAATAATCTGTTTCTGCCAACATTTTGGAAATTATTGAGGTGTCTTCCAATAATTCCACACCAATTTTGTAGCTAGAAACTTTCATTTCCAACTTTTCTAAAACACTTTGCTTGTCAATATCTTGATCAAATTGGAAGAACATGAATGGGAGTTGAGAAATTGGAAAGCTGTTACCTGAAGGGATACAACTGAGAATTCTAGCTGTTGGTGTCTTAAACGTTGCTGATAAATCATCTCCTAAAGTATGTCCATGCACGGACTTGGTCTTTTCTTTTATAACCTTGTAGGAAAACTCGGTTGATCTGTCAAATCTGAATCGAGGTTGAAACACTAAAGATTTAGTACCAATCCATTTCCACTTTCCTTCTTTAACATTTTCTGTTACTGGACTAATTTCAATAAAATCAATCTCTTCAAATGATTTAGTTTCTCCATCAAATTCTTCAATCATGTCATGACTAAATGTAATGGAAATGAATGGCACAGATGCAACTTCTGAATTTTGTTTACCAGTTGGCACTGCTCTAACAATTCTAAACTTCTCTTCCTTCTTCTTTTCCAAAGCATTTTGAGCAAGTTGATTTCCGATACTATTCACCATTTCATCAACTGCATTCACAGATTTTGGAGGAAATTCAATTTGATTTTTGACTTGGAAAGTACCAGGTTCTGGTGGTTTGAGAGTTTGTTCTCTGATCAGGTAATTTTCTTGAAGAGATTGTTCTTGATCCTGTTGATCCTTCATCAATTCTCCCAACAAGTTTTCCAAACTCTCCTCATCTAAATCTTCAATTTTAAATACTGAATCATCAATTATTTTGTTTTCTAGAGAGGCTTGTTCATCATGATCGGATGCAAATTGTTGATCATCATTCTCTCGGATCAGAGCAGATACAACATCCTTGCTGTCTCCCTTCTTTACATGGAGAACCAATTGTTGATAATCGAGCAATTCGCTATCAATTTCTTCTTCAATCTTCATTTATATAGTTAGTGTTGTTATCTTGATGATCACAACCTGGTCGGGGGTATATTTACAAAGGTGAGAATATTGTTTTTGTTTTTTTTAAAAAGAAAGTTCACTGTTTGGTTTTTGTTTGATAGTAAACATGAAGACCTATTATTGATAAGGATGACCAGGCACATGACATCATAATTTACAATGATATCGTGGAACAGTTCTCAGTTACAATAGTGATAGAATAATAAACAAGTATTGAGTGTGTAAAATGAAGTGAGATTGCAAAGTTTCTCAACAGAGGCAATTCTTCAGACCAATTTGCAAGATAAAACCTCAATATTTCTACCATCTATAGATTATATCAAATACTTCCAAAGAAACAAAAATCATGCAAAACTATCAAGGACTATATGAGAAAAAAGCTGCAGAAGGTGGGATTTGAACCCACGAAGCTTGCACAGTAGAACTTGAGTCTACCCCCTTTGACCACTCGGGAACCCCTGCTTCACATTAAAAATGAAAATAAACCAAATTTATCACATTTCGGAATGTTCGGCAAAGCATTTAATGTCAAATAGCTCATTATTTCAAGATTTGAAATGATAAAATAGTTTGATATTTATTTGAAACACTTGTTGACAATATTCATAAAGAATCCACCAACTGGAAGAATATAACGAGTAATAATATTATCACCAAGGGTGGTGAGCAAGAGATTTCTCTTAGTATCAGAGAATGGTGGATATCTGAGATCCAAATCAAGCCAGTACTTCTTCTTCAAGACAGACTTTTGGTGAGTGAAAGTATTGAAAGAGGCATCACCATGATAAGCTCCCATACCACTGTGTCCAACACCACCAAATGGAAGATGTTCTTCACCAACTTGGAGAACACATTCATTGATACCAACAGCACCAGATTGAGTAACCTTCATGATTCTTTCAACCAATTGTTGATTCTTTGAATAAATATACAATGCCAATGGCTTAGATCTTTGATTAATGAATTTCAAACCAGCATCAAGATCTTTCAAAACGCTTGGATATTCAGTTGATTTAGATTCTCCATAAATAATGATTGGCAAAAGAGGTCCGAAAAGTTCTTCTTGCATGACAATATCATTTTCCATATCAGGATTGAGGATCAAGGTTGGTTGTACGTACTTGGCTGATTCATCTGCATTACCACCATAGATAACCTTATCCTTGACTTGATCAATAATTGCCTTAAGACGTTTTACATGTGTACCTGTGACAATTCTGGAATAGTCTGGAGATTTGGATGGATCTTCACCATACATTTTAGTGATGGCTTCCTTGAGGGCTGGAATGAATTTGTCAGCAATTCTACCATCCAACAAGACATAATCTGGAGCAACACAAGTTTGTCCATTATTGAATGTCTTACCCCAGGCAATTCTGTTGGCAGCAACTGAAATATCAATATCCTTGTCAATAATGAGTGGTGATTTACCTCCAAGTTCTATTAAATATTATCCACAATTCCAATAATTTAAATCATTTGTTATTGAAATTTGCATTATGTGTGATAGTTCATTAATATCAACTTTGATCAACTAAACTTACCCAAAGTTACAGGAGTCAAATGTTCAGCAGCAGCACGCATAACAATCTTTCCGACTCTAATGCTGCCAGTGTAGAAAATGTGATCATATGGTTCCTTCAACAAGTTGGTTGTCACAGTTGCATCACCTTCAATGACACGAACATATTTCTCATCAAAATATTTAGGAATTAGTTTAGCAAAGGTAGAGGAAACATTTGGAGAAACTTCGGAAGGTTTCAAAATAACCAAATTACCAGCTGCCAAAGCACCAGAAAGTGGAATAGCCAACAAACTGATTGGATAATTCCATGGAGCAATAATCAGAACAACACCCAAAGGTTCCTTTCTAATAAAGCCTTCTGAAGGAAGATTGGCAGGATTGACAATATTAACATATTCATCCTTCATCAATCTCTTCAAATCACCCTTCAAGAATTGAGCAGATCCCACAGACAAACCAACTTCAATGGTTTTTAATGGTTCTGTTTGTCCCAAATCCTTGACTTGAGCTTCCTTCCAATCCTCCTTATTTTCCTCGAACATGGCAATAAACTTGTCCAATTGTTCTTCTCTCCATTCACGATCTCTAGTGATACCAGTTTGAAAAGTAGCCTTCATTGATTCAACCAATTCGGCATATGGTCTATCACTCTTATCATCAACAATAACATTGTTTTGTTCCTTGTTTTGAAACACTGCAGATCCTCCGATCATCTCTCTGTTATTTAATTATCTAGTCGTAAAATAAAAATTAATTGAAAACTGTGGTGCACAACAATCGAGAGTCTCGTTGTATGGTTGTTTGTTGAGGTTTTTTTTAGTTGTTGATTCTTTTTGTGGCCCTCTCGTTAACTTCATTAATAAATCAAATTTGCGCGGAGAACTTTGAGAATTGTCCCTTAAAAAAATTCCTTGTTTACTGGCGCTTAGTTGTCCTCCTCTCACACCATCATCCACAACCACCATTCGTTCCGAAACACGCTACTAAAGAAGATCGTTGCATTGTATACAGAGAAAAATGTCGTAAATTGTGTATGCTCGGTTAAGGAGTGCAAGACGACAATAATGCGAGCTTGAGGATGAAAAAATCCATTTCCTGATTGAATTTTGAAGTTGGTGGGTTATTTGGAAATGTGGTTAGCCTGGGATGGAATGTTTAGGGAGAAGTTTGATAGGTTGGTTGTGGAAGGCAAATTGATTTTCGGAATGATGATGATATGAACGGCAAAAGAGGAAGTACATGGTTAGTTTGTCATGTATTTTGGTATATGAAAGGTTCAAGATAGTGGCTTGTCATCAATGTGCACCTTAGAAACAATGTTTTTTACATTCATCTACAGTTTCTTCCAAAATAATTGTGACCAATTTGAATTCACAAGTGAGCTTTTTGGATGGTTTACTGTATGCCGAATCCTCAAGATAATCCTATTACCAAGTTGCAACACACTGTAATCATTAATGTGCCCATCCCCTAGTCCGCATCTCCCAAATAACCAATCAACAAATTTCACACTCCTCACAATTACGAACTGAAACCTCTCTTACAAAATATTCGCGAGAAATTATCGCTTGTTGTAAACGCCAAAAGTCGGAGCCTTCAATAGCAGTTCACAACATACTTCACACAACGAATACCATCAAACCAACCACACAAAAAAATGAACAAATTAATTACCCTCTTTGCGGTTGTCTTTTTGGCAGCTGTCACTTTTGCTGGTCGTATTGAACTTAGAGGACCAAACAAATCCTCTCCATTGACCAAATTGAACAAGTATAACATTGCTCAAGATTCTGTTTCCGTTAGTGGTGTTTCTGGTAGGTTTTCGATTTGTTGTTTATGATTTTTAACATTAAAAGCTGGTGGTTTCTTTGCTGTTCAATTCCAAGTTGCCTACAGTAAATCATTGGTTGGTGCTGGTATCTTTGCTGGTAAGTTTTTTTAAACACAATAGAATGATGATTTAACACAATTCTAAAGCTGGTCCATATTACTGTGCTCAAGGAAGTTTGATGACTGCTGAAGAACAATGTATGGCTGGATTTGCTAATGTTGATTTGAATACTATTCAATCTACTATTACTCAATATCAATCACAAGGTTTGATTGATAGCACTTCTAACTTGGCTCGTCACAAGGTATTCCTCTACTCTGGAACCTTTGATTACACTGTTAAACAATCAGTTGTTCAACAATTGGCTACTCAATATCAACAATTGGGTATTCCACAAAAGAATATTGTTACTAATTTCACTGTTGCTTCTGGTCACGCCTGGATCACCAATAATTATGGTAGTTTGTGTTATTTGACTATGACTCCTTATATTAATAATTGTAATTTGGATGGTGCCTATCAAGTTTTGAACACAATTTACGGATATATCAAACCAAAGAAGGAAGCTATTGCTGCTAACTTGATTACTTTCGAACAAACTGGTAACTTCTCTGCCAATTACATGACTGGTAATGGCTATGTCTATGTTCCTTCATCATGTCAAAGAGGTGTCTCTTGCCGTTTGCATGTTGTTTTCCATGGTTGTGAACAAGGAGCTTCTATTCTCGGAACTACCTTTGTTGAAAATATTGGAATGAATGAATATGCTGAAAGTAACAATATCATTATGGTTTATCCACAAGTCACTACTGGACTCCTTAACGAAGCTGGTTGTTTCGATTGGATTAACTTCTCTTACACTGATAGTAATTATGCCAATAAGCAAGGTGGACAAATGAAGGCTGTTGCCAATATTTTGGCTGCTCTCGGTGCTAAGGTTTACTAAATTATTTCAAATTCATGAAATGAAAAATAAACTAATCCTATATTGTGGAGCCATTAATAGCAAGATTTTGTGTCTTTCCAATGATGCGATTGTTAGAGTATTGTTACATGGATGAATTTTACATTTATTTTGCAAAGGAAAGTGACGATTTGTTAAATGAAAGATTTCTCAAGCCACAAATGAACTTGACAAAATTGGAAAGTGCTCGATGTTTCATTTACAAATTTCTTGGAAAGAATCAAACTGGGAAAGTGTTTGGATCTCAATATTTGGTGGATAATATTCTCTCAATTATTGTATCAAAAGTGAAAAGTTATGAACTATCTCCAAAACAATTTATTCCTTATTGGTGCTTAATATTCTCATTCATATTATATACCATTGATGGTGATATTGGAATACCCAAAGAATTGATCAAACACTATCCCAATTTCATTTCAAACAAATATTGTCACTCATTGACAAACATCCATCCTGGATACGTATGAGTCAAATCCTCCACCATTAGGAAATACTCCACATGAAATTACATCCCAAATGGAATTACTTTCGCAATTCAATACCTTCTCTATTATCCAATTTATTTGTCGTTAATCCTACTGTTTCAACATGAATGATAATGAAAAACTGCAAATCAATCATCTTTCCTTTTCCAGAATTTGCAAATTCATGAATAATAATAATAATATGGATATGAACTCATAAAAGTTATTGTGGATTACAAATTTAAAAGACCTTTCCAAATTATTGATAATGATCATGCCGATCACTTTCTCAATTAATGGCAATTGCACATTATCATCATCATCATGAATTTATTCCTATTTTATTTTCTATATTTATAATACCAAAACATGCCCAATGCAACAAGTGAAATTCCAAAATAGGCAATCAGGAATTGATTGGCTCTTTCTTTTCTCTTTTTAATATCGTCGAGTGTTTTTTTGAAAGATTCCGACTCGGCCAAAAGCTCCTCATCAGTATTTTCTATGGTCTTTGATAGATCCATTTTTTTTTAATTTCTGATGTTTAAATTTAATTTTGAAAAACTTTACAATACTTTACAATGGAACTTTGTTTGAACTAATTCATCTCATTAAGAGCTCTGGAGCAGTTGTGAAAAGATCAGGAGCAGTTGGCTGAATGACATTTTTGTGTCAGCACTCAAAATAAAAGAAAAAAAAAGAGAAAAATGAAGAGAAGCGAATTTTCAGCAATTCCTGATGAAGTTATCTTTCATAGAATTCTTCCGTATTTCGAATATAGATGGATACTAAATGTTGGAAGATTAGTTTGTAAATATTGGAATGAAAATTACAAATCAATAGAAACTTTCGACTTTTCTGTCAATTATTACGGAAATGATAATTATTGGGAAAGATTATTGAATGATGTGCATTCTGGCGAATTAGAAAAAGTAACGGGATTGAATTTTCGATTACCACTTGCATGGAATTATGATTTGGAATTGCAACAAAAATTAATTACCAAATTAAGTAATTTGAAAGAATTGTCTTTAGGCCCATGTGCATGTGAATATCCCTTGATTATGACTAAATTGGAACATTTGGAAAGGGTTGTTTTAAATTTGAGATACATTAACATTGTTGAATTTTTGAAAAATTGCAAATCAAAAATCAAATCCTTTGACATTTCAAGTGTGGAATACAAACAAGATTTCAGTTTTGATATTGAATGGCCATTAGAACACCTCTCTGTCTCTGGTCTCTCCACAAATTCATGGATTTCCTTGTTGAACAGCAAATTTGCAAGGAATTCCTTAAAAAGTCTAAAGATTTGTAATTGTGGAATACTTCCAAATGAGGCAGTGTTTGATTTGATTGGAAATTTGGATTGTCTGACCGAGTTGGATTGTTCTGAAAAAGTTTTATGGAAACACATGAGAAAAATTGGGAAATTGAAGAAATTGACTTGCAATAAGGTGTTTCGTGGGGCAGAATCTGAATTGGACTTGTCATTATTAACAAATTTGGAATACTTATGTTTAATGAGTAATGATTTGGTGGGAAGTTCATTTAAACATTTACAAAATATGAATCATCTCACGGAATTAATATTGGCCAATAACAAAATAGAAAATGCTGCTGCTTTGAGCTCTGTCACTAGCTTGACTCATTTGGATCTTTCGAATAATTATATTCGAGATGAAGGATTGAAAGATTTTTGCCAACTTGTTAATTTGAAATATCTATCGTTGGAATACAATCAAATTGGCAGTATTGGAGCTAATTATCTTTCCAAGATTGTCCAGCTAGAGCAATTGAATCTTGCACGTAATTATATTGGAGAAATAGGTGTGGAAAATTATGGAAATTTACAAGCATTGAGAATTCTGAATTTGAATGCAAATAATATTGGAGATGGATTGAAATTCCTGGCTTGTTGTAACTCCTTGAATCAGTTATATGTTGCCTCGAACAAAATTAGTAGTAAGGGATTAATTGATTTTTGCAAAGTTTCAATGCCAAATTTGAAAGTATTGACCATTTCTAATAATAATGTTGGAAAGGCAGTTGCTCTGTTGGTATGTTTTAAAGGGACAGAAGTGAGAGCAGATAACTGTAATATTGGATTGACTGATGCTGTGCAATATGTGGCAGAAAAAGGCATATCCAGTTTCTCAAACCAATTAATCAACACAAAGAACAAATTATTATCAATATTCGATTCCTCAATGTTTTAAAGTCAATTTCAGGTGATATTGAGGAGATGGCAATGATGTGATTTAATAATTATTAAACAAAATAATTTATTTACTATTATTATTTTGTTTAATTCGATGTCCACATAGAAATCCCAACCTAAAGCCCTCCACAACAAGATCCATATCCCTAGCTTCTCTTATTTGTGATTGAATATTTTGGAATAGATCAGCAAAATCCTTTTCAGTACTGCAGATATTTCTCAATATTGTCAAGTATTCTACGAGGGCTGGATTTGATCTCATTGTGGAACCATTATTTTGTTGTTGAGATTGTTGTTGTTGAACATTTTGATTGTTATCCATTATTGTTACAAAATTATTGTTTACAAATCCTAGTTGATTGTTATTTTCATTAACTCGCTGAAAATTATTGCCATTATTTGTTTGTAACATGGCTGATTGAATATTTCCAAAATTGATATTCATTGCATTATTAACCTGCAATTGGCTGTGATTAGAAATTGAATTTGAATTGGTAGAGTATTCTGAATTTCTTCGTTGTTGTTGTACAAAGAGTGGTACTGTAGTTGCTGATTTTGGTGATGGTGGTGTCAAATTTTGATAATTGTTGGCAACTGGTGATACCTTTTGCGTATTATTATTTGTACCCAAAGGTTTATCCAAATTGGCAAGAAGTCTGGACAAGTAACTTGGATCGAATAATTGAGAGCTACCTGGCGGGCTATTTGTCCTATTTTGATTATTCATTGGATTACCATTTGTAGCAGTATTCACTACTCCATTTGTCGTTATGCTCAGTGGTAGTGCAGAGCTGCATGTTGATGGTGGTGGTAATGATACATTGGAAGTATTTGGAATAGATGATGCAGATACTTGATTAGAAGCAGTAATACTGCTGGTTGTTGTGGTTGCTGCTGTTACAGATGGAATATTAGCAGTTGAGGTCGTTGTTGTTGTTGGATTTTCTTCCTTATCATCATTCTTCTTCTTCTTTGGTTTCCTCTTTGATTTGGTTAGTGAGCTGGAACTACCCAATGATCTTTTTAATGAAGGAAGATGAACGCCCTCTTGTTGTGCCTTCTTTTTCAAGTGGGTTCTATACTTTTGCAAGTGGGATTTGATATGTGTGGTTGTGAGAAAGTCCACATTCATAATCTTTTTAATTTCCTTTGGTCTTGCATCGTAAACTCCCAAACTCTCAACCACTTGTACAAAGTGTTGATGTAATTCATCAGACCACATTAACCTGTCCTTAATTCTTCGTTTTCTTTTGGTGGTTGTTTCTTCTTGATTTCCACCACCACTGTCACTTCTCCTTCTGCCCTTCTTCTTTTCTGATGGTTCATCTGCAGCATTAGCTTCGAGCTTTTCGTTACTCGAACATGTTGATGAGGACTCTGATGAACTATGAGAAGAAATAGGAGAAGAAGACCTCATGGTGTGTGGAATGTCGAATATGTCTGAAAAACTAAAGTGCTCCGACTGATTAAATCCTTGTTGCATGCCATTTCCATTGGCAGCAGCCATGTTCATCGAAGAAGCATTTGAATCCTTTCCCATGTGGTTCAAATCATTCTCTGTCATTATGTTTGCTTCAAAATTGGTGTTTGTTTGGTGTTGTTGCATGTTCGGATTAATATTATTACCCACTACTACATGTTGCATATCGAAAGGCGAAGCTCCTTCGAGAAGAGATGGATTATTCAGGAGTAGTCTTAGCATGGCTTCTGTATCATTATTTGCATTGTTGTGGAATGTCACTGAATTGGTGCTTGTTATTGTAGTGGCTGCAGTATTGTTGTTATTGTTATTAAAACTAAGAGATGGTGATGATGTATGATTGCCATTCACCATCTGTAAATGATTGTTAGAGTTTGATGCACCACTGTTGTTGTTAGTTGAAACAGTGTTATTATTAAACATGGATTGGAACAATGATGAGGCATGCTGGTGTTGTTGTTGCATCAATAGTGTCGAAGAGTTGGTATTCAAATTATTATTATTGATAGTAGCAGAAGTAGAGGCACCTGATGATGATGATGCAACAGGCAGTGTTGAGGTATTGTTATTGTTATTATTATTATTTGATGGAGAAAGTTGAAGTAATTGCTGGATGGACAAGTCAACGACACGATTCGCATTAGATAATTCTAGAGAGGTAACAGGATTGCCAGGTTTAATAGATTGACTGCCTATCATGGTGGGGTTTGCTCCTTCTGGAAAGCCTTGATTGTTAAGAGTTGCCGAAAAGTGTTGTTGTTGTTGTGGATGGTACAAGATATTGTTGGGTGATGGCATTGAGGAATGCTGCTGTTGATGTTGCATGGAAGATGCTGTTCTTTGCAAATATATGGATTGAAAGGAAGCTGGTTGTTGTTGCTGCTGTTGGGAAGTAGATGGAAGTTGGGTGGATAACAATGTTCTGTTATTAGTGTTATTATTCCTGGGAGAACCACTTCCACCCATAATGCCAATAGAATTTGAATTGAATTGTTGTTGTTGTGGTGGTGTGGATTCATTGCTATATTATACTATTATATACAGCTTCAGAGTTTTGTATTTTTCAATGCGTAGTAGGGGACTAATGTTGTCTTTTTAAAATATCACACAATGATAGTTGTTTGTGAGGAAGTTATTGTTGAGGTGGAAAATCCTTGCCCGCACAATTTGGACACAATAAGGCTAGTTTTAATAAGGAGGTAAAAAACAGATTTGGCCTTTATGAAAGAACATCACGATCGTTGTGAATGTTGTTGAGGGTATCGCACCGATATGAGTATCATCGCAATAAGGAAGAATATTTTAATCTCTATGTTTACTGTTGTAAAACTTACTCTCAATAATATAAGTGGTGTGTGTGGTGATTTCGAAAGTGCGCAAAATTATTGTTGGTACCATACACTATCAAATATTATGTTGTTGCCAAGATATATGTGAAGAAGAAAACTGCAGGTGGGTGTTGTGAGGTTTTTTTAGACTTTGAAAAGGATCTTGGAAAGCAACTAAACAAACAATTTTATCAAAGTCGTCAAGTTAAGGTTGCGAAGTTGTCGGTGAAATCTCTCTTATTTGTTTGTATGCGTAGCAACATTAAATATATATGGAAAGTCTGGGTTCCTAAATTTATCCTTAGACCATGTGACCAGGCGCAATTATTTTTCCAATAATCGCGATGTAAAACATTTGTCTTGTAAAAATCTAATAAATTACCTACGAACTAAAACAGTTGTAATCCAATGCATTGCATCACCAAACATTGCAACTAGATCCATGTAAGGACAAATCATCCAAAGAGTTTGAATTTCGTATGGATCATGCAATATAGGAAGCAAACCTCGTTTTCAATACTGATTTGAGAATATCAGAGATACAATATATTAATTTATGAAAAACAGTGCAATTTACGCTGCTGTTCGGTTCCCTGACTATGGTGCTTAATAAACAAGCAGAATAAAAAAAGTGTTTGCGAAATCCAACATTGCATTCATTCTGTTGCATTGATGCACCTCTTTTCTTTTATAACCGAGAGATAGCAGCCAAATATAATGATGATTCTTCATTCCGAGGTCATTTTGTAAAACGGTTAATGATGAAAATTTGTTGTGATCATCACAAGATATTTATCGATTAATTAATATTAATTGTCCTATTGGTGTGTTATGTAAATTTACCGAAGGATTATTGTATGATCCTTGCTAGAACACACACATGTAAAGGATTTATGCATATTATAATAGTGGGACAACTAATATTGTATTTGTGATCCGAAACAAAGACATCAACATCAATGATGCTGATGGTTGTATACTATCGGGTGTTGTTGTTGTATAAATTGATTAATAGTGGAGAATAACAATTTTAATCGAATGATGACGAAAGATTTGATGTTGGAAGAAGGAGGAGGTTGGAATCATCCATAAGGGTTTGATTGCCATTGTATTAAAAGACTCTTGAGAATTGATAATATCTATATTTCTATTTGCGGGTTGGATCCTACCACTTTTGGTTTATTCCAGTTTCGAATAGTTAACGAACCGACTGGTAAAATATCCAATTGCTTTATATTAATTGGCATTTACACTTTCCGAGAATGTATTTTTCAATTAATTACAGAAAGAACGCCAAGTTAAACAACTACAGTTTTTGCAACACTTCCATTCTAATTGTACAATAATTCGAAATTACTGTAGTTGAATTGAGGAATTATTCAATAATGGAATTCAAACTAACGATTGCCAACATTACACTTTAGAATGAGATTTGGACTTGTTTACAATTTATTATTATTGCTTTCAGATTTAATGGTTTGGATAGGGAAGGACTATTTCGGATATGTGAAATGAAACAATTAACTAGTCTTGATATTTATGGACATTTATTTGATTATTTTAAGGTTCGGTCGAGTGATGAGAAGGAGGATGATTCCTCAACAGCAATTAAACTTCCGAACCACAACAACAATAACATATTGAACCAATCGGAAGATGTGCATAGAATACATGATTCCGATGAAGATGAAGATGATGGGTATGGAGTTTATGATGATGAGGAAATTGATGAGGTGAAGGAAATTTGTAAAATTGATGAGAAAATCCTTAAAGATCCAATTCAATTTATGGAAATTTTGCAAGTGGTAAGGGATTCAGTGTTGGATTATTTTGCATTGCATGAATTGGTGGAATTGCAGTTGAGTTGTAAATATTTTAATGAGATGGTGGATTTGTTTATTGTAACGAGAAGTGCAGTGTGGTGGTCTGCTTGTTGGAGGAGAACTTTCAATTACATGTATGGAGGCGAGGCAGTTAATAATCGAATAAGATTTGGGTCTATTCATTCCCATACTGAGAATACTTCAACATTCAATCATTTTTATGCCTCGTCATTATCAATTGAGGAGGAAATGAAACTATTTCCATTCGTGCTGGAAGGTAGTGAGGAGGAGGTTGCACTGGTGAAGGAGGAAGAAGAAAAAGCTGCAGCTCAACTCAAACTCAGGAGGTATAATCCAAGAGAGTTGCAAGGTAAATTTATTGGAAAGGAGACACAGCATGAAAGTTTCAAAATTACAAAGAGTAAGGTCACAAAATTAATGAGAAAGTCTGGACTGCTAACTCAATTCATTTCCATGAGTTATTCATCAACAGGAAAGAGTGGATCAGCAAATGGTAATTTTGATAAGCAATTTCTCACAAAGAAAGTGAAAAGGAATTACTTTGAGGAACAACAAAGATCGAAAGGTCAATCTAAACTTGTTAAGCTTGCCAATAGTTCACTAAGGTTTATTTTTTGGTCAATATTTAACAAATGGTGGTTGAAAAGCAAATCCAAGGAAGAAAAACTCATAGCACATACTTCAACCATTAATAGAAAAAGATTGGCTTCCTATGATCGTTATGGACCTGTAAATAGAACTGAAACTGTTGAATTACTTTCATTAGTTCATCAAGTAGAAGGAAAACCAGATACTATCATTGGTACCTATGTAAAACATCACTCCTATTATGCATAAATATATCTCAAATAATTGTAAATAGAATTAAAAACAATTTTAATTCTTCTTCTTTCTGGTATTGGAAAGTGGATAGAGAGGTTCAGGATATTTTGCCAGATAATTCTTGACATATTCATCCAATTCTCCAGCTTTTTTCATTTCCAATAATTCAACAAGAGTATCACCATGACAATGACATGATGCGTCCACTTTACACCAACATCCCAAAACTTTTCCATCAAGCTCATCCAAATCTTTCAATAAATCATCTCTTCTCAAGATGTAATCTCTATATTTCTGACAAGCCACTTCTGCACTTCCACCACAAGTAGATACAGGATATGGATTTCCCCACTTGGATTGTGGCAAACTCCAACCACCCTTATTCAAAGCTCTTCCAATATAAACTTCACAATCCTGAACAACTTTACCATCCTTTCTTTGTAACTTGACTACACTAGTTGTTCTTTTCAAAGATAAAGGTGTTAGTGAGGATGATACTTTTGGAGTGCTTGTTGAAATTTCTCCCAAAGTTGTTGTTGTTATTGTTTGTAATGCTGGTTTCTGAGCAAAGAACTTGGATTTCTTCACTTGTTGTTGTTGAGTAGTCTTACCAGATGATGATGATGATTCCGATTCGGAGGTAGCAGTAGATTTAAATGGTCGCTTTTGATTTGCTGATTTTACATTATTTTGCTTCTGTTGTTGCTGAGAAGTTGTACTTGATGAAGAGGAAGTAGATGATGATGATGAACTTTGATTGGCAGAAGTAGTACCAGCAGCAGGAACCGAAAAGAAATTAAAGGATCGTTGTTGAGACATTTTTTGAAGATTGTTTTTTAATATCTACACAAGTTCACATCTGAAATAGTTGGTGAGAAGAGAGGTAAACTTTGAAATTGAAATGTCATAATCTTAATGACTCAACTTCTAATAAGATCTAGAGACTGCATGAATACATGGTCGTAGAATCATAGGGAAAGATAGGCCATGTAGAACTATTAAGGACAGACAGATTGTTATTATGTTGAGCAGCTGAATTTTTAATAAATAATTTATTAATATTGTTGTTGAACAGTGGTAGTTTGAACTGTTTGTTGAACGTATGCTTGTGGAGGAACATACCCAACAATAGGTTGTTGAACAATGACTGGTTGTTGGACATAGACAGGTTGTTGGGCCATAACTGGTTGAGCAGTGGTGGTAATGACAACTTGCTTTTGATTGTTATATTTGAGATTGCAACCATCAACCATACCAGGAATCAGAACTGTTTAAATATTAATAGTAAAATTATGAATATTGTTCATATAACTATTGAATAGTATTAATTTACTTACTAAGATCGACCAATTGGCCAATACCGAACAAACCTCCAGTAACCAACCAGACAATACCCAAGATAAAGGAGTCCAAATAGAAACGATGCAATCCAAACAATCCAATACAACAACCTAACCAAAGAAGATACGCCTATATTCATCAAGTTATCCATACACCCCATCATCATCATCATCATCATCATTGTATCAGTAAAACACAAGCACAATCATCACAAATTCATTCATAACCATGGTCAACACCTTAAACCTTCCTTAATTTGCACTCAATAACTTACAACACCTTGTTCTCTCATTTTTTTAATCGATCTGCACTCTATGGTTGTGTTGCAAACAGCCATGACTGTAAAGTCTCCCTTACAGAGTCACATTGTTGCTTGGAGAGCTTTTTTAACGGTTTGGATTGTTGGCGCCACCACAACTGTTTCTGTTGGTGGTTCATTGCATGGATTTGAGGCAAGTCCATATACAGTAGAGGGAGGAGTTTACAATGAAAAGTTTGTTGAATAAAGTTAAGGATGTCTTTATTTGAATGTGTCCATACTTGATCCAAGAATGGAATTAAATAGAGGTAAGAAAAGTTGATTGGTTTACAAATTTTAGCATCTGAGCAAGTGCTGAGGAATTTTTCATTTGAATATAAACTCAAAAGATGATGTTTATTGACTCAATAATCTCTGCCAAATTCCTCACACTATTTAAATTATGGATTGACAATGAAAATTTCACCCATTACTTCCTTCAATTCATTTACACGCGTTTCACCAAGTCTACTTCTTGAATACTCACACTGATTCACAATCTCTATTGTATCTTTTAATTGATCCAAATTGGCGTGTAACAAATAGGTAATACATGATTCAATCTTATCTAATGAATAGGTGCTACTTGGTGAAGGTGTTTTACCCTTGAAAATCAAGCTCAATATGTCGTGAGCAATGTCTTTGATCTTTTTAGATCGATGAAGGATAGAGCTTTGTCTCTGAGTTAATTGTTGTTTTGAAGATAGTGCAACGGAAGAGGATTGAGTACTTTGAATGAGAGAAGACAATTCAGAATACAATTCTCTTAAAGCAGCCAAACATGGATTATGAGAGTTTGGATTATTGTTTATAATTAGTGGTTCAACATATTCTCTGCTTCTTGAAAGAATGTTGGAATCAACAGAGTCTTGTTTAGTTTCTACCATGTTTTTATTATTTATAACAGTGGTAATGGTAATTTTTTAAATGTGAATAGAACCATTATATATGAATGTAATAGTCAATTTTCTAAAAATGGCAATCTTCCATTGTTGAACTTCCTTCTGTTAGAGATTAGCGGAAAGCAATACAATAGTACAAAACGGTAACTAGATTATGAATTGTTTTATTTCAATTCCACTTCAGCCTTTTTCTGTTTAAACGATAATACTCCAATGAAATAAGCATGATTAAGAGGCGCACATTTAAGTTCATTTCTCACAGCAGAACATCCTGGATAAATGTATAATTTTCCTTGATATTTGCTATTGTCTATCTTGACATAAAAGACTTTCTTCTTATCTGCCAATACACGAGCAGCCTTGTCAATTTTAGAGTTCAATGTATTGGCTCCAAAAGGATCAGTCTTGTTATATATATTGAATACAACTCCTTTCATTTCGAAATCCCAATCAGCCATACCTTTGATGACAAGGTTGCTATCAAATACACCTCTAAAAGATTTCTCTGTCAAACCCTCTATTGTAATATTTTCAAAATCGTATGATTTCCCATCAGATATGTGCACTATTTCTGCGTAAGGTAAATGGTTTGAAGTGGAATCAGAAGAATCAGCAGAGAGAGGGGAATTTTGAGGAATTGGTTCGGTCTTTACAGTATTGTTCACTGTGTGGCCTCCTAATCTTCTTTCACTTCTGTATGTTTCTGGGATGGTAGAATAGGATGCAGGAGAAGGGTTATCCAATCTAGGAGTGTATCTTCCGTCATTATATCTACTATTGTTGCTTGAGCCTCTATAACTGTCAGTACGATCTGACCTACTGCTACTACCAGAATAACGAGAATAACTTCCACGATCATCATACCCACCTCTTCCATATGAGCTATGATATGGAGACTTTGAGTCTCCATAATCTCTTGGTGAGGGTCTGTAGGAGCTGTGTGAAGTGTAAGGTGATCTGGAGTCTCTAGATTCTCTTGGTGAAGATCTATATGATGAAGATGGTGAAGGCTTTGAGGTTGCATAATTAGATTCACTTGGAGAACGAGGAGCTGTGTACGATGATCCGCTATATCTGTTTGAGTTTCTATTCATTTCACTTGGAGAACGAGGGGCTGTATATGATTGCTTGGAAGATACATAGCTCGATGAAGATCTGTTTGAAGAATTATTGGATGAATTGAAATTGGACCCCATTTCACTTGGAGAAAGTGGTGCAACATAGACAGATGAGGAGGGTTTTTGTGTATTGTAACTGTTAAATCTAGTTGAACTTGTATGTGTATTACCACTACTGCTAAATCTAGTTGAGCTTGCATTCATTTCACTAGGGGAATGAGGAGCTGTATATGAAGATCCACTGTATCTAGTGGTTGAATTGCTTGGAGTTGAATTGGTTATTTCA